ATAAACTTGCCTTAACAGCAATACATTAGTTTCGAATGGGTGCATCAAAAACTTTTAATTAATTAATGCAAAACAATTTGGAGATAAAGGCAGTTTTGTTATCATGCCTTCCTGCATTGCACATAACAAATGTTCTTATTCACATATATGTCCCAGAGTGTTTTCCTTCGCTTCAAGTTACATACAGCATGCACACCTATAATGCTATATCCTGTTTTCAGTGCAAATACTGACCATGTTATAAGATTAGTGATATCATCTGCTCAGAGTCAGAAGGATGTTAACTGTGTCCAAGTATATGAGATAATGCCCTTCTAGCTCCAAACACACAATATGTACTTTACTGATAAGGACACTACAAAGGTGTGGCAAAGTCAACAACCTCACATTCCAACAGCAAATGTATATTTCATTTAACCTTCAATTAAATAGCATGACGTCAATAGCGTACATTCCATTGGAATATTTTAAATTGTCTAAAAATTAATGTGAAATTAATTTTCTGATTAGTTCTGGAATGCCATCTCTAATTCTTTATGCATCATAATTTTTGGTGATTGTAGGTTTAAGACTGCAGTTCTTATTCTGTGTTTGTTAGCATGCAGATATTGTTTGTAATTTAGCTATTTCAGAAAAAAAGTTTGATTTGCATCCTATTAAATGCCCACTGCACTACTGGTAGCTACTTGCGCCCTCTATATAACAAACAATGCCTAATCGGTGACCATTGGTCCCCCATGATCCTCTTTTTCTTATGTTAACTGAGAGCTGAGTTGATGAGATAACCACCTGTCCAGTGACCTTGCAGAGCGGTCTAATCCCTCCTGTAAACTACGGCAGATAAGCTTTAAAGGCATCGTTTAACAATGTTAAATCTGAGATGCATGGCCCTACATGTTATCAGTGTCTGTGATATGGTGTGATATTGAAGCCCTAAAAAAAAAGTGCATCAAAATATTGTAGCCCTAAAAAAAACTGCATCAAAATGATCATGAAGTGCTTTAAAACAGTAAAAATCTTTGAGTGACCGGTTTTACCATACTCATTTCCCCCCAATAGACTGTAGTGTTAGGAAAACGAAAAAAATGAAGTTTCGATTTCCAATCATAAATATCCTGATATTCAGACAGATGATCAGCTTGTAAAAGTCATGGGATTCCTGACTGACCTTAAGATTTATGACTGACCTTAAGATTTATGATTATGATTGCAGCATGAGCTAAATCCAGGATTTTGTTTCAGAATCTAAGGCAATGTTACTGAGTCACTTAAAGGAATGCAGGTGCATCTCACAACACACATTGTATGAACAGTGAACCTCTAAAGGCTATGAACTTATGAAGGGTTGCAACCTGCAATATAAATGTAAAGAACGTTTTTCAATCCAAACCATACACTCCACTTTCAGCCAAGGTTACTTTCAGCCCTTGAAGAGTTTTCATCAATCATTTATGAATATGAATCCAACTCACTGCCATTCTTTGATTACATTGACATGACTAATTATTTTGCATTCATGTAAGTACACATCTACTTGTTGTGGAGTGGTCTTCTTGATTCACTAAAAGTCAAAAACTTTATGTTGAGAATAGGGAAAGGGCCAAATATTGAAACTCCACAGTGCCATAAAGAAATATTAACAAGATGTGTGCTTGGAGCCAGAAGGGTGTTAACTCAAAGAAAAGTGTTACAAGTTAACGCCCTTCTGGTTCTCATGTAATTAAAGTAATGTAGCACAGCACTGATTTGTTTATTTGAAGAGGGTATGAATATTTTGCCATTACACAAGTTTCACCAATAGAAGAAGAGCTCAGTTTTGAGATAACTAAATGTAATGTAAATTAAATTGCTGTAATTCACTGATTTTTTAATTGTGAGACATATATTATAGAGCAAGTACTATGATCACCCTATCTATAATTGTCATCATAATCATAATCATCTTCTTCTTCTTCGTCGTCGTCATCGTTTTGTCGTCGTTGTCTTCTTCTTCTTCTTCTTCTCCTTCTCCTTCTTCTTCTCCTTCTCCTTCTCCTTCTCCTTCTCCTTCTCCTTCTCCTTCTCCTTCTCCTTCTCCTTCTCCTTATTCTTATTCTTTTTCTTTTTCTCCTCTGCCTTTTCCTTTTGTAAATATTCAAAGGGCTATACAGCCAGTCATGAAGGTGTTATTAAAAAAAAGACTTTGAAGAGTTTGTTTATTATACCAAAGTGTATTGAAACTTATTTACTATGAACAAAGATCATCTTCAGTATCTAAGGCTGCATCAGGTGTCTTATATCTGCGGATATATATGTTGGATGATTCATGTAAATATTGCTACCCCTAAGAAGATTGGCAGTAAATGAAGGAAATCCACCCCTTGCGAGATGAAAGATGCAGTTTCCAGAGAAAAGATCTAAAACCCTTAGCAGCCAGGACCCAGCTGTAGGCTTCTGACAGTGATTCATAAGTGCCATTATCACACAATTAAGACAGAGTCAAACCACAGGAGGATATAGGTAGTTATGTCCTGGAAATCCTCATCCAGACCCCCTTTTCATGAGCAAGAACGGTTCCGATACCACCTTTAATCCTGTTGTGTTAGATAGTCTAGTGTTAGATTGGTCTGAATCACAACATACATATACACTCTATTATGTGACAATACTTTCTATTATTGGCCTTTATATTATTCTTTCATTTTCTTTAAAAATGCATACTTTTTCATTAATTTGAATGGCAGATATTCTTACAAATGATAACAATAGAAGGCAAAGGGAGCATGTTTAATCGCTGTTATTGCCTCCAGGTTAAAACATGAATTAAAAAATATTAGATTATATATGAACATCACTTATATGAAATGCAAAACTAAACTTATGATTCCCTCATCTAAATGTATGAAAATCTCATAGGCATTAAAATAATGGAAATAGAACCTTCTTACTTCTCTCAATGTTGGATCCATAGTTTGTGAAAACAGGGTCATTAGCGCTCCATATTTTTTAAGTGGATAGGTGCAACCTGCTCCTATGTAATAATAGTCATTGTAGGTAGAGACTAGACAAAGAGATGGAAGCTACCGGGAGTTAATGCAATAACTTTTTTATAATGAAACTGGAGTTGGATTGAATTGTTATCTACCATGCAAGTAGTAAGTAAATATTTGAGAAGTGTTAAAATATTGGACTTGGTTGATTGTTTATATAATGAAGTACATACTGTATGTACTTTCACAGAGTATGGATTCCTTGTTAAGTGATTTGGATGACATTAATTGCAATTGTCAGGTTTTAAATGATACAAAGTGCGATAAAAGATTCATCAAGCATTGGAATATAGAGCATGGAATGATATTTAATAGTGACTACCTGTTATCTTAATCATTGAAGTATCAATTCTCATATGTTGTAAGGTTTCTACCTAAATCTGTATTCCTCTTTATGCACGTTTAAAAAATTATAGGGAAAAGATCTCTTCTTTTTGTTTTAATCTTTACTTTATAGCCCAAAGTTGGCTTAGGAAATATGATGACATGGTTTATTGTTTCTCCTTTGAATATAGATTTGATAATCCTTATTTAACACAATTATGCTCTTCCATTTATGATTATTCATTCAGTTTTTAATTTATTCAGATCAACTTGATATCAAGCTTCCCGATATACATGTACAAGATTTAGTTTTTAATGATGATTGTAAGTTTAAAGAACAGAATTTTCACTCAGAATGATCTTTCAAACTTCTCCACTTGCTGAAAAAACCCAATCAAAACTGACTACGTGCAATGCATGAATTATCATTACCTTGTATTTTTTATGTTTTATATTTTGTTGTATTATTTGGTTTAAAGCACGGCTCCCTCTTGAAACAGGGACTCTGTGACTCTGAATATAAGGCCTACCCGGTGTTTTTTGTTGAACAAAAGAAAGAAAATAATACAAATATATTAAAAGAAATGAAAAAAAAATATAATATATATATATATATATATATATATATATATATATATATATATATTTATATATTTAAAATCTTTGTACATTCAGTCATTCATACAATGTAGCATATTGGAGGTAGCAAAACAAACAGAAGTCATTGCCTTATTACAGGTAGCATCCTGTTCCACTAATCCAAGTAACAATTGACAATTTCCTATGACAAACACTCATAACATGGTTGTAAAGAGTTATTTTCTGTACCTGTTATTGTGATGTATTTTACTTGTTTATATGTACTAGCTTGCCCTATTATGACAGTGGTTAATATTTTTTATTTATTTTGTATTCTTGTATATTTTTATAATACACCATCTGTTTTGAGTCAGAAGGGCATTACATCTTTGTTATTAAAGAGTTAATCTCCTTCTGGCTCTGAACAGATGTCATGTATATTTATAAGACCTAACCTGTCCCATTTCTTTTAGATATTTGCACAACATAGATTTATATGAGCATTAAAGTGAAATGGTATTGAATTAAACACTTCATTCAATTGCATATAAGCTTTTTATTTGAAGCGCAATGTAAGATAATTCCAACTAGCTTGAATGTACACAATAATCAGCAATATGTTGGATGAAGTACGTAACACCTAATACACGTGGAGTCACATTCCATTAAATACAAACCTTTGGTATGGGTGTAGGCTATAATCCTTGTGAGAAAAGCAAACTTCTGAGAGATTGAAATCAAGATCTGTTTTTTTACTCATCCATCAACCCAGCTTACAGTACAGAGTCACAATTTTCAAATTTAAAATAAGAGTCAGCTCTTCGGTTTGTAAAGAAATAGTGTTGTTTCTCATCCACGTCTTACAGCATGAAATAATTTGTTTTTCATTTAAAATAGTGGTGAATTACACTTCTGAATGTACAAGAATATTGAAATGGTTCTACCACATAATATTCAAGACTCAAGAGAAAGCTTCGATAAAAGAAAAAGAATCTTCAAAATTTGAAAAAATACAGAGTGATTCAGCAAAAAATAACCAATCTGTCCTCTTTCTATTCCCTTGCACAGATCCTCGCATGACAAGACAAAGATCAAACCCAGATGAGCAAAGAGCTTCTGAGATGGAATCAAGTGGAGGTCGTTCTAGGAAGTCTGGCCAGAGTGGTCGTTCCACTTACTTAGAGATGTTCAGTCAGCAGCGTCTACCAGCTCTGTTACGCAATGTAGGTCCTGGACGGAAGATCAGCATGGCCAGTCTGGCTGGCAAGAAGTCAGAGCAAAGCACAGAATCATTAGGAGACGAAAACAGCAGTAAATATGTACCAAAGCCATCACCGGACAAGAAATCACGAAAAATCTCTAGCAGCAAACAACTAGACATTGATATCTCACAATTCATCAAGATCAAAGGTGATGTGAGTGCAAGGACACGTAATCGCCATCTACCATCTTCGGGAATCTTAGCGTTGCACCTCTCGGGCGGAAGGAAAATGGCACCGGCGTTGGCCTCACGGAACCAGCTGCGAGATTTGTATTGTGTGATAGAGATTGATTCCGTCCATAAGGCACAGACAGCCACTGTGACAGGGCGGGATGAGTTCTGCTGGGATGAGAGGTTTGAGATTGACCTGGAGAGGGCGCAGGACATGGGTATCATGGTCTACAGTTATGGCTGGAACCCAGAAGGTCGACAAAAACTCTGCCACAAGTCGCTCATTAGGTTAACGCAAATCTTAATTCATGCAAAATCAAAAGACGACACCTACAACTTAGCCATCCGCATGGAACCCCGCGGAATCTTGTACATTTCCATGGCATTTACAGAGAGGCATGCGACCCTGAAGAGGGTACCGTCCCTGGACAGGAGGGGTCTCTTTGGTGTACCTCTAGACGTGGTTGTACGGAGGGAAGGATCATCTAGGTTAATACCGATCCTAGTCCAGAAGTGTGTTCATGAGATTGAGGTGCGAGGGATCAACGTGATTGGGATCTACAGAGTCTGTGGATCAGCTAAGAAGAAGAAGAAGCTCCACGATGAGTTTGAGACAGCTAGTGCTCTGGTGGATCTCTCCTATGACAACTATCCGGACATCAACATCATCACAGGTTTGTAGAATATCTTTCCCTTTTATCTTTTCAGGGCCAGAAGTGGGATAACTCTAATTACTTTAATACAGTGTGTCTTCATGTAGAGGTCCCAGTTTTGGACAAGATGTGGGGCATCTACTTGTTTTTAAAGGTTTGAAAGATTTATAGACGAACGATAAGTAGATGCAGGTTTAAAAGCTGAGATCACTAAACCTATTAAATCAATTGGCAAAATAGGCATACTAGACTGTGACCTACAGTGTTTTTAGGGATAACTCCTCTTTTTCATTTTCACTTGCTGTAAAATATCATAAACTTTAATTCTCCCCTTTGAGGATGTACTCCAGATACAATTATGTATGGTTTGTTGTTTATATATTTGTTTATGTTTTCCCTCAGGCAAACGTCCTGTTCAGGTTGATCTTGAAAACATTTTGTGTGTAAGAAATAAGAAAGTCATCTGACAAAACATCACATTGACATTACTCGACATTTGCCAATTTGAAATTGTCTCATGATATGGCCTTTCAAAAATTCAGATCATTGATCCAATGACCAATGTTGTTCAAATTTTCACAACAATGTTTCATTGGTTCTTGTACTTCTTTAATGCAGCTTGCTAGATTTTTCTGTTAAGATTAATCAATGATTTATCATGCTGCATCTTGTAGTGAAATACATGTATGCTTGGTATAAAGCATGGGAAGATCGTGTTAGTTTATGTACATCTGTGAGTGTGATTGAATATGTATCTACGGTAGATGATAACCTATTTATATTGAACAGACACTGTGGTTGAGTGCAGGCATCATACATGAATGCATTTGTAAAGCTCTTTGCACATACTTAGATAATCTGCCAAATGTTTCACATAGCCATCATAAAATATCTAAAGAGATGACCTAAAAAACATACTTTGCAAGTGTTATTTCTATTATTAACCAAAATTACCTAAATTTGTTTAAACATGTTTTTTTGTACTGACCATTTTGTAGATTAGATCCGGGAATTAGATTTGATAGAGTATATTCATGATTCACTTTTAATGCTTTTCAAATGTGATGTCTTATGAAAATAAAAATGTAACAGTATGTACGATTCACATTTTGAGGTGGGGGGGGGGGGGGGGGGGAGGGGGAGAGAAAAGTCTTCCAGTTAAGGAATTTGTATCACTCTCTCTTTTTTGGGGTGGAGGTGGTGGGGGAAAAACTGCTGAAATATATTGAAGGATAAAAACAAATCTTATAATATGCTCTTTAAATGATAATTTAGGAACTTTATGAACTAGGAATTATATGAACTGTTAGTAAGTTATGCTACATGTATGAAGACAAGTTGTTATCTGCATACACTGTGCACAATGAACTACAATGCTTGCTCAAGAAAAAGCATCCTACAATATGTACATGTTGTGAGAGAGGCATACATGTACAGTGTGTGCATGCCTGAGGAAGCCATAGCCTCTCTCTGTGCATGCTGTGTGTGTATCTATCAGTATGCATATTGCATAGTCAGTCAGAGACTGCCTTAGCTAGCCCAGCCTCATTTATTACATTATCATCCTGTGTTGGCAGTATGCACGGACTACACGCCGTACATTAATGCTGCAAAGTGCGGTACACATGTTTCCCCCATACGTACCAGGGTTTCCCACAGCCTTAGAATATGCTAGCAAGTGGTTGTTTCTTTGGGGGTATTCCTAGTAATTTTTTTGTTGCTTTGTAGAATGGTATGCAAACTCACAACCTTTTACCAGGAGGGTTTTGTTTGGAAGAGAAGAAGTATTGAAATAAAAAATATGTGATGATTCTATAATGTTGGAGATATACATCATGTACTTAATTTGTAGCAACAAGTGCTAATACAGATACTAGTGAAAAACACTCTCTCCCTAAAAGAAAAATGGATGGGAATATATAGTGATGAAATCAACACTGCATAGCGAGTTACATATTCATTGAACAAATAGAAAGTATATTTGTTTGTACTTTGTACTGTAAAAGTTATACACAAGGCATGGATGCATTTTTTTGAATTTTACTAAAATCTAAAGTAGATGTTCAATATTTTATAAGCAAATCTTGGTTGAAAATGTATAATGCGTTTTTATGCTAGACTTTCCTGTATTTAAAATACTTGGTTTACGAATTATAATAATTAGCATTGGCATGAGTGTGTAACTCACGTAATCAGGTCTAATATACATTGTACCCTTGAGTATTAAAGGCATTCCTTTCCCTCATCCCTTGCACAGGACTCAAACCATAGAAAACAAAGAAATAATCTCATATCAACGTTTTATTCCTGTACGTCATGCTGAGATCGTAATTAACATTTTAGGGTACAATCTTGAAAGTATTTTGGGTAAATTAATAACAATCTAATTTCGATCCAATCATCAGTTTATCAAGGGCTAAAAAGGGAAGAAAATTAAAGCCCCTATCAGGAATCTGCAAGCTCTCAAAAAAGTGATCTCAAAATTTATCTGTAGCAGCTAGATGGGTTATTAAAGGTACTGTATATGTGCTGAATTTCAGATCAAAAGACAGTAGTTTGCTCTCTATGAGCAAAAATTAAAGCCCTCATTAAGTACCCAACAAATGGGGTGAATAAATAAAGCCAGTTGCAAAATTCTAATATGAGAAAGAAAAAAGAAATTACAGAAATTATGCTAATAATTATTGTTTTGCCACCATACTTTTAGTAAGTTCCAATTGTGATTTTTTAAAGCATTTTGGCCTTTTAAAGATATTCACTTTTCAAATCCCTTGAACACCCTTTAAATGAGAGTTGATGAACATGTGCATTAGCTGAGTGCTTGCTGTTCATCAGATTATCTCTTGGAGCAGAAATCTGTAATATCTACCAAGTCTACCAGTGTTGTTTTAATTGGGTTAGTTTAATGAAATACGAGAAAACTGCTTTCACCGATATGACAAGTTAACAATAGAGATTTGTTAGTCAATATAGATGTAGAAACTGATAATTGGGAAAATTTGTTTCTTTCTAGACTGCGAAAGAATGTTTTGGCATGTTTCTAATATACATATGTATATGAAGGTACATGTAGATAGTGGACATGCTAAAAAATCTCAGATGTGATTTGTGATACTCATCATATTGTATGTGAATCAGTCATTTGCATGGATAGAGCTACATGAAGATTACACCACCATGAATTGTACTGGCTTATGCAGGTTTCTGGTTTGTTCAGATATTATGTAGTAAACCGTCTTAACAAAATTTCTGTGTTTTGTTAACGTGTGAATGAATGGCAACTGCGACCCACAAAAGTCCTGCAGGTATTCACTGAGCTCTGTGTTATACATCTATAATGTATATACGTAATGTGTATGCGCCTTGAGCATCTCTAGAGATGGATATGTTGCGCTTTATAAATATTGTTATTTTTTTTATTATACAGTAATGTGAGGTGTGAGAATGTTACCAGACCCCTTGGTGCATCCAAGAAAGTGGATGCAATCATTGCGATACTGCCATGGTTCTCAATGAATTTGTAAACCACAAACCTTGATGCATATTGCATAGTAATAATCTAATTGTTCTGATTTTATTTCTGATGTGTTGTCTAGGTGTATTAAAGGACTACCTGAGAGACCTACCAGACCATTGATGCATCCAAGGAAGTGGAGAGAATCCTTACGATACTGCCAGGGTAATGCATTTTTATGATGCATAATAATAATCTTATTCGTCTGATTTTCTTTCTGATGTGTTTGTAGGTGTATTAAAGGACTACCTGAGAGAGCTACCAGACCCCTTGATGCCACCAGCCATGGTAGAGCGAGTCATGACGGTACTGGCTGGTGCCTCTCCTGATGATCCAGTCTGTAATGGAGATGATGCCCTCTCTGTCATGGAAGTTGTGGGCCATTACAAAGTAAGGCTTCTTCTAGTTAGGATATATAACCTCTCAATATTGTAAAAATGTAACATCCCCTTTTTTCCCTTGTTTTCAAATGTACTTTCATGGAAAATATACCGTCTCTTACTCTATCTATTATTGTTTATAGTAAAGAACTTGAATTGTTTAAAATGAATGTACATTATCAAAATGATTATTCAAATTCTGCATTGCTCTCTTGTTCACTCATGGGAGCTTTGAAAATTGAAAATGAACAAAAGTTTTGCAGACCTGAAAGGATATTTTTGCATGATGTAAAGGCATAATGCTAAACCAGAAAAAATTTCACTGGCTAAAATACCCCTGCTCTCCAAAATAAACAATAAGCTTTCATATTTGGCAAGAATACCCCCAGCTTTTTAAGTAATTACAATTAAAAAAAAAAAAAAAGTACAATGTGATTAATACTTGTGTTGAGCTTTGAAATGTTAAGACATACCTTTCATTGGTATCATGATAATGTTTGCATCTAATTGGTGGATTGAAGGGATTCTTTATATGTTTTTTTAGACTGTTGCTATTTCCTTTTGAGCACCCAGAGATCCTTTATGTATCATTGAAGCTCCCAGTAGGATTCTAGTTTTTCAGTCAGAGAACCAATATTAAGTAGAAATTCTCATCTGGATTGAGACTGCTACTTGTCCATTAACTGTCCCAAGGATGGTTTGCAGGGGTTTCCTTATGATTATCTAAAGTTCTAAATGTCTTTGAAGTGGTCAATAGTGTCTCAATACTTTCTTGAGTTTACTCCAACTGATTGCTTTCTTGTTCTCTCTACATAGCAGGAGACAGTGGAGTACGTCTTGGACCACCTCAAGAACGTCATCGTCAACAGCGAGCGTAACAAGATGACTCCCTACAACCTTGCTGTCTGCTTTGGTCCTGTCCTCATGAGCTCTGGCAAGGAAGACGGACGCGGAGGTCGAGGGTCGCGTGGTGCCACCGATGTACGAGCTGACATCTGTCGAGGAGATTCCAGGGAGAAATCTGTAGACTGCGCTGAGAAACATATAGAACTCTTATCATGTCTCCTAGAAGTTTGGCCAGTCAGGAGAGGTACAGTCCTAGTTAGCCCATTACCATTTTGTGGCAATATAATTGTTTTTTTTCTTGATGCTTGAATAATTTGCATTGTATTTTAAATATAACCTCACCATCCACTTCTCGCATTGCTGAAAACATTTACAAGTTGAGTTGCAGCATAAATTGCTAATGAGAAATGTTTGTTTTATAAACTCAGCTTATGATATATTTGTAAATTTGGCTGTATAATCACTTTTGTGGTTGGATGAAGTACAATCTTCACTGTATTAGATACCTGTTTATGCAGAGAAAGACAAATGAATCTTCCTGTATTCCTTTCTTTCATTTTCCCAATATTTTGTCGTTACTTTTCTTCAATACATACATGCAGGTCTAGAAACAGAGAACTCGGACAACTCCACGGCCAGCAAGGCGTCCGAGGATAAGCCATCATCCGACAAACCATCGTCAGATGAGCCAGTCGCTCCAGATAACCAGGAGGAAGACAGCTGTTATCATAGCAACGATGACCTGAACGATGGCCCAGCTCCTCCTGAAGGAGAAGCCAGACAGAAGAAGGAGTCAGATTCCTCAGAGGTCAACTGGGACTCAGAGAATCTTGAAGTTTCTGCATGTTAAATGGGTGGTCCGAGGTCAACTGGGACTCAGAGAATCTTGAAGTTTCTGCATGTTAAATGGGTGGTCCGAGGTCAACTGGGACTCAGAGAATCTTGAAGTTTCTGCATGTTAAATGGATGGCAGCGGTGGGATCGAGATCCCTACAATCAAAATACGCTGAATAACCTGCTTTCTATAAACACCCACAAATGTATTCCAACACGGCCCTAAAGCTTAGGACTAGTATAGACCCTGTAAAAAAAAATTGGGGAGATTCAATATCTTGCTACTTAAGTTAAAAATAAAACCTTGAAGTATTGATGATTTAAATGTTTTTGTAGCTTATAGTCTTGCAGCTTGCCAATTTTTTCTCTAGAAAAAAAAAAAAATCCCCTTTCAGATTTTTAAAGAAAAATGTTAGTGTCCATGATATGTAGAGATTTACATGATGGCGTGTTCAATGAATCTGTAATGATTAGCAACCAATGCATGCACCATTTGGGATTTTCCTGTTTTTAACATGATGATACTAGATAAAGAACATCAGTTGAATAAGAGAAACCTTCTATTATTTCTCTTTTTAGTTTTTTTTTATAGTGATTATGATGCAATCCCTGAAAAAGCCTTCAGCTGTGCAATAGGGCCGAAGCAATGGCTTCAACTGATGGGTTTTTACCTAAAGATAAAATCAGATGAGCGAGCATTCACTTTGTCAAAGAAGAATGAATGATGTGCAATGGAAGCTATAACAACAGACATTCATATTATTGCCTTAGGAAAAGTAAACAAAGACCTGAATAGGGAAACCACCTCTCTATTCTATGTCTTCATAAAGCAAGAAAGATCAGAATTTCAATGACTAACTTTTTTTTTGCTGCTAAGAGGCTTTTTGTAAAATTCCAAATTCATACACACGAGTTCAAATTTCTTTTTCAACAGCCAGTTACAACACCTAAAGAAAAATCAACTCTCACATACACTTGAGTTCAGCCAATTATTGAGGCTCAAGGAGATTGGTATATGAAAGGCATTGCTGTAAAGGAAACTGGTAGATAACAGATTGGTAATGGTGTCTCAGTAGTCGAACCTGGAAAATGGTGTACCTAAGACCACACTTTCCAACTCACCCTCTATAGATCTGCATGTCACCCAGATAGTCTTGCAATAGAGAACTTAAGGATAAATCATCTGTTCAGCGCAAGAAGGGGGTTAACTCTGTGTTCAAGTAAATGAGCCAGCGCCCTTCAGGCTTCAGGTGCCCTACACCTACAATGTATAAAGTCCATGGACGCCAGAGATTTTACTGTACATTCCACTTTCTAATCATTTCATCAATTTGAAGGAGCTCTGTTTTCTTTTCAAATATTTATATCAACCATTTCTTTTTGTGTCATAGTTTATTTGATTCCCTCTTTTGAAGAATTGGACATTTGTTGGTGCAAATACAAGCTGCAACACATGTGAACTGAAATATATTTTGTTGCTATGATGTGCATGTGCATGAATGACTGTTTCCCTGTCTTTAATTATATCATTGAAAGGAAAGAGGGTATCCCTACTTGGTATTATAAATGAATTTCCCGGTCTAATTTTAGAAGACAATGGAAGATAAATGTAGTGTATCCCCAAACAGACAAACTTGTGCCCATCAGAGTATCATCAGCCAAGCTGAGTAGTTGAAATACAGATTATTCCATTCTTATATTTATGAATGCTAGACTAGGTTTTGTTCACCAATTTACAACAATAGTATGCTGCTCTTGTAAAAATATTTTTTGGGTATGTTGCAAGTAATGTTTATTTCATTACAAGCAATTTAATATGCTTACAGGTATATTCATACTCTCAGCCCACCACCTAGGGGAACCTTGGTGGCTCCTTTATTAAAGTCCATGGAAATAGAATAATTCTGTAAGTATTTAATGGCTTAACATTCAAATATTCTGACTAGCAGGAAACCATTCAGTCTTGGAGTTTAAAGTTTATATGATGAACTGTCACTGTATATGTATTCAGAGTTGGGCTACTTAAAATGTGGAATATTGCTGCCAATGACAATTCATTTAGAAAATGAAGAGAATTATTAAGTAAATACACGGTATCACTTTGATGCTGGTCAATCTATAATCTGTATCTATCAAGGTGTGAAATAATCTAATCATTTCCAACAATCCACTGTTCTGAAATTCTCTTTATTTAGGTTATCCAAACTTTAATATAGAAGTATACCTACTGATGTTTTATATCCCAGTTATGACTCTAGGTTCAACGAAAAGTAGTGCAATATTAATCAGAAAGGAAATTTTATGTGGATTCAAGTCAAACTTGTGTGTTACCAATGTTGTACAGTGTGTATATAGTAGTTTACTATTGTATATGATAACTTAAATCAATCCTTAATCAAGACATGTTGCCAGTATTGCAATTTATCCGAGATCAGGCGAAAAACAAACTATTGGAAGCCTCATGGTGGAGGTGTGTCACAGGATTGTCATGTTATGAAGCTGAAATCTTTGACTTCGATGTTGATAAGAGTGACCTGCTTGAGCTGAGCGAGATACATCGCTTCATTGGTTGCCGTAGTAAGATGCAGCAAGGATTTGCCTGTAAAGAATTAAAAGCAGTCATTAACTTTTCAGGAACAAGAGTACCGAAGGTTGTATAATGAAGTGTGAAGAAATACTTGGTGGGACATATGTGAGGTTAAACAGGATATGAGCAAAGATCAACAATGTTGTGCGGAAGTGTCAATATTTGAAGGATAGGTTGTGTGAAGAACTGGAAGGAACATCCATACCAGACTTCTGCTTGAATCCTCGCACTCCTGTGGACCCCTTCTTGAAATCCTGTGTCTTTTGGTGGTAGGTTTGTGTATCAATATCAGGACTGCACGTATGATGTGCCAATGCTAGGAGTCTCTTACCGTTAGACTGCGAACATTACACAAAAGAGCATATCCCACTCCTGACACCACTTTGTAAAGGGACATCTGTGATCTTTCCATTCATTGGCTGTCATCAACACGACAGCGGTGCTGGATCTTCAATATATCTCTGGATGGTGAATACTTCATACGGTGTAAATTGCGCCTCGTCGACAAACTTAAAAGGATGTAAAGAATAGCGCCCTCTGGGGATTGTGTCCAGTGAATTATCAGTCAGTTTGTTGGCACTAGCGAATATGAATTACAATCGAAGTGTCGTCTTGTCAACTTATTGATAAGGAAATCCGCACCATGATCAAACCACCACGACCTATGAGAAAAGTGTAGCGCAATTGGAAGTTAGTATTTCGAAGGATACAGACCATGATATTAAAAAAAATATCCTAGAGATTTAATTATAAAAATAGAAGTGAACGCTGTATTCAGTCTGCAGTTCGTTGTTTTGTCAACATTTCTTTGCTACATGCTGAGCATGTGATGATTGTATTTAAGCAGAGTATTAAACAGAAATACATGTTTTTAGAAAAAATTAGAATTGAATGGCAATTAAAAGGAGATTATTTCAGTAATGTATTCAACCTGGCCTGAAGTATGTCAGATTGATGCTATAATGAAGATACAATGGTATTAATCCCACTCATGACACCACATTGAATCACTCGGCCATTTGCAGAGACCACCAACATAGTTTTCAATCCTAAGTTTCTCTTTAGAAATTATCAAAAGTTATGGACAGAAGGACCTAAATATCTATTGAAGTTTGATTTCATTTTTTTAAGTCTTATTTAATTATTATACATACTGTACAGTCTTATCAAATAATTCATCTCTACTGAAGTTGTGAACAGTTGCAGAGCATCACATACATTTGATATTCCAGTTTAACACTTATCATTATGACGAGGTTTGGAAATATCTGAACTTGTCTGTCTATCTCTAAATCTTCATAGGAATCTTATAAATTGATCAACAAGCCAAAAACTCTGTGCCATCAAAATTCTCCCTCCAGGCAGGCCATGATGACATTACTGCAAACGATTTGACAAATGTAACAGTATACACAAGAAAGTATTACAAGATGTCGGTTATTTTTGTATGTTTACTTTATTACCATTAACTTTCATAGTGTAAACCAAGCCATTTAGATAATACATTATAGGAAATGCACAAGTTATGTATATTCTTTCATAATAAATTATTTATTTTTTGGACATGCAGAGTTTGTTATTACATTTAGTTTCCAAGTGGCTGGTTTCACTTGAAGCACAGAAGGAGCAAAATATAGAAGTCTCTATTTTTTTTGTTCCATTTCTTTTTGGAAATTAATTTATGACATTTGGCACTGGTGTCAAATATTTTTAAGATGTGGAGAAATGATGTTGCACATGCTTTTAATGAGAACTGTTTTGTAAAATGAACCGTCACATGTTTTTCATTTAACATCTTTTGAATACTGAAACGGGCCAGGAAGTGCACATGTACTGTGCACTTGAACGTGTATTTCTGCGAAACGGCAGTATTATTACCTTGTATACAACTACACGAAGAAGAAGAATTGTTTGTGTATGTGTGTGTTTATGTGCTTGCTCTATTAAAGTGACAGTAGCATATGGAAACATTAATGTTTAGCTAGCTCAGGTTTGTCTCACGCGATGGACAAACTAGTTGTAGAATAAATGACCTTGACAAAACGCTGACTCATACTGACCCTTTAAATCAAAACCTTGACTTTCATCTTGAAGTACTTCATCAAGTATGCAGCGAAAGGAAGTATCTGTAGATAAAACAAGAATAGCAGGGGGAGAGTAGGACCTTTTGCTGTTTTATTAGCAGGTGCAATTGTACTTATAATGTTCATTTAAGTGGGCCATTGATTGATGATACATATAGATGTTTCATTGTGTTGGACTATACAGGAGAAAGAATTATACTCATGTATCACTCAATGACCTGCACTGACCTCAGGAAGTAATTTATCAAGCATGACTGGTGTTGTTAGTACTGAATTTCATAATTTTTAAATCACATGACTGACAAAAGATTATACTGTACTTAGTCATGCTAATCACATTACAGAAGTCATTAAATATGATTATAACAACAACTTGTATTCATAGGTTCATGTTGATTACAATGAGCCGCTGTAAATAATGTTGACAATAACATTCATCAACTTTATTTTGTGTCTAATGTTATCTCGGTGGAGAAAATCAATTCATGGGACACACTCAGATTCAGTTAAAGACATATAATTTTTATTTTTTTCTGTTGGATTTTTTAATTGTTTGTAATTGTTCCAGTTAGTTTGTTTTCTTACATCAAAGCCATGCAAAGCATGGTCATTTTTAAAGTTGGAATCGTACCAGTTTTATTTTATTCTTCTGCGTATAAATTGCATCACACATTGTTTTGACTTACAAGATCTACAGTTATATAGAGAAATTCACTATGATTTATGATGCCAAGTTACTTGGATTTCGTTTGTAAATATTGTTCATTACTGTACAGTGGTCAAAAACTATAATATATATGTGTCTTGGCAAATTAATTGTGCATTTCTTCAAAATCTCCTTTGCTTGTCAATGTGTGGAATGTGAATACGATCCCGCTCTCTTGTGAACATTTGTATCATATGAAATAGAATCAAATTTATTTGGAATGTATTGCTTGGACACACTGCTTTGTGTGTTGTAATGTAGTGAGGCAGCTTTTTCTACTTTAGGACCATTTATCTCTGTAAATAATCCGAAATGTGGAAGAAAAGAAAGTTATATGTTTTTATGTACCAGTCTCGTTCCAATTGCACTACAATGTATTCAAGAGCTTTTAATGTGATCTTGCCAGGTGCACAGGGGAAGCATATCGAGATATTGTGGTTATTTACCAGTCTGTGGTGATTTATCCAATGCGCCAACATACTCTCCATAATAAGCTACTCCAGTGTTTGTTATCTCATGCTTTACTTCAATGTATTCTGTGTATTGCTCTTCACATTCACTCCTTACTGTACTCAGTGTCTCGATTGTAATATTCAAGGTATTTTCTCTCTGGAAGCATTCAATTCATTTGGAACCCAAACATCACAATGCAACATGGTAATGTAGTTTATATGATGCAGTTAAAGAATATTTATTTTGCTTTTTAAGTCACATTCCTGTGGAAAAGTGAAAAGTTGATCATATGAGATGAGGCAGCTGGGATATCTTCGTTTTGAAGATACCATACAGGAAAAGAATCAATTGACATATTTGCTTTCTCTCTCTCTCTCTCCCACTCTCTTTCTCTCTCTCTCAATATACATGTACATGTATCTCTCTTTCTCACGCCCTATTCTCTCCTCTCGCACGTTGGTATATTTTTTGCTGAAAATGTTGCTGACGTAAAAGAAAAAAAAATGACAAAAAAGAATTACAGTGTGTGTTTTAATATTTGTGATTTGTGCAGTGCATGCCTGTCAATTTCAAAAGAAATATGAGAATAATAAATCAAAAGAATAAAATATTGCCTAGCCGGGCCACTAAAAATGAACATGTTGTGAGTGATTATTTCTCTGTGATAAGTGATAACTTATGGTGTGTATGTTACTTAAAGTAGCCTTTGTGATGGAACTATTTTGTTGTTATGGCCTTTGATAACAAATCTTGGAAAAACCCTCTTTAAAGGAGACAAACCTTTTCATGATTTCAAATCTTTTTGATTGTGCAGTAAATAACAATAGATGTACATTTCTTATAAAATGGACACACAGACACAAACTGTAGTTTATATGGAGTTTTAATAGAAATTTTAATTTTAATTTTAATAGAAATTGATAGAACTGGTTTTCAACATATCTTTACTAAGGAAGACTCTCCACTTCAAGTTTGGTTGTTTGTTAATATCAAGCTCTACATTCATCCTGATCCATTAAACAAAGGAGTCAAGAAGTAGAGAATAGAAATATGCAATTAAGATCCTCAATGCAGGATTGAGAGCTGCAATGTTCAAGTATTGTCCTGCAGAGTCCTGATAGCTTCAGTCACATGTACAGGACAAGCCTCCTTGAATCCCATTCCTGACATCCAGCGTGATAAGATGATAATCAGATTGTTGTTGCAGGATTTGGGGCTCCTATGTTCATGTGTTGTCCTGCAGAGTCCTGATAGCTTCAGTCACATGTACAGGAGGTGACTCCTTGAATCCCACTCCTGACATCCAGCATGATAAGATAATAACAGATTGTTGTTGCAGGATTTGGGGCTCCTATGTTCATGTGTTGTCCTGCAGAGTCCTGATAGCTTCACTCACATGTACAGGACGTGACTCCTTGAATCCCACTCCTGACACCATGAATGTCTGATGGATATCGAGGTGGCTCTGCAGAAGAGCTAGCTTGGATTTGCTGCTGCTACTGGTAGAAATTCCCTGAGAACACATCTGACAAGTGAGGAAGAAAACAGGTAGAAAGAGATAAGAAATCATAATTACATTCATATACCGGTACATGTAAACAAAAATCTTTTGATAGCTTACATTATGACTTTAGCTGGCCAAGTAAGGTACGATTCATATTCTCTCGTGTCTCCTGACATCGCGGTAGAATCGCAACCATAACAGACCATTTGATCAATTTGTCAAGTCCAATCTTAAAAACAGTTGGTTACTTTCAGATTGTTTTTAACAGTCAGATAATGATGATAATATTCGTAGCTCTCAATACAGATAATTTTTGTAATTTTAGAAAGTGCAATTATTTCAACATCGTACCATGTCCATTATGTCTAATACATTATCTGTTGATAAGGAAGTAGCTCGCAGGATAGCCGACATGACAAGGTTCATGATGAGCTTAACTGGTAGATCATTCTCAGTGATGCTGCCCTGCTTGTCTAGGCTTGAAAACAACCGCTCAAGATCTCTTCTCTGAAATACTTCTCCCTTCAAGCATGAATGAAGATCGCGAATAAGGTGATACACGCTATCCTAAAGATGTGGAAAATAAAGTACGACAGTTTGGCATCAAAACAAAATGGTACATCACAATTTTCATGAATTTATTTCCCCAATAAACATTTCAAATATTGCCTTAACACTTTGTTCTCAATTTAAATTGTCCTCTCAGAGAGACCCGTTTATTAACATTAGTTCCATTCGAAGATATCACAGGATTCTGTTTTCCACAATGCTTGTAAAGACTCCTTCACATAAAAATTGTGGAGCCCTACTAACAGAACAAGTACCTTTTGTTTGATCACACTGTAGATATTTTATCATACGCATACAACCCGAAGACTTATCCATTTTTATTTAGAATATCAGAACAACTACAGAATAATCAAACATACAGGCTCAAACTAAACCTAACCATAACTTGACCCTAAGCCCAAGTCTATGCCTGCTAGTAAACAAAATTATAAGATGATGACGTAGATTCAAATCAAATGATTGGTTGAAAGCGTACGCGTGACGAGGCATTTATTTTGCCTAACACGTAATTTGAATAATGACCGGTCATTATCAAATTCATGTTATAAAACATCATTTTATAAACAAATAATACACATCATTTTGTTCGGGCATTTGTAAAATTACCCACACTGTACCTTCAAAACAGTCAAAATACCCTTGGCTATCGTCTCGGTCATGTTAGACTGTTCCAAAAGTACCTTGTGTGGGTAATTTTTTACTATTGCCCTCACTGCTGTTTATTACTTGTAAACTATAACCTTTTCTGTAATCTATACATACCTTGACATCACTTGCACAATTTCCAAATGAGAGTGGGTGATGAAACCAGATTAAAAGTCCCAGACAAGCATCTGCAGTGCCGCTTCTCTCACCACCACTGTCACCTCTGATAAGGGTGTAGACTGCAGCATGGTACCACTGCAGGAACTTGACCATGGTCATCCAGACTGAGTACATTTCATGAGGGTTGTTGGACACCACCGGGTCATCTATGGTGGTTTTCAAGGTGACCTGGATGCTGGTTAGATGTATCCCATGGGCCTCTTGGGGTAGATCTAGAATGATTGATTGATTGGTTGATTGGTTGATTGAATGATTGATTGGTTGAATGATTGATTGGTTGATTGGTTGATTGATTGATTGATTGATTGAATGGTTGATTGGTTGACTGACTGATTGATTGATTGATTGATTGATTGAATGATTGAATGATTGATTAATTGAACATAGAATGAACATGCAGTAGTGCACACAGCGAGAAATTTATAAGTAAAGTCCTTAGGCTGATGCCACGTATCTTCCTCTTTATACCATAAGCCATTTTCTTTACACAGAATGAATTTTTGCTCTGGACCACTTTTCTTTATACTTATGGTTCCACTAGTTCCTTGAATCTATTAATCTTTATAAAAAAAAGAATGACAAGCCCCCTAATAAAAGTTAATGGTACTAATTTCATCACTATTCTTTTGATTCGTTGATGTAAGGATCTGGTAAGAAACCAAGTTCTCTTAGAACAGTATCTCCAAAACTAGTGCACTAATTTCCAACCATGGACTTTCCAGTTTCAAGAACACAATCTTGACAAAGTATCATTGTTCTTTAAAGGTAAAGACCAGTAATGGTCATGCGATTGCATTGTGAAAGAAACGTTGTGGAATCGATCAGAAAAGGTTGATCATCTAGCATCTAGCATCTGCAAGGTTCTGGAATCATCAAAATGATAAGAAATTTGGCCCATTCTTCGTAAAGTTACAAGCACTATACACAGAAAGATGTATATGGGACTACCCTATCTCTCTCACACGACCATGAGAGAAATAAATTTACCAAATATATGAATTAGTAGGCGGTTTCCCGGCAAATTTTTTATCATCATGTATTAGTCAAAACATATTCTTTCACATGATTGGTAATGAGAGCTTCCATTTCATTTTTTGAAATTGGGGCGTTACCAATACTGGTCTTTACCTTTAAACTGTATGTACCATATTTTACAGTACTTTCTAATTTACTTCATAAGTAACCTTGACAGTATATGTATCTCTTTTTTCAACTATGATGTCAAACTTGAGAATGCTTCCTACCTCTTGGGTCTACTGTCAGGAGGTTCACCAATGGACACAGTCTTTGTGGAAACAGTCTGTGCACTGAATACTAGATGAAGAGAATGAGAAAAAAGGTACTAAAAATGGTGAACAGATGTAAGAACTGAAGAATAGTGATGCTTGGAATGTCAAAGTGGTTACTGTAATGTCATGCAAGTACCAATCCTCATGTTTTGTACATTTGTTATCTAATTGTCCATTCTCTTGAACGGGAAAAATCAATAAAACATGTAATTGACAGAGGCCATACACAGACATGACCAAATAAGTACGGAAAATTCAAGACTTTTCGTGTAGTAAGATTTGTACTAGTAGTTCTAGATGTACTATATTTATTGTCCAACATTGACTGACGAGTTTTCGTAATTTCATTTGCATATGGATCTAAATACAATTTTATGGATTTTCCAAGTTTGTTCTCAACACATGCAAATGCAAGATAATTTATCAAAGCCAATTCTGATTGCAATATTGATGACTTCTGAAAAAAAAGGCAAGTTACATATTTCTATTCTTACCTGGGGGGATTTCAACTCTTGAATAGCCTCATTGACAGCCACTTGAAACAAGTGTACAAATTGGATCACAGTATGGCTACCATTTGTTTGCCAAAGAACTTGCTGTACACAGGAGTCTACAGCTTCATATATGATCTTGTGCTCTGCACAGGCTCTGGGCTATAGGGTGAGTGAATAAAAGGGGACACTTTGCTAGATGATATTCATGTCACTATCATAAAATCTAATTATAAAAGAATTCTGTCAGAAAATGATCTAATGAAAAGAAATGAGATGACCTACATGGTATTATACTTGGATTTATTATGCCACTCAAAAAGTGGTAACATATTGTAAAAGTTACCAACTGAAAAAAGCTACCCATCAAAAGAAGTTACCACCTCAAAAATGTAACCCACTGAAAAATTGATACCTAACATTGAAACTAGGCAGCTACCACAAATTTAAAAACAAAATTCTTTGAAATCATAACAACATTACATAATTATTTCACAAACTGTATGTAAAAAAGGTAACAATCTAACATCTGAAGGCAAGCTAGTACACACCAAGTCTCTGGAGTGAATGAGTTTCAGAGCATCAGCTGTTGCTAAGTTAGAAGCATGCTGGCAGAAAGCTTGTAGAAGTAAAAGAATTTCTTGTTCCAGAGCTGGAAGATATTGCAGCCATAGTGATGTAAGAGCTTCTCTTGTCAGACAGAACTCTGAAAAGATGAAGAAAACAAAAGAAAATGAACAGATCAACTGATATAGAAGTCGATAGTGATACGATGCGACAGGTAGTACTACAAAGATAAGAACAAAATAATATTTAATAAGAATGTCAACACAGTTACCTAAGCTTCCACTCTTAATTTGCTTATTCCTCAACTATACAAGAACAAAATTTACAGCTGTTTTGAACTATGTACATCTTGCTATTCATGCACTAAAAATCAAAGGAAACTAACATGGATTATCAATACTCCTTGCTTTAAACATTCAACATCTAGATCCAATTTATGCATTACAATGACCTACTGTATATGACCTGAATTCTTCAAGGAGCTTTATCTTAACCTCTGGTCTAAATATCCAATAGCATAGAACATGTGTGTCCTCATTTCAATTCAATTATTCATTTACTCTTTTAAAACAATGTGAAAACAAGGGAAAAATACAGCAATAAAATCTTGTGCTTGTGGGTCCTATGAATGGGGAATATATATGCTCATTTTAGTCTATGGAGAAGACTATAGTCCATAGTTTAGACCACAGTTTGAATACAAATCTTGTGAATTCAGGCCTATGAATCAAACTTTTAAGTAGAATCATATGATTAAGATTTTGCCAATCAACCAACCATTTTCCTGTCCTGCATTATAAGCGCAGGCCTGTGTTTGGGTGACCCGCTCCAAGAAAAGATCTGAGACCTGATCATCTGCAGACCTGGGGTGCAGCAGAAGCACCCTGTCTACCAGTCCCACAGAGGATGCATTCCTTACCAGTGGAAGGCACATGTCTGATAGCTCTGCAATACTTATATCATCATCCTGGATACTGGTTTCAAGTGAAGGGATGAAAAGTGAATAAATTTTAAAAAAAATAGCCTAGAAATTAGTGTTATTCTGGTAAATGTAATAAGAAGGAACAGTATTCTGACACGTTACTGCAGTATATATCTTTTATTCTTTTATACAACACAAATAAAAAAGAACTGATAGTGAGTAGAGAGGTCTTTGGTTTACTAACTATGCATATAAGTCAGACATCATAACGGAACAACTTTAAAACTTAGTCTTGGCCCTCTTGAATAAAAAGTTACATTCAAATGCAACTGAAAAGATTAAACACAATTTGATTTTCAACCAATCAAAATATTGTCATTTTGTTAAACAGACAATAACTTGCATTCACAACTAGTAGACATTAGGGACTGGATTGAACTAGGAGTAATTCTAGAGGACTAAATCAAATTCAAGTAATATAAAATTGCTAAGATGTTACGGGAGAAGAGAGTAAGATATTCTTGGTCTGTCTTACCTATGGATGTAATGATGTTGCTCTGCTATCAAATGATCAAGATCTCTTTGAATTGATTCAATCAGCTGTCAATTACAAAGCATAAACAAACAGGGGTAGAAACTCTTTTAATTGAACATAACAGAAGTATTAACTACAGTAGTAATATATGTAAAAATATGAACATGACATAATGGCAAGTTGGTTGCTTTTTCAATTTTGCTATGATAATCTCATTTTTTAATTTTGTTGGAGGGGAGGGGGGGGGGGGGCTTGCCTTCTACAACTACTTGGCTATAGATGACGAAACTTTACAAGAAACCCACAGAAAACTAACCCTATGGTAAACACAACCGACGGAAAAACATCAACAAAGTCAGGTTTTCAAACGAGCCTCCTTACCGTATTCAATATTCAACAAAACATAAAGTGCCCAAAATACTAGTTTATGAGACATCAAATTTAGTAATTATGGATTCAGAATAATGATTGTGATTTTTGTGTAGCTTGCTAATGCTCACATCACTAACCATAATGATAATTATGACTAAAGCATCAACATGTTTGCTACCTTGTTAGATGACATGATATTGTATTCGAATGCAGAGTATCCCAATGACTCAGCAGTATCTGAAGCAGGGTTCTTTTGATGGTAATAGGATGCAGAGTGTCTGATCTGAGACTGGAAAAGAAAGTTCATGATACAAAAATCTTTACCGTTATTGACACATAAAACATACAATCAAACCTGTCTAAAGCGACCGCCCAAGGGGAACACAAAAAGTGGTCTTTGTAGACAGCTTTGTAGACAGGTTCCTTTAGTACATGTTTCAATGAGAAACCACTTTCAAGGGAAACAAACAATGTGGTCTTTGTAGACAGGAGGTCACTAATGCAGGTTTGGCTGTACTTACAAGATTGCATCAGCTTTAGATTGTAACTGGGAGATTCAAGGTTAAAAACTGAGTCAATTAGGCTGGGCTAGTGTTCTCTCAAAAGAAATTAATACTCAATTACCTAGTCCATTGAATGGGGCATAAATCTTTAGGCCCCAGATTACATACACATATCTAGAGTGTACAAGCAAATACATACTTTTCAAGGAGAAAAAAAAGAATAGCAAAACAAATCTTTCAAATTTACCTCTGCCCAGTCCTTTGCCTTCTTCTCCATTCCATCTTGGGGATGGTGGGCTCTGAGTGATTGCACACAGCTAAGGAGCTTACTGTACATTTCACAATCTGCAAAATATTAAAAACTCACTTGATAAAAACTTTGAAAAATCAAATCACAAAATCTTGATATGAAATTCTCTTGTCTTTGTTACTATTACTTTGCTTTATTCAGTAAAATTACTTTCCTTGTTATAAAAAAGCATGTAACTACACAGTAACACTCACATGGAAAAACGAAACACAATATTAATTAATCTCTCGTGTCTATTGTAAGTCATGAAGTGCCCGACATCAATGGGGAAAAATCAGTCTCATCTTGAAATGGTATAGGTTCTCAAAGGCTAAGCTCTATTATATCTCTTCAAAAGTATCCCATGAATATCACATCTGGATAAAATAACCCAAAGATTACATGTTACATAGAAAGTATAGTTCTTGGTGGTTGCTTTGATGTGAATGATAGATTATGTATAGATACATGTAGTATGATGCAACTTACTTTCAGCTATGAGATGATGGCAAGAAAAGAGACGACCCAGTAAATGACCTAGTTTAGGATGATTCTTTAAAACTTGTGATATGCCATCCTAAGAGACAAAAAAAAAAGTCAGAAAATGGAAATGTTAAGCTCCTTGTTTGTAAATAAAACAATCTAAGTCTTGGATACTTTGATTTCTACAATCAAGGTCAAATTATTTGCTCATTGTAGCTTAGACCGAATTTTCTGTCTCTTTCGTTCGTTAGCCTCTTATTTGGGTAGGGTCGGCCGGCTCTCTCTTTAGAGACGGAAACCGTCTATACACATTCCCTTGATAACGCCACGGCCATTTCAGGTCGTAGCGTTTTGCCCCCAAAATCCCCCAAAATGTCATTTTACCTCGTGCATGTTATATTGTAAATTAGGCCTAGGCTATAATAAATCAGTTCCACTTACCAACTTGACTGAAATAATCAGTTTAATAGTCCCTTTTTAGGAATTTATGGGTCAAAATCGAAATCCATGTTGAAAAAGATTTTCAAAATGGATTTCGATTTTGACCCGTAATTTCCTAAAAAGGGACTATTAAACTGATTATTTCAGTCAAGTTGTTAAGTGGAACCGATGTATTATAGCCTAGGCCTAATTTACATGTGGATATGCACAAGGTAAAATGACATTTTGGGGGATTTTGGGGGCAAAACGCTACGACCTGAAATGGCCGTGGCGTTATCAAGGGAATGTGTATAGACGGTTTCCGTCTCTAAAGAGAGAGCCGACCCTACCCCAATAAGAGGCTAACGAACGAAAGAGACGGAAAATTCGGTCTAATTGTAGCTAGGCTTGGCAAAAATCTTCCTTCCAAGAAGAGCATAAAGCAGAACAGAGCCTTTGTCAATCTCTTATTTCTCATTAAGTATTGCTCCAGTTTTTAGTTTTGACATGTCATTGTCATTCACCCGAGATCAAGATTATCTGGCATTCACATTTACAGTAACTCAAGACAGTAACTTCTTTGTCTTTACTATTTAGATCTAAGACTTTAAAAACAAATTATTAAATTCATCATCTTAAAATAATAAATTAGAACTTGACAGCTCATGACTAATTTCCAGCATCTGATTGAGATGTGTCGGCAATGCCTGTCTGCCACTGCATTCACGAGCCTGTGTGAGCCACCCCCTGCATCCAAATGCATCCAAATGCATCCATGCCCCAATGCCAATGGCAAATGGGAATGCATCCCTCGGCTAGCCTCGAATCGCGGATACTCACGGCACTCAATCGACTGTGCACCGATGACAGGAAGAGGCCAAGTTGGTCATTGCTTTGGGAAATTTCCTTTGCTAGCGACGATCTCGCGTGATTCTGCATATTCGGCAACATTTTAATTGAAGCCCACTCTTCTGCCATTTTCAGCCAATACATAACATTTTCCTTAGAAAGTGTGTCACAAGATTTAAAGGCAGCCATTTCGATGACTAAAACTGGTCCGTTTCAAAGTTTGTAAACATATCATAATAACTCTATGTGACAGATTGTAACCACTCGCTAGGTGATCTAAGTTGCATTTTCGTGTATAAAATGTAATTTGAGAAAGGAGCACAGTCTCTATAAAGTGAGCCTAGAATCCTTTCCAGGAGTTGTATTTATTAATGCGGGTGTCAAAAGTAATAAATCGAATAATTTAAGTTAATATATCAAATATTTTAGAATAGATAGCAATTTCACGGATTAAATTTTTAAAATTTATATGTTTGTAATGAATCTAACTAAGTGTATAAATATACTTTTAAAAAATAACTATGAGAGCTCAGTAAAATTTACAAAAGCGACTTGAAACGCCGGAAAATTCCGATCAGTTGAAGTTTCTGTTCAGTTTTTTGATAAACGTCTTGCTTGAGGCTGCCAATTTGAAGTCTTCTTTGCATCAGGTGGAACTAAAACTATTTATGGCAGTGCCCTCATGCCTCAAACTCACTTTGACTTTGCTTGTACCTCCATAAAATACGACTAAGTTTTGATGAACTACAGTCGAGCGGTACGCGTGGCAAAACCATTCTCTAATTTATCACTAGTTTATTCTCTAATTTATCGGCCCGATTTGAAATTGTTAACCTCCCCCCCCCCCCCTTGAAAAAATCCTGCGTACGCGCCTGCCCATTTGGACACCTTTTCTTTGAGTGACATGTATTCCTAGCTACTTATACGGTCAGTTTTGCACAAGGGGGTGGGGGGGGGGGGGATATGTCTCTTACAACACCAAAATAATTAAATCTTCTAATTTCTTGCACTTTTATCAAGTACATCCCTATATTGAATAATTATATATAGCTGAATGCAGGCGCGTACGCAGGGGGGTGGGGGTTACCCCCCCCCCCTTGAGTTTTTTTTATGTTTATGTTTTTTTTGGGAAAAAAACCTTTTGAGTTTTTTTTTTTAATTAAAATGGCTGACCTAAAAAAGGTGACCTTGCCCCCCCCCCCCAACGGAACAAAATGTCAAATTGTCAAATTTCGAGACCCCCCCACCAAAAAAAATAAAAGGGTCCTCTTATGTGCATTAGTTAAAAGATAATGGGCACCGATCAGATTTTAAAGGGGCATTTATCGGAGGTGAAGGGGGCACTTATAATTTATAAACGCTTAAATGAGTTTCTATCTAAAAAGAATATCTTGATTCCTCAGCAGTGCGGTTTTCGTAAGCACTTCTCCACACAAATGGGTGTGTTTAATTTATTAAGTAATATCATAAAAGCTATTGATAGAGACAAGTATTGTCTGGGGATGTTCTTAGATCTATCTAAGGCGTTTGATACCATTGACCATGGTATCCTCCTCAGGAAACTAGAGCATTATGGAATACGTGGTGTAGCATTGTCTTGGTTCCAAAGCTATTTGTTTGACAGGACTCAATTTGTTGTGGTGGATGGTAGTAGTTCCCAACTTGCTTCTATTAAATATGGTGTACCTCAGGGTTCTGTTCTTGGTCCCCTGTTGTTTTTAATTTATATAAATGATATAATACACTCGTCAACATTATTCTCATACTCCCTGTTTGCTGATGATACCAGCTTGCTGCTGGTTGATAAGAAGGCTGAAGATTTATTACTAATTGCAAATCAAGAGATTCAGAAACTGTATGCATGGTATTGTTGTAATAAGTTATTGTTGAATGTTCAAAAGACCAAATGTGTTATTTTTCGCTCAAAGGGTAAAAAGCTTCCAGATGGTATTACTTTTCTTAATGTTGGAGGCCATGATGTTGCGCTTAGTGAAAATGTTCAGTTCTTAGGGTTAACTATGGATGAACATTTATCTTGGAAGAATCATTTAGATGTTGTATGCACTAAGTTGTCTCGAAGTGTAGGTGTCATTTTTAGATTGAAATTTATCTTACCTGAAAGAGTGCTGATAACATTATATAATAGTATTATTCTTCCTTATTTGACATATTGTAATGTTGCTTGGGGAAACACTTTTAAGTCATATCTTGATAAGTTAAGAGTATTGCAGAAGAAGGCAATAAGGCTTATTACTAATTCTAATTATAGACATCCAAGTTCTCCATTGTTCCTTCGATTAAGAATGTTACCACTAAGTGGACTTGTGTCAATCAATTGCGTATTGTTTATGTATAAACTTCAGTTTATGCCTCATGAATGTACGTTAAAAGATTTATTCCGTACAAACTCACAAATTCATAATTATAATACACGTCAAAGGGGTCTTATTCATCAGCCTTTTGCAAGAACAAATATCACTCTGACCTCTTTCCATATCTCTTGCATCAAAGAATGGAACAGTTTGCCTGATGATATAAAATATAGTACAACTCTTTCTAGGTTTAGAAGGTTATCTAAAACGTACCTACTTGGAAGACTGACATAATTCTACTTTGTATCTTAATAATTTCTCATTCTCAAATGCTTATAGACCACTAAGGACTGTGTGTGTGTGTGTGTGGGTGTGCGCGCGTGTGTGTGAATATTTTTTTGTGTGTTCTATATTCTGTAGCTTAGTTTGTTTCCATCCCTTGTATAAACATTATATTCTTTTTATTCACCTTGCCATATCGTTAATGTATGTATTTTGTTGACTATAGGGCCCCGCTCACAAGCTTAGCTTCTACAGGGGTCCTAAAACCATTCACTTAATGATGTACTATTACCAGTCTCTTTTTCATGTAAAAGATTATATCATGTTTTGTGTGGTTTTGAATAAATGAACTTGAACTTGAACTTGAACTTGAACTTATCTGAAGTGAAAAGGAGTAACTTCTTGTACCTGAAAAGAGTCATTTACAAGAGAAGGGGCACTTATGAGAAGGGGGAGGGGATTTTTTTAATGGGGCACTTATCATTGGGAAAAGGGGCGGTTATTAGAAAGGAAAAGGGGCACATGTGAAAATATAAGGCGCGCTTATCCGAGTTAAAATGGGTGTAGTTATTAAAAGGGGAAGGGGCACTTCTCACAAAGGCACTTGTGAGGCACGTATCTCTCAGATTTAAATAGGACAATTATCAGAGGTAAAGGGGGCACTAATCAAAAGTGAAATGAGGCACTTCTCGACCTCGTACCTATGGCACTTACTAGAGATTAAAAAGGGCCCTTATGAGAATGGAAAATGGACACTTATTGCAAAGACAAATGGGAATTTGTCGAAGGAAAAGGGACCGCCATGTGTTATGCAGGGGCGTAAATCCCGGGGGATGGAGGGGGGGGGGGGGCTGCATCCCCCCTAGCTTGAAGTAGGGGGGATGGCCTGTACAATTATCCCCCCCCTGATATTACAAAAAAAAGAGAGAAAAAAAAGGAAGAAGAAGAAGAAGAAGAAGAAGAAGAAGAAGAAGAAGAAGAAGAAAAACTGAATTCAGGATTAAAAGTCAAGAACGGTACAACGAATCGTCTTCTTTCTCTAATGATTTAATGAAACGTAATAGCTTCCGCGCTTCGCGCGGGAGGGAGGGGGGGGGGGGGGGAGGAAGGAAAAAACTGACTTCAGATGAGGATTAAAAGTCGAGAACGGTGCAACGAATCGTCTTCTTTCTCTAATGATTTAATGAAACGTAAAAGCTTCCGCGCTTCGCGCGGGAGGGAGGGGGGGGGGGGGGGGGAAGGAAAAAACTGACTTCAGATGAGGATTAAGAGTCGAGAACGGTGCAACGAATCGTCTTCTTTCTCTAATGATTCAATGAAACGTAAAAGCTTCCGCGCTTCGCGCGAGAGGGAGGGGGGGGGGGGGGAGAGGGAAAAACTGAATTCAGATGAGGATCAAAAGTCGAGAACGGTACAACGAATCGTCTTCTTTCCCTAATGATTTAATGAAAGGTAAAAGCTTCCGCGCTTCGCGCGGGAGGGAAGGGGGGAACTGAATTCAGACGAGGATTAAGAGTCGAGAACGGTACAACGAATCGTCTTCTTTCTCCAATAATTTTATGAAACGTTAAAGCTTCCGCGCTTCGCGCAGGAGGGGGGAAGGGAAAAACTGAATTCAGATGAGGATTAAAAGTCTAGAACGGTACAACGAATCGTCTTCTTTTCCTAATGATTTAATGAAACGTAAAAGCTTCCGCGCTTCGCGCGGGAGGGAGGGGGGGGGGGGGAAACTGAATTCAGATGAGGATTAAAAGTCAAGAACGGTACAACGAATCATCTTCTTTCTCTAATGATTTAATGAAACGTTATAGCTTCCGCGCTTCGCGCGGTAGGGGAGGGGGGAACTGAATTCAGACCAGGACTAAGAGACGAGAACGGTATAACGAATCGTCTTCTTTCTCTAATATTGTTTGTTGTTTGTTCGTTTGTGTGTGTGCGTGTGTGTGTGCGTGCGTTTGCGTGTGTGTGTGTGTGTGTGTGTTGTGTGTTTGTGCGTGCGCGATCGCGCGCGCTTGCGTAAATTAGTGTGGGCGTGTGCTCGTGCTAGTATGTGATGGCTATCGCCGATCATCCCCCCCCCCCCCACTCCTCGGTACGGATTTACGCCCCTGGTGTTATACGTGTATCGTGAAATTTACTGAGGTTTATGAAACACATTATTCTCACAAGAAACGGTACATGTATTTTCTGTATGATTATTTGAAAATGGTCAATAAACTATAATCTGAAATGTAATTCTAAAAGTAAATAATGTTTTACAAGATTATATTGATTTTAATTTAACTTTAACTTTATTTAATATCCAGGAGAATACAATGTAACACAGACATCGGTATAATACAGAGAAAAAGATAACGGGTAGGCCTACCAGCCTGTGGATTGTCTAAAAGGATTTGGAATCCTGTCGAGAGGCTCTCCTCACTGGCTGGTGCCGAATATAAACATATAAGACACTAAAACATAGACACAAATTAGAATTTGATTACCGATCAATAAAAAATGATATAATAATAGTAATAATTTGTCATGACTCAGATTATTCTTACGGGCGAGCAAACATATTCCAAATATAAATTTCAACTTTTTTAATTCAAATGCATTCATATTGTTATATTGCCCTATCATAATTTAAAATTAAATTGTTATCGAAGATATGTGGACAAATGATATCAAGAAGGTGAAACTTGAGATGAATTGAAATGAAATGGAACAAATTAAAGGACATATATAAATGTGCGTTTATAGCTATTCCAAAAATATTAAAGTAGGATTATTACACAGTTTCATTTAGAAATCTTGAATTATATCTCAACAAATCAAAAAGAGATCGATTCCCTCAGTATAAATTTCATATTTAATATGAAAAAAAACCCCAGGTATTTACCTGTTTTTCTTTCACAATATTTGAGAAAGCAAAACAGGGTCATAAAATGCCATCCAGTGCCATAACTTTAAATCAGCAAGTTTATTTATTTGTTTAATTTTTTTAATTCCTTTCAACCTCCTATGATACCAATCACTTCACCATGCCAATCACATATACCAATCACATATTACATGTCTGTAAATTTTAAATGTGCACGGAAAAAGATCAAAAATATGAGTAAAGGACATATTTTACCTTTGAAACGAACAATATGGAAGTAACATAAAATGGTGGAAAACACTTTAGTATGCCTCTTCCATGGGGGACAAACATGTATTCATATTTTCGAGGTTCTTTGAAATCAGATTTAAACCGACTGCGAATACTAATTAAAAACACACATAATAATTAGATCTATACCTCCTTGGCTCTTTATCTCATAATCACTTTTAGTATTTATTTTATTATTTAAATAATTTTAACAAATCACTTGCAGATCTTTAGATTGGCACGTTGGCTATTACGTTTCCGAAAATTGCCGAAAAATTCCGACATAAATCCGCTTGTTTCTGGATATTCCGAACAATTACTGAACAAAGGCTGCGGCCACTGCGATTGTTTGTGCGAGAAATCCGGGTCGCGGGCAGCTAAAAGTCGATTTTAATCGGTAAGAGATATTTTGTCAATTTAAAGTACCCTGATATATATCTTTGTATATGCTAAAATCAAAATTTGGAGGTAATATCTATCAAATGTTTAAGGATTTGGCATGATCCGTGTTTGAAAATGGTAAGATTGGGCAAAGCCGAGTGAATGTGTGTCTGTGACATTGAAAAAGTCTATGGCTAATGTGTGTGTGTGTGAGTCGAGTGCGAATGGCTGTTATGCGAGCAACTAGCATTGCATTTGCAGTGCAGAGGACAGCTGGAAAAGTGAGTGAATGAATGAATGGGACTGAGCTGAGCTGAGTTGAGCTGAGCAATGAAAAATAAAGTCAAGCTAGCTTGGTGATATGCCTTAATTTGCACCCATTTGCTTCGTGAAGTGTGATGTATTATAAACAAAGCCTCACGTGTGTACATAGTCTAGTAATAGTAGACCTAGAATCTATATTAGGGTGTTTGATTGTGCACCCGATGTTGTGTGCTAAAATACTTCCCATAGAGATTGCACACATCCCTATGCAGTCTACGTGCATTGCGCGACCATGAAAATTGGTCAATGATTTTATGAAAAAAAATTGAAATTCAAACCTTTGGGGCTTGTGATCCTGAAGGTGAAACTCAATAAATGAGGTGTCATATGAAAGAGCAGGTTTTTCTCCATATTCCCCAAGGGGGCGCACCCCGAAATTCTAAAAATATCTTGGTCAAAACAGCGATTTAAATGTTGTTTGCATCCTAGCTCCAAAATTTGCCACTTTCCTGAGCTGCGCCCCCCGGGCCTATGTCCGGCTAGACGTAAGGAAAATATATATGCACTTATTTTTTCGCTAGCCCCAAGAGATCACTCGCCCCAACAGTTTAAAAATACCCTTCCCACATTTTTGGAATCAGCTAATTAGGGAGGCGTGAGCTCCGCTCAGTCCAAACCATGGTTACATCGCGTAACATCTGCGCGAATAGTGAATGAAAGTATGGATAGCTGTTCGCGCCATAGAACCCGGAAGTGAATACACGTTATAGTCAATGGCAATATCGCGGAGACAACACACGTTGTCTCCGCGATATTGCCATTGACTACAACGTGTATTCCCCTTCGGGTTCTATGGCGCGAACGTACTAGTCAATGGCACATATCGCGAAGACAGCGTGGCTCAAGCTGCAAGTCTCGCATTGGCTTAGCAACATGCATACGATATGCATACGCTTGCATATCACGCGATACAGCTGTTTGTCTGAATTTAGCAAAACAACAACACTCTGCGTGGACGTCTTTTTCGTCGATTTTGACCAAAATGATATGAATATACCAGTGTTTTGGAGGGGCTGTATCTTTTGATAGAAACATCGGTGAGACTTGAAATTTGAAATGTATTATTCTGATTACATTTTTTATTCAAATAACAAACAAAAATGGTGAAAAACGATCCCAAATTGAAAATTGAAAAATCGTTCAGACACCCTACCTCTATCCTATTTCTCACAAAGCAAACATTGCGAAAAGCAAAACAAAAATGAGGCAAAAATAAACTCGGCTTTCCCTTCAAAGTTCGCTTCTTTCTACTTTCTAGGTTACTTCTTTCCTCTTTTAAAGGGACAAAGTAACATTGTTCAGATGAGAGCAAATGGTGCTAAGGTAGTGACTTCAATGCTTGATGTACAATGAAAGATAATTTGAAGGTTTGAATGAAAACAGACCATTATTTATGATAAAAATTGGGAAAAACTGATCCGATCGATTCCTTGTTTTTCCCAACTTTATTATTGCAATTTAATTACATTTGAGGTGAATGTAAATTGTCACGAAGCAATGAATCAGCTCTATATAATTATACCATTTCAGCGTTGATTTTTAAAATCCTGTCTTTTTATGTCTTATTTTCATGGAAAAACGGTTAGAAAATTCTTGGTTAGCCAAAAACTTGACAATAATCACTGATCATTTTCATTGATCGGCGATCAGAATTTATTATCCAATTTCACATGAGCGGCCAACGATCCGATGATCGGTTGCATGTGCAGGTTCTACGCACTGTCACCATGGTTTTGGGCTGAGCAGAGTCAAGGGGAAGGGTATTTTCAAACTAATTGTATGTGTGGGGCTAGCAAAGAAATAGGCGTATAGATATACAACATGTATGTTCATTATGGCTGGAACTACTTAACCCTCAGGAGGTCATTTCTCAAAAGTGGGTAATCTCTGAGCTACGATGTAAGCAATGTTTAAATTGCAGTTTTGATCAAGATATATTTAGAGTTCCGAGATGACCCCTTTTGGGGCATATGAAGACAAACCTGCTCTTTCATATCACACCTCATTTGTTGTGCATCACAAAGAATGTAGGTTTGAATCACAATTTGGTAATAAAAACATTGACCAATTTTGCATGAATGCACAATGCACATAGACTGCATAGGGATCCAAGCACTTTCTATGGTAAGCGTTTTAGCACACAAAACCGAGTGCGCGATTAGATGCCCTACTTGTAGTGGCACAAAATGCATATTTCAACCTCCATCTTATTTGTACATGTACATGTAAGTTATTCTATTTTGATTTTAAAAAAATATATAAAAGTCATCTTGGATCATTTCATTTTGTATAATTGATTTTGATTGGGATATGCCTATTTTGCAGGCTGAGCAATGGCTGATGACCCAATGCCTGCACCAAACCAGATAGCAGACAACAACATGAGTTCAGACATGAATCACCCAGGAACAGGACCCAGTGGTCCACCAGGATCAGGACCAGTGCAGGGCTACGAGCAAGGAGGAACAGGTACACACTATTGTGGTGATCCCACATTTGCCCTGGGCATTATTTCACCAAAGATATATACATGTAGGGTTAGGGTTGCGATTGGGTTTAGGCTATGGTAGGTCTAAGGTTAGGTATAGTAGTTGGTTCAGGGTTGAAGTTAGTTTTGGTTGCCAGATCAATTGTCAACAGAGCACCTACCGTATTTATTGTAGAACAAACAAGTGAAATTATTAACCTTCATGATTTGAGATGAATGCATTACTACTCAAAGTTTCAATTATTTCACTTTATATTTATTCATCAAAATTACTGCCAGTTTTAAGCTTATTACTAATTTATATCTCTGTAATATCACATACATTTAGTTTACTTGTTCTCTTTTTCTTGAAACATTGTTAATTCCTTTCTGAAATGAAATCAACTGGTATATTGTTATATGTATATGAACCATTCAACTTGTTTTTTTCTCTTCCAAAAAAAGAGTTTCTGTTGTAATGACCTCTTATTCTTTAAAATCTCTAGGCCCTAGAATGCAATCACAAGGAGGACCTATGCCAAGCCCTATGCAGGGAGGACCAAGCAATAGCCCAATGATGACACCAAGTCCAGGCCCTGGAATGTCCGGTCCTAGCCCCAGTGGCATGCAGCAAGGGCCAGGCCCAATGGGAGATAGTAATATGATGCCACCATCGATGAGCCCCATGCAGGGGGGTCAGGGGCACATGATGCCCCCTCAGGGACCACCATCCATGGGAGGTCACGCACCTTCGTCTGGTCCAGGACCTATGCCACCATACCAGTCACAGATGATGAATCAAGGTACGTGATCACTCTTGTCATGTTTCGTCAGTAGAGGCTCAGTTTTCATCAGCCATGTCCATGTTTTCAACTTTAAATGTAAATTGGCAAGCTAATTTGTCCCATTTGTGACAGACCCCATTTATGGTTCTTACTGAATGGATTGGATGAAATATCAAGGAAAAAGATATTTCTGATGTCGGTTGTGTTCATAACATCATAAGTCTTTGTCATGTATGGGAGACTAATTGATCTTATACCTTGGACTTTCCTAGGCAAGTTCCACATATTTCAAGAATATTAGGACTATGATAATGACATCTGGTTCTAAATGAATTGTCTTATGGCATATCATTTTACCCATTCTAGGTCCTCGCCCTGGTCACAACCCAATGGCCCCTCCTAACCAGGGCTATATGGGAGGTCAGTACGGAGGTCAACATGGAGGTCAACATGGTGGACAGGGAATGAATACAGGTCAATAAAATAGTTCATAATATATTATAGGTCTGATTGCTGTATGGATTTTAGGAAATATACCAAGCATATCATAGCCGGTTACAATAAAAGCACATGCATTCTATTTAAAAAAAACAGAATTTATGAAAGGATCAGTTGTTCCATGTGTGTAAAAAATTGCATAACCTGAGATGGAATGCATGGATAGATAGATTCATTGTTGTCTCATTAGCTATTAGGATTGTGATGTGTCTTTGTGAACATGAATATATAATCACAAAAATAACCCTTCCTGAGTGATCAGTTGGACACAGAGATGGCTGTCAGTCACAGAACACGTTCTGAACCCAGCATTCATGTTGGTGATTTGATCTCTTTTCTTATGTGTTTCTGTCTTTCTTGTTCTTAGGTGGGTCTGTGGCTGGACATGGTATGATGGGTCCTGGGCAGCAGTACCAGGGGCCTCCACACCAGGTACCACCACACCAGGGACCTCCTCACCAAGGCCAAATGCATCAAGGAGGACCCCATCAAGGACCTATGCATCAAGGACCACCCCACCAGGTGCCACCCCATCAGGGCCCCCCACATCAAGGTTCCCCTCACCCAGGCCCACCACATCAAGGGGGGCCTCACCCAGGCCCACCCCATCAGGGTTCATCACATCAGGGCCCGCCGCACCAGGGCCCGCCGCACCAGGGTCCTCCTCATCAAAGTGGACCTCATCAGGTACCTAGCTCTCATCAGGTACCCCCTCATCAAGGTGGCCCGCACCAGGGTGGACCACCCCATCAAGGAGGACCACCCCATCAAGGAGGTCCACCTATGCAGGCTCAACAGGGCCAGCAACAGCACCAGGTACCTCAACATCCAACCAGTGGTCACCAAGGCCCACCTCATCAGGGGCCAACATCACACTCTGGTCCTGGACCTCACCAGGGAGGACAGCCAGTTCCTTCTGGTCCACACACTGGACCACCACACCAGGGTCCCAAGCCTATGCCAAGCCAAGGGAGCATGCCTGGTCATGGGCCTATGCAGAACCCGCTTGAACATGGCCAACGAGGTCCAAGCCCTGTTCAGAACTTCCCTATGCAGAGCTCTGGACCAGGACAAGGCCCACATGGATCACAGTCTCAACAGATGAACCAGAATTACAACCCTAACAACTACACCATGCTACAAAGAGTAAGAACTCTGTGATATTGATGCATATTTCCTTTCTTTGTATTTTGATTTGCAAGCTTTTTATGCCACTTCTTGGTCATTTTATTCCATTAACTGTTCATTTTATCAAGGTGAATTACATCAGGAGTTATCTATATGTACACTCTATCCATTAGATACAGTGGGTGTTGAGCATGTTAATATATTTTCATGAATTACAGATGTATCCTTTGAGGACTGCTGTGTCATTCCTAGTTCTACATTTTTTGAAATTTCATAAACTCTGCATAATTGTCTTTAAAATCTTAATAAAAATGGTTAAATATCTGTATATATATACAGAGTATTCTGTTCCATACTACAATGCCATCTTTACTTCAAGCTCTCTTATACTAACCCCATCAAAGTTGCTCATACGTGGGTATATAGAGGGCAGCACACAGACCTACGAACGGGAGTGTAATTCCTGTTGGCTCGGTGTTGTGTGTTGTTCGCCAAGTTGCCTACTTCACGAACGACTATATACCCACCCATTAAGACAAAATATTCTCTTGTAAATCAGTAAATCAACATCATAATGCATTACACAGCACTGTCTTGATGACTTTCCTTTATCCATTACGTTCAGGCTTTGGAGACGATGCAAGAGAAGGGGTTACAGAACGACCCTCGCTACCCACAGATTGTTGCTATGGCTAACAAAGCTAAGCAGTACGCTCACATGCAGCAGCAGTCCATGCCCCCATCGGGCAATATGGGCGGACCACCAGGCAGAAATGGAGGAGGTAACATATCTTCTCCATCATTTTTATGAATTATGAGATTCTGTAATGATGTCTAAAGAGTTAAACTCTTCACTGTCTTTGTTGAACCTATGGAACAAATGGGTCTGTCACAGTCGACATCGGGCACATGTAGGACAGTTTACTATTAAATGATAAGGCCGTCCAGGGGTTTAGATTCATGTGCGAATAAAGAGTCAATTGAAGAGTGAACAATATCAAAGAGATAGGCGTATCATCATTTAATCGGAATAGGTAGGAAATTGTAATTACCTTTTGCAAGTCATGGATATGTACCTTTTTTTTTACTGGTAGAATATGCACACATCAGATGAGGAAAGCATTACAATGCATAATGTTTTAATTTTTAGAAACTTTGTGGAATTTGGCAGTTTACTTTTTACTCTAGTAGTTTGACACACTTGATCATGCCATGACTAGGTATGTCTTCTAGATTGCACTTAAAAAATGAATCTGTACTTCATTGTAAATCATGTCACGTTCTATTCTAATCTGTGTCCTTGAAGGTTATATGGAGGGCTCGGGTAACATGCCCCCATCAGGCTACCAGCAACACAGCGGACCCCAGCGAGCCAGGCCTAGCCCCTTCACACCGGTCCAGCTCCAGCAGCTAAAGGCACAGATCATGGGCTACAAGTTCCTCTCACGTAACCAACCTCTGTCTGATCATCTGCGCATGGCCATCCAAGGACAGTACCAACAGCAGATGAGTAAGATGAAATACTAATCATAGTTGTTGTTGTTGCTCTTATATTTAGTTGCGTTTTTTTTTTTGTGTTTTTTTTGCGGCCGAATATTTGAGTACGAGAAATCGTACTCGAGTAGTTGTCAACAGTGCGGGTACTCGAGCATTCGACTACTCGTCGCAGTCCTACTAGATAATGTCTCCTACATTATTCACTTCTCTAATCACTAAATACTCTGAATTTTTATATTTCATGGCTATGTAACAGATAGAATGGTTATTGTAGCTACATAAAGGTTCCAACAACTAACACATGGAACCCACATATCTGGTTTTGTTGTACCGTATTTGCCGGCGTAAAGGCCGCACCGCCGTATAGGCCGCACCCCCAACTTTGACATTTCGTAGAGGAAAAAAAAAACTACAACAACAAAAAAAAAAAAAAAAGAGAAAAAAAAAATGGACCAAACAAAATGATCGTAATTTTCTTGTAGAACACTCTTTTTTTTTTACAAACTATACCAAATTCATCAATATTCTTATAAATCAACAAGAAGTTAACCTAAAAAATGATCATAATTTAGCAGATCTTCATCGACTTTTAAGCTAGTACTGTATCGTAAGCAGATTTGGTATCCTACAATACCCCTTCCTCGATGTGCGGTGTAATCTGAAATAGCATTTTTCGACCTGCGCAGTTGCGTTGCGCGGCAGCTAGCTCCGTAAGTAACGGCCTGTCCCTTTGTTTACTTTTTGGAGATGCAATGGTATGGACTTAGATCTAGATCTATCGGCAGATTTTATTAGAAAAATAAGTTTTTTCGTCTTCATGTCAACTATGCAACATAAACTTGTCGGTAAGTTGTGTGGAGTTATTCTAGAATTGTCCTGTACCGTTGTCTAGTCATGCTACCGTTCCTATAGTCCCATACGTGCAAATGGACGTGATGTTTTGACCGCTGAATTTTGTTGTTGTTGCGTATACGCCGCACCCCGACTTTTTGATTTTTTCTCACCCGAAAATACTGCGGCCTTTACGCCGGAAAATACGGTAGTGACTTAGGTTTGTTTCTATAGAGAGGTATATCTTATCACACATCTCACTGGTTACCAATTAAGAATGTTTGCTATATTATGTTATGATGTTATATGGTCTCCCTGACCTTATCAACTGCATGAAATAACATTCAGTGAAGACAGTAAACATAGAGATTGACACTACAGTCAAACCTGCTTTAGTGACCACCTGTCTTCAAAGACCACCTGTCTACAATGGCCACAGTATTTGTTCCTCTTGAAAATGGGTTCTCATTGAAACATCTACTAAGGAACCTTTCTACAAAGACCACCTGTCTTCAAAGACCACTTTTTGTGTTTCCCTTGGGCGGTCGCTATAGACAGGTTTGACTGTATTATGTATTATGTTATAATAATAATAATAATAATTAAAATAGTAGCTACTGTATTATGATGTAACATGGTCTCTGTGACCTTATAAACTGCATGAAATAACATTCAGTGAAGACAGTAAACATAGAGATTGACACTATTTTGTCGGACGTGAAAGGACCTCTAAAGACATTGTTGTTCTATGTTCTGTGTAGGAGGTGGCCAAGGTCCTATGCCTGGTCAGCCAGGTCAGATGCACATGTCATCTCACAACCAACCCTGGGGCAACCAACAGCAACCAGGCAATCAGCAACACCGCAAGGGCCCGTCTAACATGAGTGACATGTTATCCAGCCCCAGGATGCCTCAACAGATGCAGCAACAGCAGCAGCAGCATTCGCAGCAGGGTGCTCCAGGAGCGTTCCCTGGGCAGCAGCAGCCAGGAGGAGGCAGCGCTCAGACACAGCAGCCCCTCCCTCCTCCTAACTCAAACATCACCACTGTAGGGATGCTGCTGGCTAAGCAGAACAGACAGGTGCCTGTGGCCAAACCCAAGGGATTAGACCCTGTGGAGATCCTTCAGGAAAGAGAGAACAGGTGAAGTCTTACTGGAGCTCATAATCTCAATCAAATATAGATATTAGGGAATAGTGTTTTCCATTTCTTTCATTAGTAAACCACTCTAAGATTCAACTAGAATTTCTCAAGTCAGTGTGTATTTTATTCTAGCTCTTAACATTTCTTGTTAATTTGATAATTTGGTGTCGTTTGATATTGGTAAGAATAGCGTGATATCTGCTTTCAGCAGCATGTAGTGTTATCAAGTCATAGCGAGACTCTCTAGTTTATTTTGTGGTAGATGAATTAGTCTTTATTATTATCATAACAGAATATTTCAGTTTCAGTTTTTCAAGAAGTAAATTAATTTTTCAAACTTTGCGTCTTTTTCCAGAGTTGCTGCCCGCATCTCATACCGCGTCACGGAGCTGCAAACCCTTCCCGGCAACCTCCCCGAGGACCTGCGTGTGAAGGCCACCATAGAGCTCCGAGCCCTTCGTCTGCTCAACTTCCAGAAGCAGCTTCGCCAGGATGTAGTGGCCTGCATGCGTAAGGACACCACTTTAGAGTCGGCTCTAAACATCAAGGCTTACAAGCGCTCTAAGAAACAGACCCTGAGGGAAGCCCGCATCACAGAGAGGCTGGAGAGACAGCAGAAGATGGAGCTGGAACGCAAGCGCAGACAGAAACACCAGGTTTGTATGATAGACTAGCTAACAAATGTTTTCAAAAGTTTATGCACAGCTCTCCTTTAGTTGTTGCACTATACAAGGAGTACCTAGTGTATACTAGGATCCTACAATACAACCATTGGAATACAATATCTTGTGACAGGTATTATACAAATGATGCATGCGCATGAGTTCATTATACGATCTATCCGCACTTGAGTTGAGATCTGCGTGTATCTATAGCACGAAGCCGTTAGGCTGAGTGCGATGGATACACACAGCATCAACGAGGGCGGATAGATCGTATAATAAACGAATGAAAACATGCATCATTTGTTTTATACAACGAAAATCCTAAATCCTTGTTATTTGATGTAACAAAAATTAATTCAAGATTGTTTCGTGACAGTATATGGCTGACAAATAAATCTCAAGTTTTAATATGTCTCAATTTGTGCTCACACATAATTATAAATATAGCCGGAGACACTTACCTCTACACCCATTTACGCATGGTGCTGCGCAAGAATAGGCCCATGCACACGCAGTATTAAGCGCTCTAACCTCTACACGCACTACTGCACGCTCTGAAAACAAGTTAAATAGTACTGGAAAATATTGCACTCCTTTTTAATGAAAATGAGTGCAATAGGCGCATCTCAATCTCGCATGACCAATCATTTGATTAGGATCTGGGAGTGAGTTGTATAAATGCTTATAGCTTGGTATTAGATGCTATTGTAAAAAGCTTTAAAATGTAATCATTTATACAGATAACATAATTGTGGATCTTTTGTCAAAACCCTTGACTGTTGCTCAATTATAGGTCAGTTTTAAATAGTAAAGTACATTTGCAGTGAATGCTGCTTTACTTTTAGATTCATGGATTCTTGATGAAATTATTCTGTTGAATACCTTGGATAAGATAATAACCAGACAGTCTGTTTCATGATTATTTGACAGATTTGCACGAAAATGTAGATAACACTACTGTGATGAATGCATAGATAAGCCACCTCTTTCTTTATTCCTAAATAGGAATATTTGAATTGTTTTTGTTGAATACCTAGATGATCAGCCAATTCTCTATTTATGATTTCACAGGAATATTTGAGCTGTGTTATCGCGCATGCTAAGGAGTTCCGTGAGTTCCATCGTGGCATACAATCCAAGATCTCCAAGTGTAACAAGGCTGTCATGATGTACCATGCCAACACGGAGCGAGAACAGAAGAAGGAGAGCGAGAGGATTGAGAAAGAGCGTATGCGCCGCCTCATGGTAAGACTACGTTTCACATTATATCCTCTTGTTTTTTTTATTCCTGAGGTTAGATAACTCAAAAATTATGTTTTACATTTGAAGTACACAGTTAACACAATACTGCAAAAAGAAGGTGTGTAACGGGGAAAAAACAACTATTTAGCACCTTAATTTGTAAACCTCTAGCCAACAGAAAACTATCAATTAGAACAGAATACAAATTGCAATAAGAATTGCAATGTCAGTTGGTCTGATTATAAATGCAATGAATGATTTTTACCCTGAAAGAAATTTGAAATGATTTTGAGTATTAGATGTTCTGAGAAAAATTACTCCATTTAAGGAAAGGAAATTGCTAATGATTTTGAACATTACAAGAGATGTAACAGGACTTCTTGAGTTAAGTCTATGCTGTACTCGTAAATATTCATAATAAATGACACATGCCTTTAAGACTAAAACAACAACATTGATGGATGATTTTTAGGTCCATCAGGATAGACGAAGTCTTTTTTTATTCCAGTCTATTTCCTGTCACCATTTTCAATGTCATGTTACAAACCCCAAGTGTTGGTGGGAACACCTATTATTGATACCCTTATTATCTGTGCTCTATTACCACAGGCTGAAGATGAAGAAGGTTACAGAAAGCTTATTGACGAGAAGAAAGACAAGCGTCTAGCCTACCTGCTGACCCAGACTGACCAGTACATCGAGAGCTTGACCCAGCTGGTCAGACAGCATCAGGACGTCATGAAGAAGATGAAGAGAAGGAAGAAGAAGAAGGTACAATATCCCTCTCTCACTTTCATTTCTTCATTGTAGTACTCCTTCAAAATTCATGAACTTTGGAATATTTAATGTCCTTTCATTATTCAGCACAGTGTAGAATTTCTGTTTTTCTATTGAATAATGTTTCAGACTTACATGTAGGTAGTCCAATACAGGTTAATTCTTCTGGCATGTCCCAATTTTGTTTAAAGATTGTAATTTTTACTATTCTGTTTAATTTGCTTCCAGCCTAATTGTCATTTTTTAAGCGAGTTAGTGGATGTAAATTATCCGGCTTTGTACGAAGTTGCTTTGACATTGCGGGATAATGAAAATAATTTCTTAGACATACTAACACTTATCAAATAGCAGTTACAAAAGAGCAGATTGTCTCTCTCAAATCAATCGTTTGATATGACTTAAAATTAGAAGTTGCTATTGTTTTAACAATTATAATATGTTCATGTAAAAATGTGTTGGCAGTTGCCCCCTATTTCATTACAGCCTTTATGCTGCAAACTTTTTATATTATTTCATGTTATTCCCGATCAGATTTTGCATGCTAAACTGGCACACGTGTTTTTGTTACTTTGAATTTTTGCTGTGTGTAAATTTTTCTTTTGAATGAACCTCATGAATGAGTGAAATATCATTTTAATAAATTTGTTTTAATTTTTGTCATGGTGCTAAAATGTTAAAAGATTACTTTGTGCCAAGAATTTCATTATTTTTAAAATATATGTTTCTAGTTCAATCTACATCACAGTGATGGCCTGAGTCACTTATTCAAATGAAGCAGTAACTAAATTAACTATTCTTGCTTTTGAAAGTGCACATATTTTTTGAGCCATTGACCATCACTGGTTTTACTTTTTTGTTTGATTTCATAATTTGTTTTTATTCTTTTGGTTTATGAGTCTAAATACACAACTAAAACATGTTTGAATACAAATTTATTAAGGCCTAATGAATGAACATTGAATTCATTTCATGTCCTGTTGATAGCATTTGCACACAAACACATCCACACTTGTTTTTCCTCCTCCACCCCTCCCTTTGTTACCATAGGAACCAACTACCAGTGAAGCCCTCAAAGAAGGGGTGAGTTCATACATCACAAAATCTCCTGCTACTTCTCCATCCATCTCATATAAACACACATGTATTCAAATTTCATGCTCACATCATCCTTATGAGGCTTGCTTTACGCTTGACTGACTTAGAAATTACTCTCAAACCAGAATTTATCACAATTTATAATTGTGTCATATCTGTGTTCAGCTTCATGCTGCAAAACTACACTGAATTATTGCATGTCAAGAAAATATCTTGCCATGAATATGGCACTACCGGTAGTTATTTTTTCTGGAAAGTTTCTGATCTTGCAATAAATATAAGAATCCAAAAAGACTTTAAATTTCTGCACTGGCCCTTTAACTCTGAGCCTGCTGTTTGGTCAGTAGCTGAATGTCTTTACTCGAAAGTACAATGACGTTTAACGTACTTGCATCATAATCATATTATATATATATATATATATATATATATATATATATGTATTTATACACTGCTCTCTACAGTCATCTATCTGCATCTTTAGTAATACTTTGTGTAACTCTCTTGAATGTACATATGCATACTGCGTACCACCTTTGCTCTTCATTTTTTAATTCTTCATGAAAATACTTAACATCATCCCTTTTCTCTGCTCAAATTATTTATCTACTATTTTCTTCTTATTCTCCACTCAATTTTTTTAAACGTCTACTTTCTCTCTGAATTTCTTCAATTGACCATTTTACTTCTGACTCGTTAACAAATCATTCCTTTAGTCATTTAACAAACACCATTATGTAACTTATGTGTATTTTACTTTCTTTCTTGAATTCTTGCCCACAATTATACAACTTCCACACAGCTGCGCCAGGAGTGTCATTTTTGACAGACATGGCGCATTATAAATGTTCACTATTATTTATTATTATTATTATTATTATTTAGTCAAAAGTGTGTACATTTATATAGGAATAATAAAATTCTATGAAGTACTCTTAATATACCTTAATTATATATGAAATCATGATCATAGTTTCTGCAAATTCTTTTCAACTTCAGTTGCTTTGTGGGCTTTTCTTAGCATCATATTCAATTAACATGTATTTGTTCTCTTTCTAATACTTCTGAATACACAATTACTGTTATGTTGTATTGTCATATAATGAAGATTTGTAGAATATATCTCTCATCTAAATATGAACTATAAAAACATATTTTTTATATATATATATTATAATTTCTTTTTGTCTGGAACATTTGTAAGAAAGGTCTCTTAAAGATGGTGAGATATTTGAAATGCTTCCTGAAATTCCATGTGACATCACCACTTTTGTTATAGGAGAAGAACAGAACATTATGCCAAACCTGACAGTCTGTGAGATTTGTGGTGTATTAGTAACAAAGCAATGAGACAAGGCATGCAAGAAGCTATGTTCATTTAATTGAGCTATGATTCCTATTCAGTTATTTATACAACGTAACAAGAATGGAATGGATACAAAAGCAAAAGAAATTATGCTATAGTATACCATTAATGTTGTAAAAATAATGATAATAATTATAAATTTATATAGCGCAGCTTTTATACAAAATATATTCAGCTGTGCTAGTTCAGAGCTCCTTTTTTTATACTAAATTCTAAAAAATAGAATCTCTCAATTGAACAAATATGTTTTTAATTTGGATTTGAAGACATTAGGAGATGGAGAGCTTCATATTTCTTTTGGCAATACTAGATGTCAGAAGGGGGCTTATTGTAACGAGAGGTACAAATAGAAGAAAGCTGTAAATTGATTGAAACGTGATAAGGAATTGATTGTCTCACAAACTAAATGAAATTTTAATTGTTTGTATGAATGGTTTGCATCCCTATAGCTGGTTGATGAAAGCAGTCAATCGAGTGACATGCCAGTGACTGTGATGAACCAAGAGACTGGTCAGGTGCTATCGGGTGAGGCTGCCCCTCGATCCAGTCAGCTAGAGGCTTGGCTTGAGATGAATCCTGGCTATGCTGTAGCTCCTAGAGATGAAGGTTCCGATGATGAGGAGAGTGGATCTGAAGATGTAAGGAAAGGGGTCGTGGGCGGGCGGGGTTGGTTCCACCTCAAATGTCAATAGGTATGTCTTCATCAGCTTGAGATTGCCAAATAGCCCGCTATTTCAGATTTGGGAAATAAGCCTGAAGTTACTAATCGCGTCTTCATCAACTCCAGACTCGACCTCAAGAAATTAGCTCAAGATACGTTCGCGTATAGTGCGATTCTTCGGTCAGGTGAAGACGCACCGGACAAATAGCGGGTTATTTTGCAAAATAGCCCAAGATATCTTGGGATGATTATCTTCACCGAATATCCAGCTAATTTTAACTGAGGGCTGATGAAGACGAAAATTAGCTTGATTATTCATGATCGGGATAGTTAAAATAGCGGGTTATTTGGCAATCTCGAGCTGATGAAGACAGGCCTATTTTCATCCTTGTTCCTTTGCTGTCTAGATTGGTGAAATTAAGTGTGATACAAGTACAAGACATGACCCCAAATTGGAGGATCTGATGGGGCACTACCATAAATGATATTAATGTTTTTGTATATTACATTCATAGTTGTACAAATGTGAAATCTGCCAATTGTTCTATTGGGAAGTCTCAAAAATATATTCCAATTTCAGGCCACCTCGACCTTGTCAGGTGTAGATATTCAATTTGCGGAGTTTTAGATTATGAATCTTTTTATAATTTTTTGCAGGAAAAAATCAGAAAATGATTATAAAGGCCACTAAGTTGAGATATAGATAGTTGCTATTAATGACCCGCAACTTCACAAGATATATTCTACTTTTCATATTTTGTATTCGGGAAATATGTTAAAGTGGCCTATGTGAAATTGTTGCTTGTATTTTAGGTATATGATTATTATTTCATCTCGTATTTTAATTACATGTTTATCAAAAAGATTTCTTCATTCAACATGAGTTTTCCTGTTTGTCTGATTCAGGAAGAGGACGAAGGAGAAGAAGATGAGGAGAAAGAAGAGGTGATGGTACCAGTTCCTGTTGAAACTATTAGACCTGACCTTTACGGCAAAACAGCCAAGGATATTATACAGTAAGTTCAGTCAACTTCTCTATTTTTTCAATTTTTTTGAGCCATGTTTCTCCGTAGGATTTGGTCCTTTTGGGAATATGATCACAATTTGTGTCAGTGGATAATTTTAAGCTCTAAAGAAATCTCTTTAGCAAAACATTTATCATAATTTATCTAGGAAGCTTAGCTAGATCATTGGTAATGAAATGATACTTTGTATTTAAAGATAAAGACCTGTTATGGTCATGCGATTGCATTGTGAAAGAAACGTTGTGAAATCGATCAGAAAAGGTTGATCATTTAGCACATAAGTATTGGTGTATACTGCAAGGTTCTGGAATCATCAGAATGATAAGAAATTTGGCCCAGTCTTCGTAAAGTTACAAGCACTGTACACAGAAAGATGTATATGGGACTACGCACACGTGCGTGACACGTGCGTTTATCTCTCACACACCAATAAATAAACTAATTTACCAAATATATCAATTAGTAGGCGGTTTCCCAGCAATTTTTTTATCATCATGTATTAGTCAAAACATACTCTTTCACATGATTGGTAATAAGAGCTTCTATTTCATTTTTTGAAATTCGGGCATTTCCAATACTGGCCTTTACCTTTAAGGGCAGTAAAGTCTTTTTTTTTTACAGTAAGTGCATTATTCGTAACTACATAACTTGTTAATTTTTTATCAAAGAATATATGTATAATCCTCTGTATATATATATATATATATATATTTCTTCTTCAGGGAGTCTTCAGTGGGCGATGACGAGTACAAGTCTATAGAACAGGCTGGTGGAGCTGGCTACTACAACATGGCCCATTCCATCAATGAGATAGTGACCACACAACCTGAGATGCTTGTCAATGGTACACTCAAAGAATACCAGGTAGGTTCGCACCATTTCAATTGTTGTGTACTAGTTCATTCACTTAACTCTCAACTCGAGGGTACCTGACAACTGCCGGTCATCCTCACAATTTAACCTTGTGTCTACTTCAGTGTCAACTCTTTCTTATGGTCATCGCTCTTTCTGCAAAACTTCTGCTGAAATTTGGAACAAACTACCTTTAAATGTCAAAAACTGCCAGACTGTTAACCAATTCAAAACTTGTCTCAAGACACATTTATTCAAAATTACTTTTGATGATTAACTTTGTTCACATTGATGTATATTTCATATGTATTGTAATTTGTAGGTTTATTTGCATTTTCTTTTTGTTTTGTTTAATATGTAATTGTTTATCATTGTATTTTGTTTTGCTTGTGTCTTTGACCACCATCGTGCAGGTGAAAGGTCTTCAGTGGCTGGTATCTCTGTATAACAACAATCTGAATGGAATCCTGGCCGATGAGATGGGTTTGGGTAAGACCATCCAGACCATTGCTCTTGTATGTCATCTGATTGAGAAGAAGAAAGTCATGGGGCCATTCCTCGTCATTGTACCACTCTCGTAAGTCAACACCACTACATCTGTCTTTGTCATTTCTTAGCACAGTTGATTCTGCATGAATCAAATCAAATATATTTTGTTGACCAAACTATGCAAAACGCGTGAAATACACTTCCTAAGTCAAACTTCGACTTTTTTTTGTGGTCCCAACAGATTTGACTTTGCAAAGTTAACTGTATATATTTACTCTTTCTATTTCCTGCCATTGTCTCTTTTTTTCCTACTACTATCACTTCTTTACTAAGAGGCAGTTTTGTTGGGGATGAAATAAGAAAGTCAAATATATAATATCAGATGAAAAATGAACTAAAAGATAGTGAGTAGATCTATGAAGACAGATATTATTCTTTGGTGTGAGACAGCAAATCTGGCTCTCAGCACATAAGCTGAAGTACCTGATGTGCATTGGGTAAAACTGGATGGATAACAAAATCATTTGACGTGAAAGATAGCCAGTTGTGTTTCATTAAAGGTAAAGACCAGTTTTGGAAACGCCCCCCTTTCAAAAAATGAAATGGAAGCTCTTATTACCAATCATGTGAAAGAATATGTTTACCAAGACTGGGCCAAATTTCTTATGTTGATGATTCCAGAACCTTGCAGTACACACCAATACTACAACGTTTCTTTCACAATGCAATCGCATGACCAGAAGTAAATACCAAGTCTTCTTAGATAGCATTGATAGTGAGATAATTGTTATTAGAACGGAGTCTTGGGACTGAATGAAAAAGATTAGAACAGATTAATTTCACAGTACTTCTGTTTGCCTTGTTTTGTTTGCAGAACCTTGTCCAATTGGGTGCTTGAGTTTGATAAGTGGGGACCGACGGTCCACAAGATAGTCTACAAGGGCTCTCCTCAAACCCGACGTACTCTTGCCCTCACCCTGCGATCAACCAAGTTCAGCGTACTACTCACCACCTATGAGTACGTCATGAAGGATAAAAGCTTCCTCTCCAAGGTGACTCAATCATTAACAATCTTCTCAATTCAATTCAATTCAATTTATTCATTTCCATAAAAATCACATTACAAGAACACATACATTTGCTAGAATATATATAAGTACATTAAAATATTAAACAATAATGGAAAAGGGAAGTTCTAAAAACCCAATTCTGAATATTGACAAATAATACAAATTCTTCACCCGTCAGTGACAGGGATCTTTCAATGTTTAATGAATCACTTTTTCTTCAAATTGGCAACACTGTTGGAGCTTTACTGACACTCTGAACTATCTCAAATCATGTATTTTTAAAACAGTTCATATGCAGAATTTCCTTGGGGAAAAAATTCAATAGTAAATTAATTAAGTTCTTTGTTAAATTGAGATTGTTGATGTAAAGATGTGCCAATCTGCAGATTTGAAATTTGCTTTTCTTTTTAAACTTTTGAATTAAAAAATAATTATGAAAAATGTGGCACAAGTTTTGCTAAGTAATTGTGTATTTCTGCTCATGCACATGGTATATTTATTTCCCAAACAACAAAATGTGACATTTTTCGATGATGGTAATTTGTACATGTTACTTTACTCTTGGCATCCATCCATTCTTTGTCACTCAGCTCCGTTGGAAGCATATGATCGTTGATGAAGGACATCGTATGAAGAACCATCATTGTAAGCTGACTCAGATTCTCAACACTCACTACAGCTCTCATCATAGACTCTTACTCACTGGTACTCCATTACAGGTAGCCTGACAGACTTTAAATATTTCTTCTTTTATGTTAAGCATCGTTGGTAATACCTCCTGCAAAGATTGCAGCTCTTAAAGCCCCACTGTCCTACTTGTAGCTACTTGCTCCCTCTATATAGAAAACTTCCCCAATCGGTGCCTGTTGGTCCCCCATGATCCTATTTTTCTTATGTTAGTTGAGAGCTGAGTTAATGAGATAGCCACCTGTCAGTGACCTCACTGTAGTGTTGATGGTCTTTAAAGAAAGGATTACCTAAACATGAATTTCTTTATAATGTTTTTTTTTAAAGGTAACATTTTCCCACATTTTTATTGATCGATATATTTGAAATCTCTTGTCTAATCAAGTAACAAATGTCAGAAATTCTGATGTAGATTATTCAACAATGTTGCCATCAATTGTGAATGCAATTATTTTATTTATTTGAAATCTCTTGTCAAATCAAGGAGCAAATGTCAGAAATTCCTGATGTAGATTATTCACCAATGTTGCCATTAATTGTGAATGCAAGAGAAGCTTCTAACTTTGTTTTTCTAAACTGTTTGAGTTGTTTCAAATGTAAACTCATATAAGATTCTATTTTTCCAATTGTTGCTTTGTCAGGATTTACAATATCTTGCTAACTTAGTATGGACGTAACAAATTGATTATTGCTGAGTTTGTAACTATTACCAGTGTTCATCAAGTTAATTGTTTTCCTCCGCAGAACAAACTGCCCGAGTTGTGGGCCCTGATGAACTTCTTGCTACCAAGCATCTTCAAGTCCTGCAGTACCTTTGAGCAGTGGTTCAATGCTCCCTTTGCAGCTACCGGAGAAAAGGTAAGATGGGGAATGAGTCTCTGTATGTATTAAAAAAGTGTACTCAAGACCAACTTTAATGTTTTTTCCAGGTTTTTACTAGGTGTAGTTAAGTAAGGAAAAGGTTACCCTGATGACTTAAAGTGACTTGGTAACATTACCTCAGATTCTAGAAATAAAATCCTGGATTTAGCCCATGCTGCAATCATAAAGAAACCTTTAGGTCTGTTAGGAATCCCATGACTTTTACAAGCCGATCACCTGTCTGATTATCAAGATATTCATGATTGGAAATCAAAATTCAAAATTTGTTTTCCTAACGTTTTTTTTTATAACACTACAGTCTATTGGGGAAATGAGTATGGTAAAAGCGGTCACTCAAAGATTTTTACTTTTTGAGGCACTTCATGATCATTTTGAAGCGCAATTTTTTAGGGCATCAATATTAAACCATATCACAGACACTGATAACACGTACATGTAGGGTCATGGATCTCAGATTTAACATCGTTAAACGTCCAGGTTTTGCTAGGTGTAGTTGAGTAAGGGAAAAGTTACCCTGATGACTTAACTATCTAGAAAACGGTGTTTATTTCTGTGAATTGTCTGCAACTTTGATTTCATCTCTTGATTCTGTTGATAGGTTGAGCTGAATGAGGAAGAGACCATCCTGATCATCCGTCGTCTTCACAAGGTTCTTAGGCCGTTCCTTCTGCGTCGTCTCAAGAGGGAAGTGGAATCACAACTCCCAGAGAAGGTCAGTGCTCATCGTGATCAGCGTTTAGCCTTTGAGGAAACATAAAATTGAGCATGGAATTCCCATTATTATTATTATTTTCATCAGAGTAGTAATATGACACCATCGTGTGGCATCAGTGAGACCTTTTTTTAGCACAATTCATCAATCCTTTTGTCACAATTGAATTCATGGCTTAAAAATAATAATAATATCTTTCGATTTATTTAGCGCATAATAATTAATAATTTATTCTCTATGCACTTTACATTAACTCTTATCCCGCCATAATGAATACAGCCTAATGCCACAGGGCTAATTCCCATTGTGCCAAGTTAATTTTAAGTATTATGAAATATAGGTACATGATGCTCTCAATCATCTAGAACCCATCCCTAGCATTGATATAAATATACATTGACATTGAATAGAATTTTTATGTTTCCATTTCTGTTGTTCTTATTGACAGGTTGAGTATGTGATCAAGTGTGACATGTCAGCTCTGCAGAGGTTACTGTACAGACACATGCAGACTAAGGGAATCATGCTGACTGATGGCTCAGAGAAAGACAAGAAGGTTTGTGGATTTTGATTTACCAGTTATTTAGAAACCATCAAACTATAAAGACAAAGTTAGACACAGTTACTGGTTGCTGAAACTGTATTTCATCCCTAGAGAAACCATTTTTGTCGAAGAGAAATCTGGATGAGAAGATCACTATTCAGTCCTCTGTTGATAGTTCTAGCCTTGTATGGTTATTAATAATAATAATAATAATAGGCATTTCTATAGCGCCGTCTATCTAAAAATTCTATTCCGAGGCGCATTTATTATTACCCCGGCTTTAGCCAAGCTGCCATTACAGCACTCCAGCATTTCAAGGAATGAATTCCTGCCAGGTACCCATTTACCTCACCTGGGTCTAGTGTGGCAAATGAAGATAAATGCCTTGCCAAAGGACATTAGTGCCATGTCGGGGATCAAACCACAACCTTTGAATTTCAAGTCAAGTGCTTAAACCACTCGACTACGACACTTCTATACATTAATATCAGGGACAACAATTTTCTGTCTCTGTTTAACACATCATTTCCAGAATTTTGGATACACCTAGAGCCATATGTTTAGGAGACATGCTCAAGATGCTAAGCTTACATGCAATCTTTTGCCAAATTTCACCGCAAGAATGAATGGGGGGGGGGGGGGGGGGTTCAAAAGTGAGAAGGACTTTGTAACCTTATGTATAAGTGTAAATCTTATGATTCAAAATGCAATACCATATACCACATTGTGGATGGTGAAAGTGATCATACAGGGGTTTTATTCACTAGTTAGTTTCAAACTATGAAAATGGGAGTGTAGTGTTAGTAGCAATGAAGGATTCTCATGAGATGGTTTAATTCCTTGTTTTTTCTAACCAGGGACGTGGTGGTACCAAGGCGCTGACAAACACCATCATGCAGCTCAGGAAGATATGTAACCATCCATTCATGTTCAGACATATCGAGGTAAGAAATCTCTCGTTAATGAAAAAATATTGATATTCTTGGTACTATTGATTTAATTTGACAGTGTCTAAACATAAACTCAGACCTATGTTAATACATTTTATAAACTGGATATACAAAGAACCTAAATTTCACCCAAGTCTTTTGGGCATAAAATGAAATAACCTTGTATCACACTTATATTTTTCTGTTCATATACATTTAGATGTAATATACAGAGTATTTGTTGTGGTTTTGTGTTGGTAATAAAAACAAAGGTTCCGTCTTATAGATTACAGTGGACGATGTAAAGAACTTAGAAGATCATGTGTATTTCTAGTACTCATTTCCACACTTGCGTTAGTACATGTTAGTATTTGTTACCCTGTTGTATTATCTTGCTATTTCTCCCCCAGGAATCTTTCTCTGAGCATCTTGGAGTGACCGGTGGCATCATCTCTGGCCCTGACCTGTACAGAGTGGGCGGTAAGTTTGAACTGCTTGACCGCATCCTGCCCAAGCTGAAGGCTCTTGGTCATCGTATCTTGCTCTTCTGTCAGATGACCACTCTGATGACCATCCTAGAAGACTTCTTTGTCTACAGAGGTAAGAGAAGGATATATCTATTCATTTAAAATTGTTTATCTTTGCAGTTTCTATCTTTCATGTTTGTTTGATTTGGTTTGTAAGTACGTTGTTTTATATTACTGTTAAGAAAGCAAATGTCTGGTTGTAAGGAAACAGCCTGGGACTGACTGCTTTAAAGGTCCCATTTGCTGTCCAAAAAAATGAAAAGGTTAAATTCCAACGACAATACTGATTTAGAAACGAAAGGGCTTGAAAATGGCTTTTAGTTGGAAATAACAACCAATAGTTGTCAAATCGACTTAAGTGATTGCAATCACGTAAGTGATAGTCTGATTTTCAGACCCTTTTACAGAATGGTCGTAAATTTTTGCTGCACAAAGATTCAAACCGTTTGATTTTGGCCATTACAAGTAGTGGGTTATTGATGTAGACAAATGCTCAATGTACCCTTTACAGCTCATTTTATGTACCAAACTTACCAAAGAAAAAGTCAGTCAGTCAGTCACTCAATAGTGTCTGTCAGTGAATTCTAGAAAGTAAACAGGTTTCCTAGCATACTTTGAATATTAGGACACTGCTAACATTTAAATTTAACAGAAAGGACATACGTGACATGTTCATAATTCCTGCAAAGTTGTACAGAATTTGATGTTGGCTGCAACAAGGGGCTAAATAATGAAGCTCAATGCCAAACCAAAGAGCACTAGTTCCTCAACTTGGTTTTGAACCTGGGACCTCCTGAATATGAGACCACTGCTTTACCACTGAGCTGTAGATGGTTGATTAGACCAGCTAATATAACGAGTGTTATTTCTATCCAACAGGTTTCAAGTATCTGCGTTTGGATGGTACGACCAAGGCTGATGATCGTGGCATACTTCTTCAGACCTTCAACGAGGCTAACTGCCCGTACTTCATCTTCATGTTGAGTACCAGGGCAGGTGGTTTGGGGCTCAATCTTCAGACTGCTGATACTGTCATCTTGTTTGACAGTGACTGGAATCCTCATCAGGTAGACACTCAATAGCTCATGGTCTTGGGGTCAGTCCCATGTGTTCAATTCAATGTTTGTCATCTTGTAAGACCATACAAGTGATAATTTCATGTAATTGAGTTATACATAAGTAGTGTTTCAGGTAACTTTAGAATTTTCTACTGCATATTAAAGCATCTTTGAATGTTTTCTTTATAATTTGTGCTTCAAGAATTGTGAGGTGTCAGACATAAGGTGCACATGAAATTCAACCTTTTCAATGAAATTTAAAAAAATACCTCTCAGAGTTGATGTAAATAATAAATTAGTGCAGTTACCTCAAAGTATTCTATTTTCAATGATGATTTTTGTTGTTGCCGTATTCATCTACAGGGATGCCAGTTTTCAGGCAATAGCCTGAATTCAGGCCCCGGCGAGTTATTTTCAGACCATAGTTTAGGATTATTCTAGGTGATTTTCAATTCTAACTGGCATCCCTTCGTTTCATTGATATTAAAAAAAAAACACGGACTTGATCTGATAATGAGAATAATTTTTGTTGCCTCCTAGGATCTCCAAGCCCAGGACCGTGCACATCGTATCGGTCAAGTGAACGAGGTCCGTGTCCTGCGTCTGATGACCGTCCAGAGCGTGGAGGAGAAGATCTTGGCCGCAGCCAGGTGGAAGATGAACATGGACAGTAAGATCATCCAGGCTGGTATGTTTGACCAGAAGTCTACCAACTCCGAGAGAAGGGCGTACCTACGAGCTCTGCTGGAGAGGGATGCTGATCAGGACGATGTAAGAACACCCTCTTATGGCTAATGATGTCTTCCTGTTCAAACATTTGTAGTGTTATTAGTCTGTAATTTAGTCTTTCAATGTATAGTATGTAGCAGAGGATGTTTTTATTACTTGGAATACATTGTTGTAGCTGGAAACTACAATGTATTCTTGAGTTATGGTTCTCATAAGCACTTTATTAAATAAGGGAATGAATAGCTAGGACTGATCGTTTTGACATATTGGAAGGAAGATATGAAGGTAGAACTTTATAAGCCACATACTGGTCTCTTAGCTTGTTATTTGGGAATCACATAAAATAATATTGCACTGTGTCAGGCAGGAAATTATCCAATTTATTGTCTGTGAAAGATGACCTTTCTTCTAGCACGGAAATGTTTTGATCAGAGGTAAAGTCTAGCACCATTGCGTAACATCGAGATACTTTGTACTTTTGCAGGAGGAGAATGAAGTCCCTGATGATGAGACAGTCAATCAGATGATCGCCCGATCCGAAGAGGAATTTGAGATCTACCAGCGGATGGACATCGAGCGTCGGCGCAACGAGGCCCGTGACCCGAACCGCAAGCCACGTCTGATGGAGGTGAATGAGCTTCCTAGCTGGCTGGTCAAGGATGAGGAGGATGTGGAGAGACTGACCTTTGAGGAGGAGGAAGAGAAGCTGTTTGGACGGGGCTCTAGACAGAGGAAGGATGTAGACTACAGTGATACACTCACAGAGAAAGAATTCCTTCGGGTAAGATAGATCACGAGGACCATCTTAGGTGTTTTTGCATCAGAACACTCAATAATTCTTTTATTTTGTTTTACCTTGCACTTATGGGAGGCTAAACAATCACAATATATTTGCAAATTCATTGGTGCTTGAAGAAAGATAAATAATTGGTCGTGCAAAATTTAGAGTGATAGAAAAGAAAACAAATATTGATCATTGGAGTCTAACTGACTGCAGTGAGCAGCTAGGCAATAAGTTCCTGTGATTTATCTTTTGATACACTCCAATGTTAAACATTTTGCATTAGGGCTTTTAGGCTACCTTTGATAATATCAGTTGCAGTTTCTTTTACACTTGTGTTGTAAGCTGTGAATATCATTGAACAAATTGATTAATGTTGTCTTCTTCTTCTCATCGGCAGGCAATCCAAGATGGCAACTTGGATGAGATTGAGGAGAGCAAGAAGGAGAAGAAGCGTCGCTACAAGCGCAAGCGTCCCATCGACGACGATGACGAGCAAGAGGGAGAGGTGGAGAGAGAGCAGGAGAGAGAGGTGGAGAGGGAACAAGAGAGGGACAATCCTGAGGTTGAGAAACCCAAGAAACGTAGAGGGCGCCCTCCAGCAGAGAAGCCGTCCCCTAATCCTCCGCATCTCACCAAACTCATGAAGAAACTGGTAGAGGTCATGTCCAAGTACAAAGACAAGTAGGTTCATGCAGCATGCTCTTATTCTTTTGTTAAAATCTTTCTATTGTTTGACATTATGAATGGATTTTTTTTTTTTTTTTTTTTTTTTTTGGGGGGGGGGGGGGTCTCATGTTCACAAGTAAGTACTCCATGTTTTTGTTATCACACATATTTAAAAAAGGTATATTATTATTGATTGAAGTGAAAAGAACCAGCAAAGCAAATACATCTCATTTTTGTCAACCGTCCCCCTTCCCCCACAAAGGAATGTGCAGGGTTGGTGTCCTGAATGTAGGGTCAAGCCGTGCCGGGCTCCGTATGAAGAAGAGAATAAACAACATAATATCTCATTCAGGCAAAATACAAGACCAAGTAATCTTTGAGAATACTTTAAACAGCTGTACATGTTTGGTTGAATCGGTAACTTGCAAGTTAAGGTAACATTGGAAGCAATAACATCTTTGTTTATATCGCTATTCTTTCCTTTCAGTACTGGTCGTCCTCTGGCCCATCCATTCATGCAGCTCCCTCCCAAGCGAATCCTACCTGATTACTACGAGCTGATCACCAAGCCCATGGATCTCAAGAAGATCAAGGATAGGATCAGGCAGCATAAGTATCGCTGTCTGGATGATCTGGAGAGGGACACCGTACTCATGTTCCAGAATGCTCAGATCTATAACCTGGAGGGATCACAGGTAAGATATTGATGATTCTATATCAGTAGCCATTGTCATTTGTCTGAATCATGCTTCTACTTTCAATTACCATGTGGATCAATTCATTTTCATTCTTTGATTGTAAAAACATAAATGTCTTCATATCTGCATATCATTTTATGCTTCTTCTTCTCAAATATGTGTTACACACTTGTTACAGAATTTCAATTTGTGATTAGATCTACTTTAAATTATATGTACAGGAGGAGCTTAGTGGACACCATAGTTGTTTTGAAACAGATTTCCCAAGGCTTTTAAACCAAGTCCTTGATTGGACTTTCAATAAATATAGACCCATGAATGGCTCATGTATGGACCCTAGTGTAGTGGTCCACCTGCACACCCCAAGGGTTATATTGATTCAGTATGCTTTTTTGCCTCCCAGGCACAGGTGATGCTAAATAACAACAAATATAAAATTAGTCATCATCATCAATAAATCAATCAATGTATGGGTGTTACTGTGGATTTCCATGGTGAGTCCGTGTCTACTTGTGTGATATCCTTTGTGAAAGTGAGCAGCCACTCTATGTCATATTATGACTGTTGTGACTTCTTGTATTTCAGATCTACGATGATTCCATAGTGCTACACTCAGTCTTCACCACGGCTCGCAAATGTCTAGAACAGACTGGTAGACTGCCTCCTCAGCTGGGCGGCAAGTCAGAGAGTGAGAGTGAAAGTGACACCGATGACAATGAAGAACGTAAGTCAAGAAATCAACTTTTGTAGCATGGTGCCGGGAGTGGAAGATCTTTAGATCAGAAAACTAAAAGAGATAAGAGAAATTCAAATGACTCAGACTTTTATGAATGTTGACATTTTTTAGAAATTTAAACATTTATTATCAAGGAATAATTCTCCAAGGCTTACGTTATGAAGTACTAAAAACATGTTTTTCCTTCCAAAATAAGTATTTCACCCTTATTTATATTCTAAGGATGAAAGAAATTCCTTGAATGCTTGAGCACCTTTCATGGTAGCTCGGCTAAAGCAGGAGTAATAATAAGATTGCAGGGCTCTCAGGAAGAGCAGTATCAATACTAATGAGGCTACCCTGGGTAAACAAGACATATTATATACCTCACTTAAGAAATTGCATTCATGAACTTTAACTATTTCTGTAAAATTCCCAGTAACCATGGTTAAAACAGTTCTAAAATCCCAGTAACCATGGTTACCGGGAAAATAGTTCAGTCTCCATGGTTACCCCATAGGTTTACATGTTAAAAAATGGTCTGAGCGATCGAGGATACCGTACGTGTGCGAAGAATTGGTCGGTAATTTCAATACAATTGAATCTCGATCGATTTTACCGACAATTTTATCTTGCATTGTTGACATGAAGACGAAAATAAACTTCCAAAAACAAAAAAAACAACATCTGCCGATAGATCTTGATCTAAGTTCGTGCCAATATGCATTGCAAAAGTAAAAGTAAAAGAAGGGCCCGTTTAATGGAGCAGCGGCGAAGCATCCACCACGCGAAGCCGTTTTCAATCCATTTTAATGTATATATTAGAGAAAACTGCTAGATATGGTGACAGAGCGCGATGGCCGAGCGGTTTAAGGCGCTGATTTTAGTTACATCACCTTTTGTACGCAAGAGATCGAATCCCATCTTCGACAAAATTTTTTTGTTTTTTATTTTTTATTTTTTAGTCTATTTTTTTTTGGCATATAAAAGTATTAATGAATGCTTTAATATTCGAGAAATAGTTGTTTTTATACGCTCTCGGGAAGGTTACAATTGGGCTATTGCCCTCGGCACGCCTCGGGTAATAGCACAATTCTAACCTTCCCTTGAGCGTATAAAAACAACTATTTCTCTCAAAGCAGTCATTAAAGGTAATACAAAGTTTTGGGAAATTTTGAAAATTGGGTGAATAGTGAATCTTTACAATTTTGATATATTTGGATGCCCCTGTGGATGTATTATAAGTACTAAAAAATTAGCTCCTAAAACACTTCTGCTTTCGAGAAAAATTGAATATAAAAATTTACCGGTGCTCCCGGTAAATTTTGATTAATTTCAAATAGCGAATCACGTATCGGCACGGCCAGTATTAGATGGGCGCTGACATTTTGCGCACTAAATTTCACATTTCTGTGCGTGAATACGTTCTTTTTCTCTTCTCATCTCATGCATATTCATTCCCCCCTGAACAACTGTCGAATCGATAACCAGGATTTTTTATTGTACCTCTAGGTTCAGTTAATCAAGCTCGTTCCAAAACTATATTATTTGTCCATATTTGTTTTTGCCAAAATATTCTAAATGCGATCTGAAAATGACCTTATTTGTCACTTTACGACACTTAAAATTCAAGGTTTTTTTTAAGTTGTCATGGCAATAAAATACAATTTTTTTAATGATCTCATGTATATATTTTGATTGCTCATCATTTTCTCCTCAAATTGATCATTTAGTTTTACAAGTCTCGTTGGGCAGATTTTAAGCTACGAGTCCTCAAAGATAAGGAAATTTTTTATCGCCTGATGAGTGATGTGTGTTATGTTATTAAATGAAGCTGAGCCAGGTGTAGACCGAAAGCTTCAGTCTCTATAATCGTCGGTTGTTCCACTGAGACTACGTCTGGCTCCACTAGACCTCCGGTTATCTAGTGGAGCCAGACCATAGAGATATATACTTAATAATGAGCCAGACGTAGTCTCAGTGGAACAACCGACGATTATAGAGACTGAAGCTTTCGGTCTACACCTGGCTCAGCTTCAGTTAATAACATAACACACATCAGGCGATAAAAAATTTCCCCTGACCATGCCCAAGAAATATTTGATTTTCTTTTAATCTAATAGAAAAAAAATCTTGTGACATGTGCATATCTAAAAACAACATTCTAAAGAAACATAATCTAAAAATGTCATGATAAAATTCAATTCGAGCGATTTTTAATATTTTTTTAAACTTGTGTTTATGCTTCCAAATGTGCGCAAGACACATTTATCTGCATGTGGGATTGTTCACACAACGGTAGGGTGGCGTTACACTACACTGACCGAAGCGGGCTACACGTGTTCGCGTACACGCTAAATATATAAATCAGCTGCTTTTGTTGTATTTTCAAACTCAGTTTAGTATTTGTTTCACGTTATAAATCTGCAAAACTAGGTAATTAAATCATCAGAAATATCATAATAAATTGTATGATAACTATCAATTCTCGTATCTTGCTCCATATTCAATAATGTACTACGATTTCGGGTGAAAGGTGTGAAATTAGGAGAAATTGGAAAAAATTACCTTATCTTTGAGGACTCGTAGCTTAAAATCTGCCCAACGAGACTTGTAAAACTAAATGATCAATTTGAGGAGAAAATGATGAGCAATCAAAATATATACATGAGATCATTAAAAAAAATTGTATTTTATTGCCATGACAACTTAAAAAAAACCTTGAATTTTAAGTGTCGTAAAGTGACAAATAAGGTCATTTTCAGATCGCATTTAGAATATTTTGGCAAAAACAAATATGGACAAATAATATAGTTTTGGAACGAGCTTGATTAACTGAACCTAGAGGTACAATAAAAAATCCTGGTTATCGATTCGACAGTTGTTCAGGGGGGAATGAATATGCATGAGATGAGAAGAGAAAAAGAACGTATCCACGCACAGAAATGTGAAATTTAGTGCGCAAAATGTCAGCGCCCTGGTAATGTCGAGACGCGCGTGCATACGGCGAGCCGTGCTGATACGTGGAATACGGCCGTACAATAGTAGCTGCGACCCTGAAAACTTCAGAATTATGTAGTTTTTATATATAACTACCGACCGGGAATAGCTTATCGGTCGATTTTAGTCAAGAAACATTGTTTTATAGCTTAATTAATATCTTGGCCTTGAGAGGGCACTATACAACATAAACAGTTTATTATTTATAATTTTATAACTTTAGACTCGATTTCAACCGCGACAACGATCACTGAATACTGAATGATCGCATATGCTTCCAATACGTTCATTTGAACCAAATTCATGACCCCATACCAAAACTTTGTATTACCTTTAATACTATATTATTATTATTATTATTGGTAGTATTATTACCATTCATTTTTGCATGATTCCCTGAAGACAATTTAGTCATGTGTCTGAAATTAGGATAAGTAATATTTTTCTTCCTTCTTTTTTTGCCTGTCAAAATTGTTGTATTTGTAATTATTTGGTACTTCATGTGAATGCTACCCCTAGATGCAGTACGTATACATGTACCGACAAGTATTGACATTTCCAATTGGTATTAATCTGAACCTTGCAGCTGAAGCAAAGAAACCCAAGACCACTAAAGGTGGCAAGGGCAAAGGAGAAGACAAGGGCAAGAAACCTGCCAAGAGAGGTCGTCCACCACGCAAAGCCGTCGTCAGTGATGATGATAGTGACGATGAGGTAGACGACGATGATGATGACGATGATGGCAAGTCTGATGATAATGGCAAGTCTGATCAGGATAGCCAGCAACAAAGTGATGATGTGAGTAGTAACTAGGTGATGATGATATCATCCAAAATATGCACGAAAGCTAATCATATTGATAATCATTTGTCTAACAATTTAATATTGACCCTATTTTTACAGCTCCCCCAGCCATGAAACACGAACGTTCCATGGCCAGTGCATGGCCGAGGGTGCTGTAGAAATAGCTGTTGGGTATACCTGGATATAATGCGCCAGATATTCTACCTCTTTCTACTTTTGGACACTGATATATAAACTCTACTTACCATAGCTCTGCATATTTGTAGCAAAAAGTACAATATGAAATGTATTTGGAGATTTAATTAATGTGTTGCTTGAAATCATTTAGACAAGACCATTTGATGTACAGCATATTATGGTAAATCATTTACTGTTCATGGAGCTAAATTTCTTCTCGTGTTTTTGTTTAAATTTGTTGACAAAAATAGAGATGAATATTTTTTTGTTGATTCTGTTTGGTAATTCTTTATTTGGTTCATGTAATCACCCTAAAAACATAAAAATACTGTTGCAGCATTAATATCACTGACATAAACAAATTCAATTTATCATTACAGGCCGATTCAGACACTGATGCTGATGATAACACGCCAGATACATCCCGGGCTTCGTCTAGAGGTGCGTCCCCCGCTCCAGGCAAGAAACGATAATGGAGCAATGTAAAAACATGTGTAATCTAGTCTTGTAGGTAGTTAGGGGGTGCATCCCCCGTTACAGGCAAGAAATGATGAATGCATGTAATCTTTGTATAGTAAGTTACGATGATTGGAGAACATATCTTTCAGAGCAAGAGAGAAGAGAGTGTGACAGCTTTTAACAATTTTGGGGAGGTAACTTTGTGAACTTGCAAATTAACTTATATTATTACCTGTTTTTTTATTATTAGTGTTTATTTCTTTGGAAATTATTAATGTTTACACGAGCTGGGTTACTGCAAGTGAGAAATAGTTTCTTGAGCAGTCAATTTCAGACTCCATCATATAAACAAACCTACATGTTCATCTGTAAATAGTCCTTTTATTTAGTGATGTCATTATTCTTTTTGTATTGGTAGTGCATGGTGTTTTAATGATTTAGTCAAGACCTGATGTCAATACAATCATTTTCTATCAGTTCTTTCACAAAGTAGCTATGTTAGGAATTATAAATTAGATAGATGTAAACAAGTAAAGGCAAAAAGGAACATTCTTAGACAGGTAAAAGAAGTTTGTTTTTTCTACAATTTTGCAGAATCCTAGCTTGAGTTGTCAGTGAAATCCTACGGGTCTATGTTAACTCTTGACATTTAAATTATAAAATAAAACCCATGTTAGTTTATTCCTTTCTTGCAAACGAGCTTACACTGGCCATTTGATCTCTACCTTATGTCCATCTTGTTTAAAAAGTGTTTAAAGCATGTATTGATCTTCATTACCAGGGAACCGTTTCACAAAGCCTCTTTTCAATGACAAATCTGCTGATAACCAATCAGAAGCTAGGATTTCACTAGCTTATAACAAAAACTGTCATTTGTCACTGGCAGAAGGGCTGGCTGGCAGAAGGGCGTTAGCTCGCGAGCGACTCTTAAACTACTTTTCAAATTATTTGCATTGAAAGATTTGTTTTATATTTAAACTGCTTTCCATCTCAAAAATTGGTTTAAACTTAAAGACTAATAGAAATGTTACAGTAGAACACGGCTACAATTTATTTTCAGAGATTTTCAAACTTATGCCCTTCTGCCACCCAGGCGAAGATATATGCCTTGGTTTTATTTTGATTTTGATGTTAGTGATCTATACTCGTCCAGTGCACTAGTTTTATAAATCTTGTAACAAATTTCCATCTTATTTAGTTTAAATAGTACATTCCACATGTGAGAACTGTGTAATTGATAAATCTGTTAGGCAAATAAGGCGGGCGATGACTGTGTCTTTGCTAAGATACATGTATAACAGAGAAAGAAGTCTGATGTATAAAAACGGTGAGGACAGAGAGATATGAGAAAGAAAGATTACAAATGTGGATATCCACAGGAAAATATGGTGACCAGTTAGAAGGAGAATACATACACTGTATAGGTTTCGTTATTCAAATGATTTGCAAAGTGATCTCATAGATGGCTCGAGTATGAAGTAAAAAAAAAAAATGGTGCCTTCTTGGTTCGTAAAATCACTAGTAATTTATTGTAATTAGTACCTTAAGATCAGAAGGCTTCTTTTTTTTTTTCATAGATGAAGGAGCTTTAATGTTTATGTATCCAAGCCTCGAGTATGCCACTTGTCACCATTGTATTAGTGTATAAAAGAAGGAAAAAAAACAAGAAAACAAAAGCATGTATGTTTGGAAAGATTGGAATGATTTTTAGAGCTTATAACTCCCCTTCTAGTGGATCTCTAAATTTATGTTGCTTGTAGTAACGAGGTTCCAAAATGGCCGTCATTGTGGTGCACATTTCGAAGAAAACGCTCTATTTTTCTGTAAGCCTTGTACCAGAGCCTGTGGTAACGGCAACAATGTATTGGATGTGTGATACGAGTGATCTTACGGAATAAAGGGACACATGCTAATCATCTGTTTCTCTTGGTTGTTTGTTGATGCAATGAATGTGTTTTGGCTTATACAGACAATGTGACCTTTGACACAATGCCTGCTATTTACATGTAACTTCCAATTTGCACGCACTGTGGTGCAATTATGCAGCATGGCAAGCAGCATATTTGTTAATTAATTGGATTCCCAATTTCATTCCTCTCTCTCCTATGTTGTCTCTTACTCTCCGCCCCCCCCCACCCACATCTTGCTTCTCTCTTACACTCTGTCTCATTTTCTCTCTCTCTCTCTATCTATTTCTCCCTCTCTCTCTCTCTCTCTCTCTCTCTCTCATTTGATAAAATTATGTAATGCAGACAAGGGACAAAGATTCAAAGAAAATATACTTTATTAATCTATGCGAACACAATCATACATCATTTCATTATCATACTTGCATAATTATATGTATGATACTACAAATTGTGTTGAAATAAAAGCTTGTTTTAGAAACAATAAAAGATAAATATTACAATCATTTTCTTTTACTAAATAAACAATTATACTATAAATTTAAGATTATCCAACGTTTCTAGAATAAGTCAATAAAACGTGTGTCTGTGTTGGTCATTTATTCATACACTGGGGAAAAACAACAAAAAGCAAGTATTTCCAATGACCTAGACAATATGGGGGGGGGGGGGGGGGGGGGCAATGAATGAATGAATGAATAGCAGAAAAATAGAGCAAACCTTGTATTAATGCGCAACTGGTACTGGAACCTAGTAATGTATGGTACTCTATATTTGTACAATTGATAAATATGAGATCCACTGATTAAATACACAATAATATCAATACAACTTGGATCCATTGATACTTACATTTTCTCCTGGCATGTACAGTTAATTATCAAATATTAATACAAAAGCTCTTGTAAACTTAGCCTTTCAAGGTGTAGAGATACAATTCAATGAAGAGCTATAATCTGTTGAAAGACTTTGAATTCATCATCATACATGTAGTTGTGAAAGGATTTGTGTATCAAGGTGCACTCTTATGGTGTCTGGTGTCACAGAATAATAAAAACTTCTTGCATCATATTGCATTAATTCATTGATCGACAGATACCTGCATCTGATGTTGCGCATGTATCACATGAATGATGAAGATGGGGAACCTGGCCAAACATTCACCTCATTATCTCAGAGATAACCAGTTTCATCTCCCTCCTCGTCCTCCTCTTCCTGCCCTCCCTCTACCACTCCCACCAAACCCTCTCCCTCCACTCCCGCCAAACCCTCGCCCGCCCCTCCCAAACCTACCCCTCCCTGCAAACTTCCCCCCTCCACCACCTGGTTTGTTGGTGGTCCCCTCTGCCTCGCCTCCTCCTTCCTTGTGCAGGAACTCCCAGAGGAACTTGGCATTCCCTTGATGGGCTAGGATCTCACCTAGTCGCTCCTGAGACAGCGAGACCAGCTCGGTCAGGTCCGTCAAGTTCCTCATGATCCGCCTGCAAAATACAAAACAATTAAATAAACATAGTTTTTTAAGAAATAAAACAAATGCACACCTTACGGCATGACTATGACTGGATTTTGGGATTAATTGCAATTAGATAATATACAGAATTTTGAAAATATAAGTTTTATCTGACCAAGATCCCAATGGACGTGTAGATCATTACTGAAGTATGCCTTCCTTATGTCACTACATTTCCTAACCAACGGCCTCAAAACCCACTGATAATTCTATGTTACTATTTATATGACACTTCTGTACTTCGAGCAGTAAGAAAATTCACATTTGATGAAATTCCTAATGCCATCAATTTAAACATTCCTACATAGTCAAGTTGTAAGGCTTGTGATGGCCTTAACAAACTTTACTTCATTAAAAGGGGTAAGGGGCCCATAGCCATGGAGGAAGAAGACAAGTAATACTGGTCCCAATCAACCAAATCATGAAATTTGAGTGTGACAATTACTTCTGGACTTGCTTACCAACCAAATCTGAAATATAACATACTACATGTATGGCTTTCTATGACTGCCCGTACTACCTACCAACAGTTCTTGATGTTGATGCCTGGTAGCTTAAGCAGCATATCATAAGGAGCATGGTTGTACATCTGTTTGGTGAGAGGGGATGATTCGTCACCCCCTTCTCCTGCTCCTTCCTCTTCAACTGTGATGCTAGCCGCTATGGCAGCATCAGGCTCGGATCTTCCAATCTGAAAACGATAGATTTAGAATCTTGAATGTAATGTTCAATTCATATGAATATTGAAAACATGAAAATACAGTCACCGCTTTCTGATTTGTGAAATGAAGGAATTCTTACACAAGTGTGAACATATGAATTGTATGAAGTGTTCTCATAATAATAATAATAAAAACGGTGCTTATAAAGCGCTTATCACCAAAAGAATTTTGCTAGAGCATGCTATTGGAGTATTCCCCACAACTATCTCTACAAGGTTACCCTTAAGCAAAGTATAATAACTAGTTGAAACAATGCCCATATAACTGAACCAAAATTTGCTTACACTCTAAAGACTATTAGACTAACAGGTATTCATTTTGTGATCTATAAATATACATGAAAAACAAAATTAATGCTATAATTGGATAAATATTTCAGCACATTGGGAAAAAATGGAATGTTGTAACCTTAGAAAATTTGAAGACCAACGACTATGCACACATGGAGAGGGAACATTAAAGATAAAGGGGACTACAAGGGAAAGGGGACTACAAGGTGGAGAGGGGGGGGGGGGGGAGGAATGAGATACAAATGAGAGCCAGATTAAAAAGCATAAGAGAGAGAGAGAATTCATGAGGGCTATGGCAGATAGGAAGATAACTAAAATAGAGTAGAGCTTTGTTTCTTTCTACCTTGAGTTCTTCAAAGAGTTCTGCTGTAGCGTGTGGACTGGGACACCACAGGATACGAAGCTTAGGGAAGTGAAGCGTTAGCAACGTCAGCTTGGAGGATAGGTTCTGGTACGAGATCTCATTGGACATGGTAGACTGGGTCTAGTAAGATATAGAGAATATTATATAAAAAGAAACTGATTTAATTTCAATTCATTGTCATTTATGATGTAAAAGAGAGAAAATTAGAAGTATGACCAACAGGGTTCATTACACCCACATGCAGCTACTAAAAACATGTTTGAAATATCTGTATATGCACTGCAAATTTCGAAATCATGAAAAACTACAGCTTAAAAAAAATAATTCTGTTGCATTTTAAACATTTCACAAAAACTATTCAAATATACCAAGTCAAACATAAAAGGAGCCAAAATGTTGTTGTTGTTGTTGTTTAGATGGTGCTCTTCAATCTTGTCAGATTATCTGTGCCACGGCATTCCATCTTTGATGTTCATCCTTTCAAATTTTTAATCTCATGGCTCACTTTTACTAATTTTTTTTTTTATAGAGCTGCTTTTATAGTACCAAGGTATCAAATAGGGCCTTATATCCACACTAAACAGAGTTACTAAAAAAAGTGTCCATACAAACCTGGAGAGCAAATGATTTATTAGGGTTGAACTCGATGAGTAGTACTGGTCTCTTGTAGAATCGTGTCATGGATAGAGCCTGGTTATAGAGTCTACCATTGGCCAACGAACCAATCAGATCACTGATGCTCTTACGCTCCACACAGATGTCAGGGGTCAATATGTAGTCTCCAACCTGGACATTCAAAAAGGACAAAACTTACACCAGGGTCTTTCTCACAATACCTACTAATAATAGGATTCTAATATGAAAAGTGGTGAAATTATTGAATTTGACTTGATAGTAACATTCTAATTAGGAAATTTGACTTGATATTAATCGGGAAAGGGATACTGCTTTACTAAATATCAAAGTGGAAATAAAGAAGATTTTGTTTCAGTTGCTTAATTTAAATTATTCTATGTGAAAACCTTTAAATCCTGTATTTATAGGTTAAATGTTATTTTGAGGAAACAAATCACAGGGCCTGAACATAGAGAAAGGCATATTTTAGTTTGTACAGTTCCAACAAGGTAAACCCATTAACAGTCCTCAAGACCAATGTACATCAATCACAAACAGATGCCTGGTGCATTACGACCCCCTTCTCCATGAATTGTTCTGGATCTCCGGAGATGTTTAAATGCCTTGCAATAAATATCAATCAAGAATGAATTCATGACAGCTACTGGACTTACCTCTATGGTGACTGGTTCGATGTCGATACCTCTCTTGTGAATCAAAGATGGCAGCTCACTGCGGAACTCTCTCATGTCAACAATAATCTGCAATCAACAAAAATAAGTTTTACCCTGTTGAAAGGTAACTCGGGCTAGAATCTATCGAAAATGTGTTCTATACCATAATCCTGGAATCTACGGAAATTGTGTTTTATACCAAAATCCATTCATTTTTTTAAAGCTTATAGTGCAGGAAACACATTTGACTATTTGGTATAATTAATGATTTTATAGCAAATGTTGATTTACACATTTTTTATCTACTGCATTGATTTGATATGCGAAGGGTACTGTCCCCTACAGATTGGGAATTTTAATCTCAAACTTCATATACTAAACAAACACAGTAGATAAGATCTATGTATTAAAGTAAGCATTCACGCAGTGCAGATGTAAAACATCTGGAAAAGACTACTTGTCAAAAAGTCAATTTTGCACAAACTTGACAACATCTGTCGAATCAAAACTTTGGGATACTAAACACCTGGAGCAAATGGTGAAGTGAACTGCAATTGATTGTCACTATGTCTAATTATTCAAGTTAGAACAGCACCCAGTGCTAAATTAGGTTGCACAAACCTTTTTCTGTCCTTGCGTTACCATCGCTTGACCCCCTGCATTCCTTGAGCTAGACGCCGACGGTAACGCCGGGTCACGTGATAGCTCACGAGCGCTGTCGTCCTTCCCATCTATATCTGCAGGAAGCACCATGGTCTGTGTAATAATAGGATGGTTAATTTTACCATTTCAAATAAATGATGAAAAAAATCTGAGACAAGACACAAAAATATGAGATATGAAAAATCTCATCATATTCTCATTATATTCCAAAAAAAATTCTCTCAAGTTTACTTTAATATTCTTGATCATATATATGAAAATGTTTTCTAAACAGTTTATGAAAATGTACCTTTTTAAATTTTTTTTATTGCAATTTACGTTTAATCCAAACTATCAATGTACAATGTATCCAGTTTTGTTAAGAATGATTTATACAATATGTATTTGATTTGAGAGAAAATAATAAAAAGTATCTTTAAAGAAAAGAAATATTCCAGCATAAAAAGAGCCAGAAGTGGACACTCGGTTTGAAAGAAAGTTGGAAGATTGATGGCCACTCTAGACCCCATCCCCATTCATATCAGCCATCCTTCCTTTGTGCATTCAAATTTTAGGATAAGAAACTACTCCTTTACTTGGCCCTAAATTACACAAAGAGAATAACAATTTGTAGACATCCCACATCTTGTCAATTTCTCACAACAACTCCATAAGTATAAGAACCCTTGCATCCATTTTAGGGTTACCTTTTGGCAAGCAGTTTTCTGTTTCTTGATCAGCTTCTCATCAGCTTATTGGAGCAATATGTATGTGTCAAAACTAAGGAAAATCTTGCTATTCCAGCAAAACGTATACATGTATACATGTAATAAAACAGATGTCTGCAAAGCTCATCCAAAGGGTTACAGATATCAAGTTTGTATTTTAAGTATTTTGACAAGAAAAACATCAGAACAATTTTCCTCCCTGTACCATTAGCCACTTAAACAGTGTATTACTCACAGACTTCTCTTTGATGAGATTCTCAAAGGCACTTTTCTCATATCTGAGTGATGTGAGGTATTTCTGTTCTTCAGTGGATCCAGAGTAGATGAGGAAATATACTCTGAGAGGATGGTTAGGTCTGCAGGCCTTGAATACCTGTACAAACAAACAAGATACATGTAACGCTTATTCACAAATTTGTTTTAGGCACAAAAGTGGTAATGATGATAATGATTACACTGACAAACTTAGCTTATCTACACACCATGCTGAGATCTGTAGACATGGCAGGTACTTCTTAAAGTCTGTCTGCACAAGTTTGGCCAGGAGGGTATAGACGTCCCTGCAAGGTCACTAACAGGTGGTTATCTCATCAAATCAGCTCTCAATTAACATAAGAAAAAGAGGATCACGGGGGATAAATGGGCACCGCTAATGCATTGTTTGCTATAGAGAGGGCGCAAGTAGCTACAAGTAGTACAGTGGGGCTTTAAAAGTTGTGATTGTAGTTGATGATAGATAATGAAATGGTTAAAATAGAAGTAATTAACACTTAAATGATGAGAGAAGTGGAGGCAAGTTGGATGGGAGAATGACCCTGATGCAGGTGGTTATGAACGGGGGGAACAAAAAAGTTGCTACAATTATAATTTTACATGATTTCCCTTCTTTCTTTATTTTACAGGAAACTACCTGCTGTTATTAAATCCTTATTGGTTTTTTATTACTGGAAATCATTTTCATTATATGGTAGTTTTTTGCTTCACTCACCTCTAGTTGTCTAACAAACTGTATCTCTGCATCATACAGGATAACATATCTTGGCTCTAGCTCGTGTAGGGTCTTAGTCAAACTGTAGGGATCTCTGAAATGATATAAAAAAACAACAATTAGCATGTTTTCCACTGCTAGGTCTGTCAAGACACTCAAGTTCTACTACCTGCTGTAAACGTTCATCCATGGAAAGTCTTGATGAACTGGTGGACATAAATATGATCCTGCACGGCCAAACTTGCAGGCAAGTTGGAAAGATCTAAAATAAGGTGGTCAGTAGATTCATTCTCGCTTGTCAAAATGAATATTTGGTTTTGTTGATGGAGAAAGGATCAGATCCTTTAACTGTGTTGCTCTTGGTAAATACAGTGTGAGTCAAAAAAAAGTTTACACCTAGAAAATTGCTAATCATTTTTAAAATCACCTATGATCAGTAAATTATTATACATGTTATGAAAGAGTGTTTTATCCCAAATCATTTGGTATCATTTTTGTGTGGTATGTGTTCATGCTTGGATGAACAGGAGGCATTGTTTGCGAGAATGCAAAAATCGATTTGCGCCAAAGTTGCTTAAGTGATGTTTTAAATTAATCATGCCACACATATCAGATATCAAATATCAAATATCAATGAACATTTGTGCGCTCGTGTGCGTGCGTGTGTGCAAAAAGCATATGCAATGCATTTCATTTGATACATTCAATTCATTCTCTCACTCCGCTAATCCTTACATAATACATACTGTAGGCATCACTTTGGCGCAAGTCGATTTTTGAACTCTAAACAAACCTGTTCATCCAAGCGTGAACACATACTGCACAGAAATGGTATCAAATGATTAGGGATAAAACACTCTTTCATAAGATATACAATAATTTAACTGTACATAGATAATTTTAAAAATAATTAGCAATTTTCTAGGTGTAAACTTTTTTTTGACTCACACGGTATATGCAAGAAAGTCATGAAGGATACATGCATGATGCATATGAACTGTCGGTCAAACATTGCAAATCCACTGGTCAGCCAGTGGGCAAGACTACTTTCATCAATTTTTGGCATATATGCATACCTGCCAACATTTGAAAATAAGAATTAGGAATTTTGAGCACGGTATGTCTTCGAAAATGAGAAATCCCACTTGCAGCGGCAGTGTACCTGGCAATAAGCGGTAAATACTCGGTAAATCTGTACCAAAGAGCGAATACAAATTCGCTGCTCGATCATGCACTGCAGACATTAAACGCACACAATACCTCAACTCTCCAAAAACAGAATGCAGGTATGTATATGGCTTTAGATCATTCTCAAACCATGAATATAATTGAATGTCTGATTTAAGTAAGAGCTTACCTGCAACCATGGAGAGGGTGTATGACAGTGATGGGTGTGGTCTCAATGTTGTAGTATGCTTCAATCGATGATAGCTCTATCTCATCATCAACATCCACTGATCTGGTACTAGGTATCCTAGCTCTCTGAGAATCATCCTGAAAGAAAAACATAAATACAAGTGTAGATGATACACGGAAAGGATGAAAGGAAAGCAGTATCTATATGATACTATGCTGCAGTAAACCACCACAGTTCGGCGGAGAAGTGTTTCAAGCGTTTTAGGCATTCTACACTTTAAACTGTTTGATACAACTCACTCCCAGATCCTTATCAAATGATTGGTCATGCACGGTCACGTGTGATTCATTTACTGAGCCTATTGCACGTTCTATTTCACGCCTTTTTAGTGCATGTACATGATGCGCAGTAGTGCGCGTAGAGGTTAGCGCTTAATGCTGTGTGTGCATGGGCCTATTCTTGCACAGCAATATGCGTAAATGGGTATAGAGGTAAGTGCACTTGCTATATCTATGTGTGCGCTAAATTAAGCCTTAAACTTGAGATTTATTTGTCAGCCATACTGTCACGAAACAAATTTGAATTAATTATTTTTACCTACATCAAATAACAAGGATCTAGGAGTTTCGTTGTATAAAAATGATGCATGTTTTCATTCGTTCATTATACGATCTATCCACCCTCGTTGATGCTGTGTGTATATATCGCACTCAGCCTAACGGCGCCGTGCAATAGATACACACAGCCTCAACTCGAGTGCGGATAGATCGTATAATGAACTCACGCGCATGCATCATTTGTATAATATCTCATAACACACAGACAATTGGGTAAGCATAGTACCACTGCATGTGCTACTTAAAAAAAATCTCCACTGCCGTTCATGTAGTATACAAAAAAACTGTGGCATATGTTAGCGAGCCTTTAGTGATGTTTGGAATGTGTTGTGTGCTAGTACTCTCAGAACAGTCAAAACATTATTTATAAAAAACAACTTCTAGAAATGTACATTAATAGGCTGCGCATCAATTGAACATTTCCGCCAGGAACACAGCAATTTTTCCTTTGTGCTTACCTCATCACCTTCACCGTCCTCATCCTGTCCGCCTTGGAGATGGCCGACTTTCCTTGCTATCTGGGTCAGGGTCACTTCATCATCTTCCCGCTTCCTCTTGACCTTTCCTAATCCTGACCTTTCACCTTTGCCCCTTCCTCTGGCATCCCTCCCTCCTACATTGGAGGTTGATGAGCCAGAGGCCTGATAGTAAGAAAGCACAAAAAGGAGTAATACCCTACTGTTCTGTCTTGTTTTTGAAGTTTTTGTCGTTGTTGGTAGTGGTGGTTTTGTTCATATCTATATGCAGATCTCCTTTTTTTTTTCTCATTTCAGGATTTAATACTTATAAGCTGACCTTTTCATGAGAACATGCTTTTGAGAATAAAAAGGACACATATATTTTTCGAGTTATTGCTCTCACTCAAATCATCACAGGCAGCTTACGATGAATGTTTGCATATGCATCGCCAGCTCATTATTATGTTACACTGAATTTGCGAAATTTGCTAAAATAAAACCCTTTTGAAAAGAACAGCTTTATATTATTCAGTGACCATTAATCTATATGTTGGTAGATTGATCGTAGGAAAAAAAAGCGTTTATCATAGTGTTTATTTTAGCTATTAATAGAGATTGCAAGCACTAACCAATTCACACAAACTACATTTTTAACACTGGATTCCCATGAAATTCACAAATATATTTTGTCTGTTATAGGACCAGTCCAAGCTATTTTCAAAGCTATGTCATTGACCACATCTAACATTTCAGTATATCTAATTATTGCATCAAGCTTTATATATACATAGCCTTTCTAGAGCTTGAACCAGACAAACATAAAAAAATAAATTTATGTAAATATATATTTTTTAAATTTCATAATTCAATAATACTTGTTAATATGGGACCTTGGACTAGCCCTCCAAACTAGGACATTGGAGGAGACTTACCTGAGCAGCAGTAGCAGTGAATGGCTGCCCTGCTCCAAGTGTCTTCTGATAGAGTCTCTGTAGCAGAGCATAGGAACCATCACAGAGGTACTCCCTGAGCTGGGCACAGGTCCTATCATCACTGGCACAGATCAACACACGCCCTGAGGTATCTAATGATCAGAAGATACAAATCATCAAGGTGGCATAAAACTTTCAAAAAGAAAACTAAGTAATGGATTTTATATTCTAGTTGGTCCCTATTCTACCAGGCTTGCTACTAAAAATGTTACAAGGTCATGTACCTGTATATCAACTGGGTCTATGACTTCTATTTCAGAGACTAGGTAATTGAGAATTTCCATGCCTTAGATAAGACTCTATCAACATGGTTTCAAAATTGTTTAAAAGCACTAGCCTCACCACTGGGCTGGTGATCCTCCTCATACAAATACCAAATACTGAATAGAGTTGCACAAATATTCATGGCAGAAATAAATTGATGTTTGGTCAAAAATTAATACTTCTGTCCACAAGTATCAAATGAAAGGTAAAAAATATACTTTAGTTACAATGAAAGGAAGACAGAATTATCAACTTAAAACAAAACCCCCCTGTATACCAATTCAAAGATAATTGCTAAAGACATACCTCCTGTATTCTCCTGTCTGATCTCCTCTAGGACCTCAGAAAGCATCCTCCACTTAGGATTCTCCTCTAACAGAAGCCCTGAAAGAAACACCAGAATAATAGGTCAAACAGAGAACCCTCTTAAAAGGGCTATATGGAGCAGGATCACACATACGTCAAAGTATATTCATCATGATTATGTATATTTAATGTATACTATAAACAGGGCCTTGAGACTAAATCAAAAGCGAGGTTGAACAACATTCAGACAAAACTTGAAGTATGTGTTTACAATTCACATGTATCTAATTAAGTACTTATGATTGTCAATTATATGTTGTTCCTGTGAAATTACTGTGAAGCAAGATTGTAAATGTAAATATGAACAATTATCCTCTATGGTCATAATAAAGAAATGAAATGAAATGAGAGGAGACACTTTTTGCAAGCAAAAAAAATGCTGTCAATGCAGAGAATCATATGTATACATGTAGTACAATGACATGCAATTAGATACATGTAAATGATTGATTTGATTAAATGAAGAGATACAATTACCGTAATTAACGGTGTATTAACCGCACTTTTTTGCCGCCAAAAAAAAATCAAAGTCGGGGGTGCGTCTTTTACATGGTACACCAAAAAAAAAGTTTCAATTTATGCCCCTCCACTTGGCGCTATGCCTGGCAATGTCTTCAAGTTTTAGTAATCGGTGTGTTGACTTACCACTCGGAAACTAGAACAACACTCAAATTTGTCTGTTATCTTGGTTTGAAAGTAATCTTTCTAATCGATCTAAATATGTAGTTTATAATAATAATTCCTCCAATTTTTCTTCCATTACATGGCGTACCACAAGGTTCTATTCTAGGTCCTCTACTGTTTTTTTTAATTTACATCAATGATCTTAAACATTCAGCTGCACCTCCCAGTTAAATGAAAGGCCTTCCCGCGTGGGTTTTTTAACACGAACCTGGCTTGCTGCCGACAGAGTCGGCAAAAAATTAAATATATATATATATATATATATATATATATATATATATATATATATATACAACGTTAATTACGGTATGCTGTAAAAACACAGATAGAAGAAACATAGAAGATATGGATAGCGAGAGAAAGAGAGAAAGGAGATGATAAGAGGGAGAAAGAGAGAGAGAGAGAGAGAGAGAGAGAGTGTGTGTGGAAGACAGATGAGATGGAGAGATAGAGAGAGAGAGAGAGAGAGAGAGAGAGATAGATTGTATAGACATCATAAGGAAAAGTGCAACAGGCCATACTTATTTGTAAACATCCCTCAGAAATTTGTTCTATTAATATTACTTGTTACCTCTCTGTGTCTGCTTGGTGTTAGTAGCAGTCTCCTTCTTGTCTGTCTTTTGTTTCTTGTTTTTAGTGTCTGATGGGTCTCCATATATCCTCCTCTTGGCATGCTGTAAGGTAAAACATACAAGGCATTACGTTACTAAAGGAAGTACAACACTGTTATATTTAGTTCACGTCAAGAATCCTATTGCCGATGTACAAAAATATATATTGCTGTACATGTACCGGTACATACCAATTTTATATGATAACATGTAACTCACTCATAAGAAAAGGAGCACTATTTACTATGGACTACAATATCTCTCCACACTGAATTTCATAACCTGGCTTTTGTTCAGCAGCTACTCGATTTGTGTTGACATCAATTTCTTTCAGATATACATTTTACATACAATTAATAGATTAAATCCAATGATCTTATGAGTGAGTCATTGGGTTGGGATTTTGTGACTTTAAGTCCAAGAGAAAAACCATTTTCCCACTTTTCATTAAAATTAAATGTACTGTATTATAAACATTGGGGAATGAGACATAGCAAGCAAATCTGCATAAAACAAAAAATTGCCTTCATGGCACAAGAAAGTTGCTCTTCCCATCACATTGGTTTTTAAATCAGTGCCCTGTCTTATAATGAGCTTGGATTTATCCAAATCCATCGCAAGTCCTCTAATCATACGTGCAGTGCCCTATCTCTTATGTACACAGTTGGGATTGATACCAATCACGACTAAGTTTCGATCAATCGCAACTGTTTATAAGAAGGGGGCCCAGGACTGCAAACAGCAGAAGGACGATGCAAGTGAACTCTGAGCAACATGTAGACCCAAGGGTAGAAGTATGCTGATGAGCAGAATCCTTACCACGAACATCATCTCTGCAGCTTCCAAGAACAACCAGCCTGTATTGTTAGCCATAGCACGCTCATTTCCCCTGTAAACACAAGGATGATGACATTTGATTAGTTTTATTTACCAATTTTCTGACAATTTGCTCTCCTACTTCTTAGGCAATTCGCCATTGACCTTCGGGAATGTCATGATCTGCAAAAGAAATAATATCTGTTCATCTAACCTCTCTTGAAACTTGGGAATGAGACCCCCCCCCCCCCCCCCTGTTTCTTTCTGATGTGATGTAGACTTTCTCTTTTGCAGACCAGCTACCGGTGGTCAGTAAATCCTGAACTACAAGCATTTCAATCATGGCTACATTTCACAAGTTAACATAACATGCTAAGCAATAATAAATTAATTGGCAAGGAAAGAATAATTTGAATCACTCAGAAAGCAGACCATGTACATTCATCTCTTCCGGCTACTGTTTCTTGTCACCGTTATAAAAAGATTCTCTCAGACCACTCAATGCAAATAGGTGCATGTATAATGCATCTGAGATTATACTTTAACAAAACTAGTTTGCTCTTTATATCTTTCAGGAGGGTCAAATCTGACTCACATGAGCGCTATACAAGAACCCATTATTATTATTATTATTATTATTATATCTGCAAAGGGCAAGTGGCTGAATTTTTTATCACATAGTTCTTAGTTTTACCTGAGAGTCTTGAGAAAGTTGTAGAACGTCACACAATCATACTGAGTCAGATAGCTGCAAAAAAAAATGAACAGTGATAATCATGTTAGCTTTCTTTGAATTAGCATAAAACACAAGTCAAACAAATTCAATAAGGTTAAAAGCAATAAGACCAAGAAGGTGTTTCACAAAGACTAAGATCAACTTTAAGTTGGACTTAAATATGGCAGGCTGTTCATGCCACTTTTTGTCCTCACCATTATGATTTTTAGATATTTTTTACTTTAATAATGAATTATCAAAACATATAAATTCTGTTAGTTTGTGACCATGATTTGTACTTCCCTTGACAGACTAATGAGAGTACTATTGGTGAGAGCAAACAGTGGCATGAATGGCCTGCTATAGTTATATCCATCTTAAAGTCAATCTTAGTCTTTGTGAAACACCCCCATGTCATATAAAATATATTCATACAGGTACCAATAACCTCCCAGCCTGAAGAAGAAAAAAACACATCCCCTGGCAAATGAAAGATTCTCCTTATTTTTTCCCCTTTTCCTCAGATTCATGATATTTTTCAGTTCATTACTTCTACTTCACAGAATATTTACTATCTATATGCATATCTTACAACAAGCATATAGGACTGCCTTGTGACTATTGAGCTAGAAATAATTAATGACACAATGGAAATGGAAATTAAATGAGAACCCCTCCAAAACTATCATACTTACAATAGAAGCATCTGTAGGAGCTTCAAATCACTGACAAGTTGCTTTGTCTTGGAGGACTGAGTAAAAACAGAAAGGAAGAATATGCAAGACTTTTTTTATCACAACAGGATGATTCTACAATATTTAACTAAACCCTCCTCCACCTCACAACACACACAAACTCAAAGCAGCAGCGACATTTCAAACAAACCAAGTTTTACCTGTGACTATGACTGTGGTGGGTTTTTATTGAATCTCTTTTCACCTCCTAGTTCTGCTCATGCACATAATTAACATGAAGATGTATGAGGTTTGTAATACTCTACATAAAATGTTCTAAACGAGATAATTAAGGCCACTCTGATCATAACGCTGATTCTTTTTCTACGAGATGTGAGGTATGTAGTACCACAAAGAAGTATATTACATTTTAAGTTTTTGCAATGTCTTATTCTAATTGAACACACAAATTTTCCTTTTGAATGAAATTGCTGTTGGGGTATTGAATTCCAGACATTGGCTATGGAAGTGATTGTATACTAACCAGTGTGTGCCAGATAGGATCCAGTTGTCTTCTAATGACATTGGTTAGAGACTTCTTACCAATGGCATTCTCAACGGTCAGATCATCAGAGTCCAACTATCAGGATACACAGAAACATTAGAGGGTTATTACAAGGTGACTTTTATATGTCAGTAATACTACAAGTCAAATCAACTTACTGCACTCTAAAGGTTTAGTATAACCATCAGTTACAAGTGGCTTCTTGTAAATTCCATGTCAGCCAAGAAGTGACATTTCAGGGTTCACAATTCAAAGCTTAGCAATTGATCATACACTTGGTTTTTAATGATTGATTGCAAATAGTGATCGATGCAATCAATCAACAACAAAAAATTGTATGATAAATTGCTAAGCTATGGGGAACAGGGACCTGGTGCTGAACATTGCACCGGCAACCATTACGGCACTATGGAAGTCCAGTGAACTAAACAATAAACCATGGTGTTTCACAATCATCAAGTTGAACAAAATAAATTTCAACCAGGATTTTAAACAAGCAAATTGATCTTAGTATTGAGACAAGGACAAGGTGATGTGCAAGAATGACTTACTGATGGGTTGACCTGTTTGACCTCTTTGATGCATGCTCCTATGATATCTAGTATGGACATCTGAATGGAGACCATGGCAGGGGTCATCGTCAGCTGCAGCTCTATCACCTCAGGCTGGACATGAGCAAACAAGAGAAGACAAAAGTGGGAATACAAGAAGTTGCTGGGCAGAAAAAATATTGGTAGAAAATATTGGTAAATTTTCTTGTCAATACTGTACAGTACATCTGTACTCGCATTTGAATGCTTGGAATACATAGAGGTGATGTGGTCAAATGGATATGTCACCGGATTGTCGATCACAAAGTCAGCGGTTCGACTCCCGCCGCAGGACATTGATCTACATTTGCCACACTCAACCCAGGTGGGGTAAATGGGTACTTGGTAAGATTATTCCTTGAAATGCACTGTGCGCTGATAACGCTAAAGCTAGGGTAATAATTTCCAAAGTTCTTTGGAAGCGCATAGAGGTGTTATTTCATAACGTATTATGCGCTATACAAGAACTGAATATTATTATTATTATTCTAGCGGCTGCCTTTGGGCAAATCTCATGAAATCTATATAGAAGAGAAGTGCAGAGTTTGAGACAGAAGGATGCATGACATCTGCTCTCAATCACACATTTCAAAAACTGAAAATGGACAAACTTTAGTATCAAACAGAGGGTGGAGAATTATAAAAGTTGACTGCACATACTTGCTCATGAATACAATTTGAATCATTCCTGATTGTGTGACCGACTGACTAATGAGATTGACTGAGCTACTATACCTTGTGTCGTTCCATCAATGCCTGTACTGCTGCATGGAACCTGCCGAACGTTTAAAATTTTAATGCATCATTATCATAACTTGGCTCATAACATAGTAACAGTTTTGAAAGAATTTACATAAATATGCAATTCTTAAATCTTTACTGCCTTAGATTCAATGGTTGTTCAATAAACTTCCAAGTTCCAGTAATGTTCATCAAATATTTAACCAGATGCAAGTATATTGGTGAAAATAAACAAGAAATTCTTTTTAATCTTTCCCATCAAGATTTACTCGCTAGTCATGATGAATAATCAGAAGTTAGTGCCCCAAACAGAAAAGAAGATCGGAAATATCATAAATTATGCTGAAACACCCCACTATCAATATTACAGAGACAAAACATGAATAGACCATTGCAACTCTCAGGGCGCAACGAGAAGTGCTTGAAGACCTCACCTGGGCCAGAGGTAGAGCTTTCTGACAAAGAGGTTTCTCATCACTCTCTCTAGCTTACACAGCCCTGCAGCAAAGGTTTGGGGTTGGTCTGAGAAAGCCTTGATGAATCCCATCTTGTTCTTCTGACGGTATAGACGGAGGATGAAAGCTTCCTGGCAGGAATCGATGATCCTGAGGATGAGGGATAAGTGACTGGTAAAAATATCTACAAACTACTAAAAATCAACACAATTAATATAGAAATTCTTCACCTCTGAACTTCATGGAATTTTGAATGTCATTAACGTATGTGTTAAAGGGTTGTAATTACCACAAAAATGACCAAATTATACTTTAACAAGTAACAGAAATTTTTTGATTGAAGTACATGAATATAAAAATTGATAAACATTATGTTCATATTTTCACAATATCACATCCATCATAACTAGTGCTTAAAACAATAGGAAAATGGAGATGAAAATGAATGACAAGAAATGGAGGAGTGAATACTTTTTCATCACCAGATAATAACCCCTCTCCATCCTTGAAAGTAAACAGGAAAAAGTACAACAAAGAAAACTACCTTTCAATAACAGCCATCAACATCTCAAATGTGATCTATGCTACCAATTAGTCAACCCTTTTGTATGCTAAACAGCTGATGCGGTATCTTACTTGTGAGCCTTGTTGACGATGATACCAGTAACAAGATGAGCAGGTAGTCTCTCTGTGAGGAGATCAACCACAAGGATCCTGGATGATACAAAGAGAACTCCTCCCTGCATGTACACACCTGTCCTGCAGGAGATCAAAAACAGCGGATTGGATAATCGTGATACCCGCAATGGGCATGTAAGTTGATCTTTTGTTGTTTTCACCTGAGTGACCTGACTGCTAAGAAAGTGTGTGCAAGCTTGTGAGTAAGCAACTACAGGTCTGTTGGCTTTAAGTCCTCTTAGCTAGGGACTTGGTAATGAGGATTAATACCTTACCAAAGGGGATGAGCCCATTGCCTTGGTTTCAAACCTAGGAACTACCTGGTTTGAGAATCTTGGTCTGCCACTAAAGCCATTATACCTCCAAAGTAATTTCACTTTTTAACAGCAACCATTAACAAAAAGATACATTGATCAATACTTTGTAGTACAACCAGAAACTTCTGCACAATTTTTGCAAGAGGTCCCAATTTGAAAGAGTTTCTTGTCTGAAATAAATGTGCTCACAACAACAATTTTGTTTAGAGTTTTCTGCCAGGAAGACAACAATGGCCAAATCTTCATGGTTATATTTAGAGATCCTCTCGACTGTATACCTAAATAACTGCAAATTCAAAGAACTAAAATAAATCATAAGTTTTGATCACTTACCTTTCATTAGTTCCATACTCGTTGGTGATGATCTTTGGAAGGGGCTTGATGCCCAGTTTATCCAGTTCTTCAATAAGATAATTCTAAAGCAAATGAACAAAAAAGATAATTAATATTCTGCTTCCTGTAGAAACAAAGAAAACATCCCTCTACCATCTTTTCCTTTTCTTTCCTTTTCCTGCTTCAACTCACTTCTTCCCTCCTACCTCTCATACAAAGGCCAGTAGGCACGTAATAATTTATTGTTTATTTTTTTCTTCTCGTTATCGGCCAATAGGGACAGAAATGGATGTATTTACAAAATAGACAAAATTAAGAACAGGCAGGCAGACAAAGATCAGACAGAAGCTGAGGATGTTTCATCCTCTCTCATGAATAAAATTGGAAACCAGGCCTATTGGAAACCCATTGATTTAGTTCCACCAACAGGTTGAAGTACTGTATCAAAACACTTTGGCTCAATAGGTCTGTTTTCATCAGCCCAAATTGGCCAAATAACCCTCTATTTTGTAATCTGGGTAATTAGCCTGAAGTTACAAATCACGTCTCGAGAAATTTGCTTAGTGTTAGCGTATGCATAGTGCGAGATGGACCCTTCGAGCTAAAAAATGAACTTGCATGCCGGGATTGAGACATCTTCTCTGAGGGCTAGTGAAAACAGACCATATTTTGCAAGCTAGCACAAGCTATCTTGGGAAGATTTCTCAAGCAAATAGCCCGCTATTTTGCGTCTGCGTGATCTGGCTAATTTCCTGGTTCAGAAGTAGCAGGCTATTTGGCCAACTCGGACTGATAAAGACAGGCCTAATAGTAGCCTCTAAAGTTTATTAATCCCTGTTGGTCCTTTATGGCTAACAGATTTCAAGCAACTTGTTATGCCAAGAATAAAAGCTTACCTCTTCATAATCGTTGGTGTTGACAACCAAGACCAGATTCCCAGGATCACAGTAGAGCTTGAGGAAATTCAGCATCAGTCGAGAAATACCCAGGCCTCTGTCAAACAATACAATCACATACACACAGTATCACAGTTACTCAGATTTGGTTTGGATGTGGGTGTGCGGCTAATCTTGTAAACCCATACCCATTTTTAAGAGCAATTTTGGCAGAAAGTGGTACCCATTATTAGGGACTTCCATTCAGTTAGGCTTACATGTAATTAGTTTTAGTATAAGCGCGTTATGGGTGAGATATTATCCTGTAGAAAATAGTGACCCATGTTTAAGGCCAAAAGTGGGGATACTTAAAGTGGTTTTGCAGCACAAAATCGTACTCCATGTTTAGGGATTTTTGCAAAAACCACATCCCCTCATACAGTATTAGGCGAGTACCCCCCCCCCCCCCCCCCCCCCCTGGATTGGGTAAAAACCTGAACAGCATTAAATTCCCCATTTCCATAAAAAGGCAGATCTTCTTTAATCAGCTAAAAAGTATCAGTATAGGGGCGCTGGTCCAAGAAAAGGATCATCTGCAAAAACGAGAATCATCTATGTAAAAGCAGACAGAATTTTTTTTCGAGCCACGCATTAGCGTTGCAAAAAACTGGTTCCCCAATGATTTTCTTGATGGATTTTACATCGACTTTGTACAGAGACTTTATATGTCTGAGAAATTGTGAGCGATAAATCCTCTGGAAAGCGGACAACCCATAAGGCATAAAGGCATTGCCAGCACCCGGTTTGGGAGCCCGAAATCCGCTGAGCGTCGATGAAAAAAAATCCACTTTTGCAGTCGATCCTTATTTTTAAAGTGCATTTTGTCTGCGTTTATGAGGATATCCTTTGTTTATGCGGACGATCCTCATTCTTAAAAATAAACTTGAGTTCTGGTAAAAAAAGAAAATGAATCCTCAAAGAATCTAACAAAACTTACACTGAATGTTCAAGATTACAAATAAATGTCATGTGCCAAACAATTATGGAAGAAAATGTATACTGGCTGAGTAATGAGCATAGAAAGATAAGGAAATCAGGGTAGTACTAGCCCCGACACCATGACTGTTGTCCCATATACATCTTTCTGTGTAAGTGATTGTTACTTTACCAAGACTCTGCCAAATTTATGATGATTTTGATGACTCCAGAACCTTGCATTACACACCATCTACTTACATGCTGTCTAGATCTATGATCAACTTTTCTGATCCATTCCACACCTTTTCTTTCACAATGCAATCGCATTACCAGAACTCAAGTTTATCTTTAACAAGTTAAGCAAGCCTAAATAAATAGTAAGCCTAAGATAAGGCATTATCTTAAACAAATGACATTCATTGAACAAAAATGAACAACCAACCCACCCTGTCGATCACACGTCAGTCACATTCACACACACACACATAATGCGAAACGCGCACCTGATGGCATCGGATTTTCGGCTCGGCCTGGCCCCGCAGCGCGGCGGGATTCTACAGGGGATTTCGGTAGCTTCGGTAATGTCGAGCACGTAGATGAACCAACATTTTTTACAGCGATGTGGGACTGAATGTAAAAAATACGTTAATAAATTACAGAAAAAGTTACCTTGCAACCACTAGTAATCCATCTTCTTGAAATGCATTGAGAAACATCTCATTCTCATACTCTAATAGTGACATCTTGCTGTCAATAGAGTAGTATAAACTAAGTTAATTCGCCTTTTCTGCTCGCGCTAACTGAGCCTGGCGCCTGGCTTTTACGTTTTGGATCATTCAAACTTTTCTGCTATATTTGCTTCACACATGCGCATTGGATGCAAGTTACTAATAGCTAAACAGCTGAAATTTCGCTCAAGTATATGCCCCCTCCTCCCCCCCCCCCCCCCGGCCATTTTTCTACCTCCAATTAAAGAAATTTGCAAAAATGTTAGAAGGATTTTGCGTGGACTATTATTACATTATTCCCCTTCCCATGGAATACAATAAAGCGGTATGGTACGAGAGGGATGCTGCGGACGCTCAACAATAAAGCTGTCACTATTATTTGCTTCAGATTATGGGGATTTGCATCATCAACCGCCATTTAGTTGATCGTCATTTATAAATTTAGCCTTAAAGGTTTATGAAATATTACACCTATCTGGACACAATGTTTTGCCCTGAATCTTAATATGATCATCAACATCATTATCACCAATTTCGTACCATCGTCCTATAATCATCACCATTATCATCATCATCATCATAATCATCACCATCATAATCACCATGAACACCATCAATTGTCAAACTTACTTAACCATCCACCCTCTCGAGCTCTCATTGCATACATGCAGAGCAATTCAAATTCAATAAAAGAAGATATTGCAATGACAAATGTAATGAGGCAATTTTATTAGAATTCTGCACATATAATATTATCATCATACCCTCTCACACACAATATAGTATGATCAGTTTTTATTTAGTTTATACACAAGAGGCAATAATCAAGTGCAATGCCATGTCAACTTCTCCGATCAAGCAATTTAAAAATCTTTCCATCGCAACAATTCACGACAAATTATTCGTCAACTTCTTATGCTGGAAGCAATAAGTAGCTCTTGAAATATTCATATTACAATTCTCTAATATATACTTATTCAGATTTTTCATTTGGCGTTAGCATAAATCATGCTCTGCACCAAGACATTTAAATACATGTAGTTTGTCTATGACATTTCAACGAAAAACAAAGGTATTATATATCTAATGAAGAGATTTTGAAGGAAAAAATAATAATAATAACTGCAACCACCTATTGCAACAGATGAGCTGAGGCTGTAAATGAACAAGGTTAAAATCAAGCTTCATTTTGTAAGTTTTAATCTTTTTACAGAAAAATGATACAATTACTGATGCTAAACTTAAATTATACTTCAGACAACTTCTAAAATTCTTGTGATTTAATACTCAGATATGAGTGCAAGACGAAAAAATATTTTATAGTATATCTGTATGCGTTGCTATACTTCTCAAATTGAGAAATCTTTTAAGGCTATTACCCCATCCTATCTTCTAATTTCCAGACAAAAATAGTAGCTATTTCAGAATAAAAAGAAATGTTTTGAAAATGTATAAATCAAAATATACAGACAGTCCGGACTACAAACTTATAACACTGACTCATATTGAGAGGGGAACTTGAGAACACACACTGTTTTTTAAAATTATGAGCTACCAGTTTAAGTATGAAGAGCACCGTCTCATTAACACCATCACAAAACAAGCAGGATTAACAAACTGCACAGCAGTCATATTTAATAAGAATTTATATACTTCAATCGCATTGCCAAACTGAAGCTAGACCGATTACAAACCGACAGATTGTTGGCTGTAGGCATACATGTTGTATTACGTCATTTTCTTTTGTACAGTATGTCAGCAGTTTGGCTTCAGTCTTGCGGTGTGACTCTGGTATTAACAAAGTTTCCTTTTCAATAGCCAGTACTAAAAAAGGCCTACCATTCAAGCAAAAGAGCATTGCCCTACATTTAATTAAGGTGAGATTTAACATGTGGTATTTCATATAAGGATAGCTTTTTCTTTGGAATGGAAACAGAGAAAGACACATAACAATTCTGAAATTAAAGTCAGAAAGACAACATATTTTACGTGACATATTACCCCCTCAGAGCTGGAAGGGAATAAACTGAAGTATATAAGACATAAGTTATTTCCCTTCAAGCTCTAAGCACATGAAACACAAGCTTTCAAGGGTTTAAGAAAATTGTAACATTATTACACAATTAATGTTTTTTCTCATGCATAATTCATAAAGAAATCACTCATTCAAACTAAACAGTTAACGGTTCAAACCTTAAGTTAATATCGAAATGATAAGAAAATTCGAAACCAGAATTCACTAACTCCTAAGAAAGGTGGGCTTGCTGTAACCACATGTAAACCTTAGTACAATAACAATCTTAGTCCTACTCCAAATATTTCCAATTTTATATCAAAATAAAGGTTATTTTTAACTAAGGAAAAACACTACTCACAGCTGGAAAAATATACACACTACTCCCGCATTGTTTGCCATCACTAAGTTACCTTGGTCACAATAATAATATTTTATCACCCTTCTTAAAAATTACAAGTTGGTTATCAATTTAAAGTGTGCACAAATTATATCCATTTGTTAGAGGGCTTGTATATCATAGTACAAACCACCGGCATGTACAAAGTTTATCGTGGTCACTCTGATACTAATCACTTCCTTGTTTTATAAACAGAAATGTAAGCTATAAGGATTAATATGACCTTACTTCAGAAATTTTTATTAAGTTTACATCCATGTATGATTAATTGTATGTCAATAATTTAAATGATTGTTTTAAAAATATATAATCTTTAATGCACAAAATGTAATCTTCTCTTAAGTGTTGTGCCCCATTAATAGTGCATATATACATGCTGTGCAATCTTACTTTACATCAACAAACATATTTTACCATGCATATATAGATTTTTAAAAGCCAAAATGTAATGTTTTTCTTTGTGAGTAATCACCACTGCAAATCTAAATAATGCACCATCATTTGTGTTTATTCACATAAAACACTCATTCGTATTCTCTGGCAAGGGGGTAGGAGAAACAATACTAAAATGTAGAATTAATATCTTTCAAAGAAAAGCAACAAATACAGACATACTAAAGCTTTTTATCTTGCACTATTCAGAGTAGATGGCATAAATGAATGACTGGCATTAAGTCTATTTGCTTGTGATTTCTAGCAGCTAATCACAGCCTTTTATATATGTTCCCAGCTTCTTTTTAAATCATTTGATTTAGGCTTTCAGTTCAATCTTGCGATTAACTCTGATGAGTGTGAGACAAAAAGCTTCAGAATGTCTGTATCCATTGCTATTCTTCAATGTTGTAGTACCAAAGTCTCTTTAATATCTTATAGACTGGATTATCAGATCATGAATCCTACACTAAACCAACAATCATTTCATGCACACATTCTCATCTTGAGGGAGAAACCGATAAATCATTATTAACACCATCTGCTTTGCAGAGTACAGCCACATGTATTTCATTAACACATAGTAAACATTGTTTTTTAAACAGGGATACAACCTTTGACCCATTGTTAACCTTTGACCCATTGTTATAGTGCCAGCATACCCTTATTATGGATTAAATTATGAAACATAGGCAATGCTAAAATGGGTCACTATTTCTATTTGATACAACTTGTGATGTACTTGGGTGTTATACATGCTTTAATTTCATTTGTTTTGGAATGTATCTTTGTGTAACATGCTATGCTAGGCATAAAATGCTTCTTTTATACTAGAATCGTTACCGAAATTGCACCACCAATAAAAGATAATGAACAGTCAAAGTTCTCATTAGCATTAGTATAATGTTATTGTTATAGATAAAACATCATCATAAATATGTAGAGAGAAAGGAATTCAGCAAGCTCAATTCAAGATAATATACCTGGGTTACTAAATGCATGTGTGACTGTTTTTTGTGAGACAAAAATTGAATTAGAGAAATAAATTGGCAAGATCTACCTCCATACAAAACAGATATCCCTTCAAGATCGCAGGTTAGTATATGACTGTAACATGTGAAATTTCAAAGTCTTTGAAACTATTAACATAAGTAAAATAAAATCATGAGGGTAATATTATCAAATACCTAATCATGTTTAGTCATGTTAAATTCAATTCATTAGATGAAAGTCCTTTGGCAAAATAAGTTATTTAGTAAATTAATGAACATCGGGCATGTTTCACAGGATACAAATTTGTATTCTCATATCTGTGAAGCTGAAGCCGATTCTCCTATACATTTGAAAGTGTATTGTATTGATTTTTGGTATTAATGAATAATGACCAGTTGCACTACACTGTCTGGCATGAACACAGTAATTACTTTGAATTAAGTATCAAAATGTGCCATCACTTGACAAACAATGCCCTGTATTTTACCCAACTTATGTTTAGGATAACCTAAACATACATTCAGCATACACAGTCAAAATAAATACATGAACAGTATTCACATACAGGTACATGTATATCAATTCCTTCCATAAATTACCAACTCAAAATACACCCTCTACTAAATAGACAATTCTATTATAAATACTTTCTTCATATCATTTCTGTGTACTCTATCTGCTTCAATATAACACATTCACAAACATTCTCAAATACTGTATTCAATACTCTCTTTTTACCAGCCTGCATCAGTACATTAATAGATTCCGTTTTAATGACTGGTGTTCTAATTACCTAACCATGTTTAGTTTCTTTCACAGGAGTATTAAACATCCAAGACCATCTAAATTGTTTCTTTTCACATACAGACAGTTTTAAGGCACTTTTAATAGTATAGTTTAAAATGTTAATATCTTCTATTTGAAAATGCAACACACGAGAATTAACCCATTGATACAATAAATGAAAAGCAAAATGGACTTGTAGGCAAAAAGAATAAAACAATCTTATTTAATAACTATTTATAGTTGTATACACTGTTGCTTTTTTTTTCCTCTTCAAATTAGATATACCTAATATATTATACCACAGATATTTACAAATATTTCTATAGGCACATTCCAAAAATAGCTGATTTCTCATATATCATATTCACACTGCATAAGGCATATGTATTCACACATTAACCCGTTCCTTCCGAAATTATTCAGCCTGATAGCCACCCCACAAACGAGATTAAAAATCGAAAACTCGACTCCTTCGCTGCCGTACAATACCGAGCGACTGTTCAGCGCGCGGAACAATGCGTGTGCGTTGAAGCGACCTAAAGCCTGGCCAGTCGCTTCGACGAGCAGGAACTTAGCGCATGCGCAGATCATTTGGCAATCTGTCGTGCTCTAAGTTCTTTCAGCTCTTCCGTACTGTAGGTTTTTTTTTCTTCGTTATCTTTTTTCCCTCTTCTACCTACTTATTTTGTTCTTCTTTTTTCTCCTCCGTATCTTTTTTTTTCCTTGTCACTCTTATTCCTCATCCTTCTTCTTCTTCTTCTTCTCCTTCTTCCTATTCTTCTTATTTATCTCTTTTTATTTTGATACTCGATTTTATGAGAAAATACACAGTTTATAAAAAGTAAACTATTTCAATGTAAGCTTCTGTTGCATCAAATTTAATTGAAATAGTTTATCAGACAAAATTGACTGTTATAATTTACGTCGGACAATATAATGTTGCGAAAATATATAAACATAATCAAATGAAACTCAAGAAGAATCCAGAACGGGGGGGGGGGGGGGGGGGAGGGAGGTGAAAGGAGAGCCAAAATAGCATACTAATAAATACAGTACAGACTATATAACGATGTGCCCAACTTTCTCTCTCTCTCTCTCTCTCACTCTATAAAAACCGTTCATTATACTTCATCTCTCTCATACTGTTTTCTGTTCCGCGATTTCCGAAAGCACGTTTCGACATATAAATAAGAATTGTTAAAAGTAAGAGTTTGGATATAAAAACATTTCTTTTGCAAAAAATTAATATAAAACAATCTTTTTTGACAGAACTAATATACGTCGGACGAAGGAAATAACTCCTTGGTCGGACATTATACTTTTTTTTTTTTAATTTTTTTTTTAAAGAACTAAAGAAACGTTCTGAACGGGGGGGGGGGGGGTTGATCAGATAGACAACTAGCATAATAATAAAATACAGTACAGACTACGTCCAAATTCTATCTCCCTCCTCTCTCCCTCTCTCTCCCCCCCCCCCCCCTCACCCCCCCCCCCCCCCCCCCCCCCCCCCCCCCCCCCCCCCCCCCCCCCCTCCCCCCCCCCTCTCTCTCTCTCTCTATCTGCCAATGTTGTTCCGCCATTTGCTTGTATGCCGGCATCATTCCTTCTTTGAGATAAATTATGATAACATATCCATAATGATGAAAACATACATCTTAAATACTAGGGAACAAAAATAGAGAACGAGCGGCTGATAATGTCAAAATGAATATTACTGTACACAAATTATAGAAAGTAAAAGTTTTGATTTTGAATGTAAATCTCTGTTGCATCAAAATAAAATGAAACGTTCATTATATCGACGGAAATAATATACATCGGACATTATACTTTACCACAAAAGGGTCATCTAGAAGTAGGTGGATAACATTATGAGAGAAAGAAGAGAAAGAATGAAACTTTCTCTTTCAAAAACAGAAGAATAATGGAGAGGGAGACAAGGACAAATACACAATAAATAAATATAAACAAGATAGGATAGGATCTAGAGCGGAAGATGATATAGTGGAAACGAAATAGTTCGGAAGTATTGCCTAGAGAGCAAAATAATTATTCTGTTTTATTTACTAATGTAAAGCGCTTTAATCATGTTTGATGTAAAGGCGCTATTTAATATCAATATGTATGAATATATTGGCTAATTTTGACAATTATAGTTTGTAAGTATGAATTGACAAAGTACGTACAAATACAAATGACACAGAAATGTCTGCAAGTATTTGGGACCTATATAGAATATGTGAAAAGAGCTATATCTTTGTCTTTGGCCCATGATCCCACAGCTTAGTTACGTAAGAGGAACAAAGAACGTTGACGGATGTAAAGGTTGTTGTCATGGTTATAAACCCCAACAATAAAAGAGCGGAAGTAAGGTAAGGGTATAATTGAATGACAATGACCTGGCTTACAGCATTGATGATCCTACATGTATAACCCTGGTTTTTTTGTGTGTGTGTTTTTTGGGGAGTGGGGTCTTGTTGTTTTTGCAATCATTCAAAGATAATATCAATCATACAAGATAAAGGAAAGAACAAGAATATGATATGCTAAAATGTAACAGACAAAAAGACGATGATGAGAAATGATTGTTTCTCTCTCTTTTTTCTCTCTGTTCCACTCTCTTTATGTGTCTCTCTCCCTCTCTCTTTCCTCTCTCTCTCTCTCTCTCCACTTTCTCCCTCTCTCCACTTTCTCCCTCTCTCTCCGTCTGTCTCTCTGTCTGTCTGCCAATGTTGTTCCGCCATTTGCTTGTATGCCGGCACCATTCCTTCTTTGAGATTAATTATTATAACATAAAATTATCCCTGATGACGTACATTATTATACCTTATATTTATTATAGGGAGCGAAAAAGAAAACGAGCGGCTGATAATGTCAAAATGAGAAGAATATTACTGTACAATATTTATACAAAATAAAAACTTTGAATGTAAATCTCTGTTGCATCAAAATGATATAAACAAATTGTTAATATGCTATATTGACGGTACTATTATCCGTCGGACATTGTGCTCTAGCCAAAAGATATAAACAAACAAAAAAGAGAAAAACTAAAGAAAAAATCTGAGGTGTGTGTGGGGGAGGGGGGGGGGTGGGTAGTCGGTGAGAAAAATATCATAATAACAAATACAGAACAGACTACGTCAAACTTTCTATCTATCCTGCCCCCGCCCACCTTCCTCTCTCTCTCTCTCTATCTCTCTTTCTACGTCGTTTTCCATCTTCATCTTTCATAATGTTGTCTACTATTCCGCCATATACTTGCATGCCGGCATCATCCCTTCCTTGAGATTAATTATTATAACATATCCCTGATGTTATACGTCAGACATTATACTTTAGCGAAAAGATATAATCAAACAAAAAAAGAAACGTACACAAAAGAAAAACAATCAGAGCTGGGGGGGGGGGATCGGAGATAACTTTCTATCTCCCCCTCTTTCTCAAATAATTTATATCTCCTCTCAAATATACCTCCCCCCTCTCACATATGCCTTGGTTATAGGGAACGCTATAGAGAGTGAGAGGCTGATAAAGTCGAAATGAGAAGAATATTACTGTCCAATACTTATAAAAGTAAAACTTTTGAATGTAAATCTATGTTGCATCAAACTGCTTTACAAAAATGTTTATTATGCTATATTGACGTTACTATACGTCAGACATCATACTTTAGCCAGAAAATATAAACAAACAAAAAGAGACTACAAACTAAATAACAAATCTGAGCTTTGAGGGGGGGGGGGTCGGTGATACAAAATGTCATAATAATAAATCCAACATACACCTGATCAAAACTTGTTTTCGGAGACTAAATCGAGTACAACCTCGCGATCTTGCTTTAGACTTATAATACTGCTTGTTGTTGTTGACAATAGAGAGCTGACCTTTGGATTTTCCTTTCATGTGCAGTGAAGTGCATTGTTCCGCGCGTGCCGCGTGCCGCTATAGGCTTTGGCTTTGCGCTGCTCCCAATTGAAATACCAGCAGTATTGGTATTCTGTGCATGGAAGGTCTCAGCGAAAGTCAATATCTGTGGGACAGACATCGCGGAGCTCCAATACGCTGCTGTACGAATTTCATGTGAGAGAAAACTTGACATGCTTATGAAAAAGTACAAATATAATGAATAATATTAAAGTAAACAAAACAGAAGTAATGGATAATGATAGCATATACTTTGGATAAACCCTCAAATCCACTAGTTTAGTGAATTAATGGCAGGGAAAGGCAATTTTAGGCTTGTAAAGACGTCGTCTACCTGCCTATTATGGGAACCTGGTATACCAGGTTCCCGTCTGTGAGTGGGCTCCACGGGAGCCTGGTATACCAGGTTCCCGGAAGGAACGGGTTAACAGAGTTACATCTATTTAGACCAATTCAAATATCCTATCTGCAATTTCATACTCAAATTCTCTTGCAAATAAATATTCCTTGATTAAATTCAATAACAATTGTGTATTAATTCTCAGGAAAGGCACAGAGCCATTTTACATTGAAATCTGGCAGCAAACAAACTGAATGATGAACTTTCACATGAAAGACAAATTAACAACAAAATCACCAACTGTAAAAAATAATAATCAACAAATACAAAATAATTTTTCATTTAAAATCATGTTTTAAAGACTTTCAGCACCTAAATTTGAAAAGAAATGGGGTGGTATCATTTCCCAACTATCTATATCATCTCTCTGGGGCCAGAAGGTCTTTGAATCAAATACTTTAACACAGACTTAACCTTCTACTGGCTCCAAACATGCGTTACGCATACATGGGTTCAAATATCATGTTAACAAATTTATCTTTCTTACTTGGGGGAGGGGTCAAGTTAAACCTATAAACCAACATTTTAGTGTTTTTTTTTTTACCAAGAATGTCTATAATCACTATGAAAATCTTTATATTTGACTATAAGTATGTTATAACTATTGCTGGCAATTGTCAAGAATCAAGATGATATCTAATACCAAGGCAACCATTTCAAGAACATTTATATGTTCTGTTAGATCTGCTACAACGTTAGTTTAATTTAAAAGGAAGCTCCAATCTTTAAAGTTACACAACGAATAACAAAACAAACACAAAATACAGTTTTAAACATAAAAGGTGAGTCAGATGCTAGTTTTCCATTGCACATGTGTCAGGTACGTACTCATATAGTACTTTAGCTGAACATTACAACACAGAATGAAGTATAGTTTCTTCCCCATGTACCACTGTCGAATTCTGCGTCACGTCTAATTGATTGGTACAATGCTGATCATCAGACATGCGGAGAACCCATTGAATTTAATAGTGTATTGCAGAGTCAGAAGGCTAGGTCCTCTTCGAGTCTTTAGACATACATGTACCTTATGGATTTTCACTGTTGGCTCCTAAAGCTGCTGCACTATAGTCTCTAGATAAACATGTGATGGTCTTTGTACCTGATGCTGGATCGATTGAAGGGGTTTCCCCTTGACCAGTGTTCCAGGTCGCATGAAGGTTGGAGATACTCTCTACAGTATCTAAGCAGCTGGTTATATCATTACAGAACCAAACATTGACCTGGTATTAAATCTCCCCTATAAGCTGAGATATGCTATACTTTATTTAATCCATCACATCAAAATACTGCCCAATGTCTCAATAAAGAGAGGATCATTCCATGAGCCAGAACAAGATAAGCACAGATATGGCATACATTGTTTGCATTCTGGTAGCTAGGCAACTGCTGCACCTGGATCTGAAGGGCACTTTTTTCCAGATTTTTCCCCGTTTATTGCTGCATCATGGGCTATAACCCAGGCACTGACACCTTCTTCAGCATTTACACAAATCGAGCAATGTCTTAGATGATTACAGAGAATACAAGAACAATTCTTTCTTGACCAACTCTCCTAAGGCAGAACGCTGGGTATACCTTTAATACGCAACTGTTTTTTTAAATCACAGAGGCAGCGAGCGGGCGCGGTATAAAAGCAAGGCCATGAGGGTCGCAATCTATACCATCATCATTTCTTGTGAGCACCCTTCTCTGCTCTTCGTTGCCTCTGGGCCATGGTTTTTCTCAGGTTGTGTTTGTGTTCCTCGGTGCGTCTTGACTTGGTGCCCACCTTGTTGAGACTGTCCGTGCTGCCGTGGCTGCTGTAGCCCGACTGGCTCGACAGAGGGCGCCCTGTGATGATTGACGACGCTTTGGACGAGCGGGGAGTCGAAACACCTGAGTGGCACGACAGCTCTGAATCTGAGAGAAGACTTTGGCTTCCAATTGAATGAATGCTTTCCCTCGAGCTGTAGGGGCAAGGGAAGATAATTTCAGTGTTATTTAAAGTTAGTGGTATTCAAACAGCTTTGATACCAACATGCAATTCACAATTTACATCCTAAATATCTGAAAAAGCATGGCACCTCAGTGGTCTGAACAATGGTTGTGAAATCACAAAGCTAGGTTCAGAACCAAGATTACTTGAATAAGAAATAATAGTCCTATTGAACCCATCTGCTTCTCGTCTAATATTTTGCCATATCTTGTCCAATATTTCCTTGTGTTACCTTCAAGGCCATATGATATAATATAACTATTTTCCAAAAAATAAATAAATTAGATCATTTTTTGTCCATGTTTTTCTGCATCCCTTTGACAAAACAGACACAGAAAGCCAAGAGAAGCAAACTAAGAGAAACAAGAAAAATGTATGAAATAAAAGAGGGGCAAGCTCTTGATTCCATCTCATGTTACAATATTATTCCAGTCCTTTGATCTATGACTTACACATTAAGGTATTTGCCTCCCTCCGGTAATAGCTTGAGAGCCCGGTAGAGCTCCACTGTGGATGGGGTCTGGACTCTCTTCTGGGGTCCCGATGGGGTGTGGTGTAGGGGTGGGGAGGACTGGTTAGGGGGTTGTTGGCTGGTTGGATTCAGGGTGGGGCCTGTAGGACGATAGTACGGAATTAGTGATTAGAATACATGCTTCTGTTACTGGAGATGCAACTATCAAATTTAACATTAAATTGAATACTGTAAAACCAGGAAACTTTGCATGCATGAAACGTTTGCAACTTTTGGGAGTGGATCAGATTGGCAAAAAAGTTAATGGCAGTGAAAGGCCTTGAATTTGCGATAGTTTTATGTCGACAAATTTTCTGATTTTGTAGTATTTCATTATTTATATGCAATATTCACTACAGCATTCTCTACAAATATAGCTACATGTACTTATATACATGTAAATGAACATACCTTTAATTCATACAAAATCTATTGATCTAATTCATATTATCCAGTTTCTAATCATTCTCCTGCATGGTACCTTCTAGTTTGAAAGGATTAGAATACCAGTACATGCATTTTTACATGGTCATTCTAAATATATGCGATATGCTATACCATCCAGATTAATATCTATCAAATAATCAGTTATTAATGTTATCCAACCATACATTGTAACAACTTGTGATAGGTCCTTGTGAAAGGTTTCAGTCAGGAAATCATGTAAGTGTATCTATCATTAATGGTAGCTTGCATAGATTCAGGTCCAGGAAAATGTATCGCACATACATCACTAATTACCTACAGATCACTAACTTTCCAAACAGACTCTAACATACACGTAGCATTGGGCTGGAGTATATGTTTCTAACAGAAAAAAGATGGACTTACTTGACGCCTTGTTGATTGACCTCGGAGGTCGTAGCAGAGGTGCATGATGGGAAGACAGGGGTGTGAGCATCAGCTGCTCCTGTAGGAATGAACTCCTCTCCTCTTCAAATTTCTTCCTCTGCAAATCAAGAAAAATAGACAAAGAATTGGTTAAACTTTCAAAAATAGTAAACAATCTATGAGTATTCTGCACTCATAGCACTGATATTTTCTCATTTTCATACTTTGGAAGTATTTATATACTCAAATCAAGGTGCAAATTAACATTGCTTTTGGGCAATTTTAATCAAAACAATGTAAAAGATGCATTATTCTCAGAGGAAAAGAATGTACTAAACTTGTTAAAACATGTCCTTTATAGTCTTGAAAATAAACTATTTTGATAAATGGTATCAATGACTTGTACTTTTTTCATTTTTGAGTTATCTTGTTCTAATAATATAAGTATAAGTATCAAATGAACATGGAATAAACACTCACTTTAAACAAAATATTGCATATAGTCACTATTAACAGAAAGCAAAAGAAAATGATACAAATAAAAGTGAATAAAATATGAAAAGATAAAAGGCTTGCATACGTTAAAATGAATACATTGCATAAAATAACACACAAATCATTGAAGAGAAACTGCAGGCATAAATGTTAAAGCACGATGAACACAAACATCAATAAAACCACTCACCTTTATAGGTAAATGCATGCAGGTGAATATTAATATGTATGATGGTTAGTACTGTATAATGAAAACAAGAAAAATTAATTAAGTTAATAATTTAATTGAAGAGAAATAGCAGCCAGATCCTTTGAGACACACATTAATAATTGCTGTTTATTTCTGTTGGAAAAGGATTAGATGCTGAGCTTGATTAGACTTTCTATGAAGAGGGCAGGTGCAATCATGACTGAATAGAGTGAGGATGAGAGAGAGAGAGGGGATGAGAGAGAGAGAGAGAGAGAGAAAGGATGAGAGAGAGAGAGGATGCCAGAGAGGGAGACGGCTGGGTTGAAATGGAGGAGTAGCGGTAGAAAGAGAGAGAGAGGATGAGAGAGAGAGAGAGGATGCCAGAGAGGGAGACGGCTGGGTTGAAATGGAGGAGTAGCGGTAGAAAGAGAGAGAGAGAGGATGAGAGAGAGAGAGAGGATGCCAGAGAGGGAGACGGCTGGGTTGAAATGGAGGAGTAGCGGTAGAAAGAGAGAGAGAGGATGAGAGAGAGAGAGAGGATGCCAGAGAGGGAGACGGCTGGGTTGAAATGGAGGAGTAGCGGTAGAAAGAGAGAGAGAGGATGAGAGAGAGAGAGAGAGGATGCCAGAGAGGGAGACGGCTGGGTTGAAATGGAGGAGTAGCGGTAGAAAGAGAGAGAGAGGATGAGAGAGAGAGAGAGGATGCCAGAGAGGGAGACGGCTGGGTTGAAATGGAGGAGTAGCGGTAGAAAGAGAGAGAGAGAGGATGCCAGAGAGGGAGACGGCTGGGTTGAAATGGAGGAGTAGCGGTAGAAAGAGAGAGAGAGGATGAGAGAGAGAGAGAGGATGCCAGAGAGGGAGACGGCTGGGTTGAAATGGAGGAGTAGCGGTAGAAAGAGAGAGAGAGGATGAGAGAGAGAGAGAGGATGCCAGAGAGGGAGACGGCTGGGTTGAAATGGAGGAGTAGCGGTAGAAAGAGAGAGAGAGAGGATGCCAGAGAGGGAGACGGCTGGGTTGAAATGGAGGAGTAGCGGTAGAAAGAGAGAGAGAGGATGAGAGAGAGAGAGAGGATGCCAGAGAGGGAGACGGCTGGGTTGAAATGGAGTAGTATGAGGGAGGATTGGAATAAAGGAAATGGGGCAAGAGAGCCCTTGATACAGTACAGTCAAACCTGCTTTAGTGACCACCTGTTTACAAAGACCACATTTTTGTTTCCCCTGAAAATGGTTTTTCATTGAATCATATACTAAAGGAACCTGTCTGCAAAGACCACCTGTCCACAAAGACCACTTTTTGTGTTTCCCTTGGGCAGTCGCTATAAACAGGTTTGACTGTACTATGAATTTGATGGAGTGACAGAAAAGCAAAGTCAGTACCGGTAGTTTTAAACAAAGAGCAAGAGAATAAAGATAAAGGAAAGAATGAGTACATTAAGGACAACTTAAAGGTAAAGACCAGTATTGGAAACGCCCCAATTTTAAAAAATGAAATGGAAGCTCTCATTACCAATCATGTAAAAAGAATATGTTTTGACTAATACATGATGATACAAAATTTGCCGGGAAACCGCCTACTAATTCATATATTTGGTAAATATGTTTCTCTCATGGTCTGTGAGAGATATAGGGTAGTCCCATATGCATCTTTCTGTGTATAGTGCTTGTAACTTTACGAAGAATGGGCAAAATTTCTTATCATTTTGATGATTCCAGAACCTTGTAGATGCTAGATGCTAGATGATCAACCTTTTCTGATCGATTCCACAACGTTTCTTTCACAATGCAATCGCATGACCATAACTGGTCTTTACCTTTAAATAATGCAAGACGAAAGATGAGGGAGAATAAGAGGAAAGACAGGGAGAATAAAAGAAAGAGAGATGAAGAGATAAGAAGAGTGAGATACATGTAGGACAAGAGAATTGAGATACACCTATAGAGACAGAGATAATATCATCCAAAAAGAAGGAAAACTGGAGAAGAGGAATAGGTATTACAAGATGAAAAAGATGAAGATTTAGATACAGATGCTTGCATTCCTAGATAGAAGCAATATACATACATGTATTGTCTGTTTGGAGCCAGAAGGGCAATATTAACTTGTGTACTTTAACACAGATTTAACACCCTTCTGGCTCTGAATAGACAATATGTTTTACATGTAACAGCTGATATGCAGGGAGTATATAGAGAAAATGATTGTATGTGTATTGTAGTCCATGGTTACCTCCTCTCCTAATCTAATCGCGGCATCAGTGAAATTTCTCTGCTCCTTTGCAAAGTTGTTTTTCATGCCGTACAACCTATTTTGTTCGGTGGCTAGATTCTCCTTCTCATCTAGCATTGTGGACTCCCTGATGAAACCTAGGAAGTCACCGTCCATACTGGTTTCTTGCACGGCCTGGTGGTAAGAAACGGCATGCAATGTCTATCACTACAACAACCAGGCATGAACACAAATAATTCAATCAACCAAAATCAAATAACATTTGTCTCTACTAAAAGATTACAACAGAAAATAAGCCAACTTCAAAACAGAAGCTAAACATGCTGAACAACTGTAAAGGTGAAGGAGACTGAAAGCAAATAAAGCCAACAGAGTTCAAATAACTACTATGAAAGTGCTTACTTCAATATAAAGATGTGTCTAGATCTCATTACAAACACTTTCCTTTTTTTAAACGTAATTCATTGTTTTATTGAAATTAGAAAAATGTAACAAGTGATTGTGATTAACAATTAAGTTGTTTGTTTCTCATTGTCGATAACTCGAACACAAAACCAAGTTTGTATTGCCTGAATATCTTTAATACTTTATGATCAAAATGTAAAATCAACTTGTTGAGAAATGTATAGCAAAAGTAAACTGCAAGCCTAACAAGACATAAACAACTCAAAACAACTGGGAACTAGATCAGGACTGTGAAATACCTGTAAGACCTGCTCCTGTTGTACGATGATATCATGATATGTCTCCAACTTTCTCCTCAGGTTCTCTATCTCTGCATCCTTAGGACCTGAGCCCCCGCCTCCACCTCCCCCTTCTCCACTCTTCCCGTCTTCTCCAGCGCTTCCTGTACCATCTTTACCGCTCCCTCCTCCTCCTCCTCCTCCTCCCTCCTGGTTCTCCCTGTTTTCCTTCTCAATCTGCTGGATGTGATCCCGGAGCTTCTGCCATTTCTGCCTCAGGCTCGTCTCGATGCCCTCCCGGACCATCTCAAACGGCATTTGGAAGTGGCCCGTTGAGAGCTCGCTGATGGAGGATTCGATGGATCTTGTGTCCCCAAACTCACTGTCTGAGATGTACCCTTGCCTCTGGAGAACAGAGAGAAAAGATGAGCAAGTGAGTATTTTCAAAGAGCATGATGATCTTTACGGTATCCAAAGCAATGGCAAGATGTAAAATTCTCAAAAAATTGAACTTGTATATTGTGTGGGGGGGGGGGGGGGGGGAGGGGGTGCAGGGGGGTCCAGGAAATATATTTAGGTTGTGTACAGTATGCTTTTTCTAGGTTCTAGGTATTGGTTTATCTATGGACCTACTCTTTCTAGGTTCATGTCTTATCCAATCAAACTCTTTAAAAGTAAATAATGATTTCGTTAAATTTACATGTATATATATATATATATATATATATATATATATAGTGGATTAAATTATGTATGTGTATATTAAATACGCTTCGTAGTTGGTGAATTCCGTAGAAGAAAAAAAAAAAACTTCCAATAAATTTGACACACATGTTATTAATAGTTAATTTGTTCAAATTTTGTACCCATTTATTACAAATCAATTCTTGTGTGTAACTGGAAAAAACTAAAATAGAAGCGTAACAGCTTCTGCTAATTGTTAAGATCTGTAGTTACTTCCTTCTTGCACTCACTCTAATGAGACAGATACATTGATCATGCCAACCTGTTGATTGAGTTTGTGTAGTGCCGTGCGTCATCAAAATTGTACTTGGGACATGAATGGGCATGTCAGAATGTTCATGGTTAAAAGGTCTTAGAGTGTGGGTTACAGGAAATCATTTTTCAATTCCAGCAGTGATAGATATTCACATAAATAATCGGAATGCCCTAAGAAAAGCAAAGCTTACATTTAAGATGTGAAGGAAGTTCCTTGGACATTTCAAGATCGTTAATTCACTTAATTTTTGGCTTGAATAGAAAGAAGCAGATATGTATGACCTTTAAAGTAGGGGGAATGATCAAATGCAATATTCTGACAAAATTGTTAGTTTTTGGCTGCATATGACTCTCTTGATTGATAGATAATGGCATGTGCAAATATTGCAACATACCATATTACTGAGTAAAGTGTCAAATTCATACCCTCAATTTATATACCCTATTTGATGATGCTCATATCCTAGTTACACCAACAAGATTGTCATGAAACTGAGGATAGACCATACAAAAATTTAGATTACCTCTAGATGGCCAAGATTTTGTTGATTATCAGTCAATGTTGAGTCGATCTAGTGGTGGGACTGAGATATTAGTTCCCAAAACAACTCTATTTTTTCTTCCAATTTCTCATTTTATGGACAAAAAGACAAATTAAAGACAGTACGGCATCTCCCTTTAACACGAGTCTGGAGCATAAATCCCGACCACCCCCATACTCCTGGAAATATTCTGACAAAGATGGCTGACTAATACAATCTTTTCCGAAGCATTTGAGAGCTCACTGAGGGATTATTAAGCAGACATATTAATCTTCACATCTTCCTCATTTCCTTTCTCTATCGAGCTCATGGCACACATATATCTTCCTCCTGTCAAAACTAGGTCTACATTCATGGAAGTGTCACACCGTTGATGTCTGGCAGACTTTAAATTGTCTACCCTAAATGTTTTCAATGTACACCCATTGAGGTATTCGAAAGTTTCTCTCTCTGTCAAATTCGCAACATTTAAATGATTCATACAATATATAATACACATCATTATCTTGGGACACTCCATATCACCTGATTTTGAACCGTTACACTTTCTCATTTGTCTGTGTTTGCAAGTATTTGTATATTTAATTCAGGATGAATGAGTGTAATATGTCTTTGCACATGTATCATGTATTTTAGCATTTTATGAGTACCTCCCATATCATCTATACATCTACAGGTACACCTAACAATCTTCATTTCATGCGTTTGAACAGTAAGTTTAAAAATGAATGCAATTAGACTATGTACCTTCATGCCATGATTACAAGATTTGTAGGAGTATTATAATTGCCCACTAGCAGCTGTATAATCTAAGATCATTAATGTCAAATGGATATAAAAACTTATAAAATGAGAGGACAAGGAATGATGTATTCCAGAATAGTCTATCTAACCCTGAATATGATCTAAAGTTCTAAACCTGTCAACTTCTTCAGTGTGATATAAGTCCTCTCCCCCTCATGCTGCCTACTTTTGGCAAAATATTTCTTACATATTTCCACAACTACTTCCCTTCTACTTAATTTCTATTTCCTAGAGAGGATCAGAATGTGAATAAATGACATCCTATGACCAATCCTTACTCCTACAAAAATGGCAACTGGTTATAAAAAACCTGAACATTTGACAAAAATGGCACAATGTTAGCCTTCAAGATCAGCTTTTCTCTGACCATTTAAGCTTCATAGAAGCTTTTAGGCTGGATCTTCAAAGAAGAAATAGCAGGCTGAGGCAATAAGTTCTCTATCTGGAGCAGGAAAATTAAGAAATTAGGAAAAGGCTATTGGACAGAAACACAAATACTGTGGGAGTAGCTAAGAAATCTCTACAAATAATGGCTGGGCAAATATCAACTACAAGGAAAAGATGGAAATCTGTTAAACTGGGAGAGAGAGATGGGGTAAGAGAGAGAGAGAGAGAGAGAGAGAGAGAGAGAGAGAGAGAAAGAGACGTGAGAAGCAAATTGAGAGGGACAAAAATAGAGGGTCATCTGATTATCACGGAACCAATATTGACAATATGACTCATGCAGCTATGCCAAGCTCCTAAGCATTGTGCCAGGGAAATTTGGAGATCACGTCAAAAAGTAATATAATACCTCTCAATCCTCGACCAAAGTAGGGCTATTTTCTTTTAGGCCTTACACCTCTGCCAAAACTACCGGTACATGTACCAGCATGCTACAATGTAGATTATTAATTCCTACACGTATGTGAGGTTCTAAGTGTTGAATATGTGTAACTTTGATTTACATCTCATTCTTACAAAAGAAATCAACCTATTTCATTCCCTTGCTATACACGTACATGCTGACATCTCTATCGATGGAATCCACTTTGCACACATAAACTGTCGCTATGTCTGGCAAGCATATAGCTAGTTTTTGAGATGTCAAGGGAAACCTTTCTTCAAGAAGTACACATAAAAATATTAAACAGGTATATTGCAACCCTCACTCTAATCCTATATCTTTGAAGACAATAAACGTTGGATCACCATTCCTTATACTCACATTGTTTTGGCTTCCTCCTCCTCCTCCCCCTCCTCCTCCTCCCCCTCCTCCTTCGCCAGCTTGTCTGTTGAGGAGGTTGACCAGTTCTTGTTGCATGTTGCTAAGAGACTCCCTCAAGACTTGGTTCTCCATCATCACCTCCTTCTGTCTCTCCTCATAGTTTGTGATGATCACTCGGTACATGTCTTCTTCATGCCTGCAAAAGATAAAACAAGAAATACAATTTAACATTTATTGTCATTTATGATACAGATTCCCCTCTAATCTCAAATGTTTGAGCGTTAAATCTTCCACACTTATTAATATAGGCCTACCGGTATACTGAATGGGAATTTTATAAAATACATAAACTACATTTAATTTAATTTAATTTAATTTAATGTAATTATACATTTCATACTTTCTTGCCTTGAAAAAAAAAAACTTGACCAAATGTCAATCCCTGTATGGAAAACTCACATTACGAGAAAAAAAAATCATGCTGTAATTAGCTTTGTGAATGTCTGTATAATAAAGCATAACTTTCAATGACAATTTCAGGCTCAGATTTACAAATAATACATTTAAAATATAATCTGTGAATAATGGTAATTGGTGGTAATATATTTGCCTAAACCTCCACTATCCCAGATCAAGGCTGATAACATGGATATTGTGGAATACACAGATTTGTACTAGATTTTCATTTTATTCTTTTTTTTAACATCATCCTAATTATCATACAATGCTGTATCTGCCTGATTCCATCAGCCAAATAGCAACTATTTTCACTATGAAACAAACTCAATTATTCTCATAATGCAATCATATGCAATCATCACCATTAATCTTTACGAATCAATCACCATCTTTCTCTCAATGTCATGTTCTTGGCAAAGAACTAGACCACAGACGTCATTACAACAACAAACACAGGCTCCTCAAACATCAGAGAGATCACATGTGCCTTCTGTATAAACTAATGTAATCAATAATCACTCGCAGACGATCGAAGCAGCTCAAATGTTAAATCTTCGTGCAATGATAAATGAACGAGGCACTAGCCTTGCGCTTGGCCTTTTAATGTTTATCTAGGACCTTCTAGGCATCATGATAAAAACAATTAGCGCAGACATCATGGCGGATAATGGTCCTCACATTCGAGTGGCCCATATGGAATGCTCAAGTTGTTTATACATGCAAGTACATTCATGTAATGTACCAGAGTATGTTTCAAGAGTGCATGGTGATCTACATGTCCCAACTTTCATGTATGGGTATATACAGTAGCAAGGGTGAGGAAGTGATCAACAGTGTGATGAACTTAAATCAATTCAAGTTTTACGATACATGTTTAGTGCCTGTACAAAATTGACACATATTCACAACTTTCCCTGCTTCTGATACCGTAATTGTATTTACAATACCAAGTTTAAGGAATCAAGATCAAGCAGTAAGCAAAGACTTTTCTTCAAATACAGAAGCAGTATTATCGTAGCTATCCATGTATCTTGGAGTTTATTTTTGATATTCTTTGAGCAGAAACCAAATCATTTCGATGCAATTTTGTTGGGAATATGCTATTGAAAGTAGTGAAATACATACAGGGACATGAACCTATCTAATAAATTGCTATCTTAACAAAAGGAAAACAGTTTTAATACTAAGAGAGTTTTTCCTCTTATCCTCCTACTCCTATTAAACTTATTAAAAAAAAAATTCACAAAAATAAAGGCACACAATAAGTGACTGTAAAAGAAAATTTAAAATCATCATTCAGTTAGGACAACTATTGATGAAGACTTGGAAACTGTCTTGGAATTATTGATTATCTGATCCCACCCCAGTCAAAAGATGTTTACATCACAATAAATAAAGCTCACTGAGGTGTGTCTTGTACCATACAAGCAATACGCATCAATTATTGAACAAAAAGAACACTCATGACTTCCGTTGTCACCCTAATAAAAGGCAATCAATGAGGGGGGGGGGGGGTTGTTGTCCCTGTATGCATACATTGTACATGTACTGTTGATAGTTTGAGTCCATTGCTGAACATTTGGGCTTAAATCCTTCAAACATGTTTCATAATAAACAGTATAATGTCAACGTACATGTATATATCTTCTTGCACGCTGTCTGATTACGCATTTACCCTTAACATAAAGGACCATACATTGTCAACAATTGAGAGGAAGTAAGTTCCATCCTGTTTGACAGGTCATGCACATCAGTCGTTTTACCCTGAATCTGGCATTGGGTAGTGAAAACGTCTTTTCCTCAAAACAACCTTTATCTATATACATACATGTACATGTATCTATTAAACCACATAATTATTCCTTGATCTTACAAGGTTATTCGTCTCAACTGAGTTGCAAGTTACAAATATTCAAAGCCCCAGCAGTCCAGCATCATATACCATTAATCAAAATTCAAGGAAGGCTTGCAGTTTCAACTTCAAGAACCTGTTGAAGGACAACAATTTTTCTGTTTAACAAATTGAAATAAAATATTTGTTCCTATTAAATTCAAATTAATTTCATTTCTCTACCTTTCTCGTTATCAGGACCAATGCTACCTTTTACCACACGCTTCACATTTCATCTATCTCTCACTGATGCTGTATTATTTAATGGTATTAACAAAATGATTTACTAGAGCATCTGAGTAGAATCTGATCTGTAATCCTACCTTGTAATTCATATACAAGCACCATCAACCTTCACCTTCACCACTTCATACTCCTTCCCCTCCCTCTTTCTCACAAATCCTCCCTCTTCCACCCCCTCCTGTCCTCCTCCTAACTCCCTCCTCTACCCCTCCCCTTCTTCAATCAATCCCTCCTCCTCAAAAGCATTAGGGGTAATATACAAACTATAACCTACATACTGCAGAGAATCTGATTCCCATAAGATCCTCATAAGACAGTCTTCCTGATGGCCTATAAAGTTTAACCCCACAGCTTCATCAGAATCTCAGATATGGAACTCAAGATACCTAGACTTCATATTAGCCAAAACAGTATTTCCTCCTAGGAAATGTAGGCTGCTAGTTGGCATACCCATCAATTAGGTTATTGGATGATGCTAATATCTTAAGTAACATGCAGTTTGGATTTTAATTTTTGATACTAAAAAAGTAAATATAGAAGTTTATAGGGAAATACTTTTTCAGTAATTTACATCTGATATCAACATCATAAATGCCACCTTTACAAGCCAAAGGTTATCCAAAGGAACTAGGTGTTCATTTCCTCCAAAGTTCATACTAAAAACACAAGAATGATTGACTTTTACCCATCTTGGCTAAAATCCTGAGTTTAACTGGTATTTGATCAAAGAATAACTGAAATAATCAATATTCACACTATCAAATTCTGTTCAATTGCATACATTCAGGCTGTAATTTCTTTTTGATTTCAAATTCTAACAAGATCTTTACTGTTTCTGAAAGTCCTTTTAAAATCATTGGAGTGACTTTAGCTCTGACTAATGTAGGTCTTCAGACTTCAGTCATACATGCATGGAACATGACATCCTGTTCAAACTCAAAGAGAAAAATATAAAGGAAAAACATCCTGACAGATAGAATTCTCTGTACATGTATTTCTGCAGTCTTGCTTTACTTCAAGAACATTTCTTTTGAAAGAATATTGCTCAGAAAAGGAACTCATTCTTAAAAGAAATAATGGGATTAATTTTGTATGTACGACCAAATATCCTTCTTTGATATACATCACATGACTTTTGTAACAGCAACTATTGTAAATGCACAGGGAGAGGTCCCAGGCATACATGTACAGTACCGGTACATTAAAAAAAAAAAAAAAAAAAAAAAAAAAAAAAAACACTATTCAGTGTGAAAACCAGAAAAATGTCAAATCAGCTTACATAACATTTCTACAGGGTGGGGTTCAGTATGAGCAAGGAAGTGGCAGTTTGAGACGAAAACATTGGGACTGAATTGGCTGAAATGGATACTAATCTGGTTGAAATGAACTGGAAGCGAACTTGAGTGATTTCCTGATCTTGCTACAAGAAGGAACTTGTTGGAATGAAGTCATCAGTCTGGCTACTTTGTTACAGGCGATACTCTAACCTTCTATGGATATGTTCACATGGGACTGTTCCAGTTTTGAAATTTAAGTATTAAAGGGATCCGGTAACTTTGTCTTATATCCTTTCAAAAAAATCCTTGATTTAGCTCATGCTGCAATGATAATTATAAACCTTTAGGTCAGTCAGGAACCCCATGAATTTTACAAGCCGATCGCCTGTCTGATTATCAAGATATTTATGATTGAAAATCGAAATAAAATTTTGCGATTGCTATACGGTTTTCATATTAAACACTACAGTCTATTGGGGAAAATGAGTATGGTAAAACCGGTCACTCAAAGATTTTTACTTTTTTGAGGCACTTCTTGATCCTTTTGCAGCATGGTTTTTGTAGGGCTTCAATATTACACCATATCACAGACACTGATAACAAGTAGGGGCGTACATCTCAGATTTAACATTGTTGAACGATGCCTTTAAGGATGAGGTCTCACACGGAACTGAAACAACAAGTATTCACAGTTATCTACAAGTCAGGGTACAAGCTGGTATAACGTCAAAGTTAATTGCATCCGCTCTGCACATAAATTTGAGTGAAGTACCCACTGCTTGTAGTTATCACGCTTACTAAATAATTTTGGAATTTAAAAAGTATAAAAACCACAAACTAAACTTAAAGTTAATGGACTGTTGTGTGAACTTCACTTATATTTTAACATGTCTCTGAATTGTTATTGGGTGTTGGAACAAACCTGGCAGGGAACTCATAATAGAGTTTAAGTAGTTCCAATTAAAACAGGAGACAGCCTTCTGGTTATGAATTTTTAAGACACCATGACTTTGTTTTCATGTAAGAAAATACAGCTACTGAGGCTTTTAGGTTTGCATACATTTTGTCAATTTGGCGTCAAGAGGGCACTAAAAGTCATACATGTAAATGAACTTTTAAACAGATTTAATGCCCTTCTGGCTCTGAACTGATGGTACTAAATATGAAATCATTAATCAAGTAATCTTACATCTAATAACCACAAAATACTTTATGGCACTGATATATATATATATATATATATGCCATAAATATTCTCAATTCTTTTCATGACTACTACATGTGATATCAATTACAACCCTCAAGCCCTAGGATATGCATATCACT